CACATATAGATATACATAGTTATGTAAATTTAGGAATAGTTTTATATTTATATATATATACTCATATAAATTTGAGAATAGATAGAAATAGATTTACATATATAGATGTAAAATATGACACGCACCTCACTGTGTATACAAAGACGCCTTTGGGTCGCAGCTCATCGGAGGGGGGCTTCGCGGCCCACGCCGCGACACTGAGATAAAGGATGTTTTTTCCGCAGTCATAAGATTTCCTCTTGTATGAGTTCAAAGTGGCAATAAATATCGTATAATAGACTCGAAGTTTGAAGTGTATAACTTTTGGGGAATTCAGAGAGTGTATACTCAATCCATGTCCCCAATCTATGTATAGCTACGTATGTAAATATATATAACTAAATCTATTTCTATCAATTCCTAAATTATATAGATATGTGTATATATAAATATAAAACTAAATCCATTCCTAAGCTTATATGACTATGTATATATATATATATATAAGAGTTACTTGTATTTATATTCGAATTGTTGTTAGACTGCAGTAGGTCCATTTATATTATAACTATAATTAGGAAACTCATAATCTATATGTAACTAGAAGATGAATAAATTATAGTGAAATGAATATTGACATGTTAGAAGTAGCGACTATCGTTCTAGTATTTCTAAATAAAATCTAAACTGTATTGTTATATCAATGAAATATATATCGTATCTACACGATAAATGTAGAATAGTTTATAACGTTATCCTATATACTAAAACGTTACCTTTTATTATTTTATAGATCAAAGTTTTGGAGAAGGAATAATAGATTCTAAAATAATTATTGTGCTCAAATGTTACATGAACAAATGTTATTGTTTGAAATGGATGTATTCTTTCAAACTAACAGTCAACAATATAAAGAACTACTCATTTTATTCAGATCACCTGAGAGTCGTTTTTTAAAATATAGAAAAAAAAATAGTGTCAGTATTTTTCTTAAGAAACCGTTTTCTCATTGGTGGAGATGACGATGTTTTCCAGTTATTTTTTAAACAAATTTAAAAAAAAATATCTCAACAGATTGTTTCCTAGAACACTTTTCTTTTTTCTAACTGACAGGAAAACAAGAAACTATAAATACAATAAAAACCTTTAGTCTTTCCAAGTCGAACTTACACGGTTGTAAACGGTAGTTTACAGAAAAAAAGCGGAGATATACAAAGATCTTATACAGATTTCGTGTATGTAAAGCGGATACGGCTCAAAATGAGTTCCGTAGATGATGATCGTGAAATATTACGCCGGAATCAACAGAAAAACTATCCTTTTCCGTATACGGCTGTTGTATACGATCGTATATCATTATGCACTGGCGTCTACGGTAGCCATATGCTCAGTTTTATATATGTGAAAACTACTGCGCAGTTTATTAATAATGAGTATATTTTTTCTTAATTTATTTTCGATTATTGTAATACGCATGTCAACGAACAAAAAGTATCCTTTTATCCGTTATCTTTTTTATTTTAGATCACTGTGAGATATAGGTGAATAAACCAGTAGAACCTTTCTCTTAATTTTGTTTTTTTCTTATTTGAATTATTCTGATATAAAAATATCAATACATAGGAAACATATTTGTTATTTTTATTTATTAGTTCTTGTTTTGAATCATTTATATATATACATCAGTGAATAGTAGATATTTTTTCTTTCATTCTCTTTCTCGTAGACAAGAGTCTAGCAGAAATAAATTGTTTGCTTGCTTGCTTGCTTGTGTGTTCGTACCTCACTAATTGGTCGAAGACTAATTTAGCAACGAAAACGGTTGTATTCCATAAACTTTGGCTGCAGGGCAATTGAGATCAAGGAACGTGAATCTAATGTTAATTTTAAAAACGTTTTTGAGGATCGTTTTTTACTTAAAGGACAACTTTTTTACGAAAATGTTTTTTTTTATGAAAATCGATTGAAAAGCAATCGGGGTCGAGGAACATGAATCGGTTGTTAGTTTTTTTTGTTTGAGAATCATTTTGTAGACAAAGAGCAATCTTCTAAAGAAAAGTCTTTAGCTCTATTAGAAATACCATGTCTACAAGAAGGAGTTGAGCGAGAGTCTGTGCGAGCATTACTTATTCGTAAAGTCAGCCATTTTACGTCTGAAAGCTGTTCAAGAAAACCATGGAATATTTTATCATATACAACACTGCTGATTAAACTAGTAAACAATTTCTTTATTGCTTCATGATTTTCTACTTATCATCGATATATGCGCACTTTTTTTAAAATGTTCATGACAGCTGTATACCGAAACTATGAAGAAAAAAAGAATAATAGATTATTTTACTTTCATCACTATGATGATTTCATTGTGTTTATATTCTTTCTACTTCATGATTAGACACTTTCTTTTATCTTCATTAGAATGTTAATTATGAAAAGAAGACAAAAGAAAAAATAATAGGAATATAAACATATCAAAGAGATATTTTATTGTATTTTATCTAGAATACTTTTTATAAGATTTGTCTTTTATTTATATACTCCTGCAAGCTTGACTACTATTCGAGTTATAACACTAATCAGATAATATTAACATAATTAATACTATGTAATGTTCATTTCATAATAGATTTTTCTGTTGATATAATAATCTTTTGTCAAGATTGTCATGACTTTGTTGAATTTTTATTAGTATATGACATTGATATATTCATAGTTTCAATTATTTTTTTTATAAAGATCTATATAATTATTTCAATTATTTTTTGTATAGAAGTCAAAATATTATTTGATAATGTTCTACATTTCTGAATCCCTGTTACTGAAGATTTGCTTTAAATCAATAAGAAAATACAAACTTCATCTTTATTAGAATTTAATCTAATGTCGCGGTATAATATGAGAGTGATGATGAATGATATAGTAACAACAAAAAGTTCTTTTAATTATGATTGATTATAAAAATAAAATCAACTGAAATAATGATAAAAAGTGTTGAATAGAATTCATAATAAAATGTTAAATTTGAGTTTGTCTAAGAAATAATTGTTTAATATATATATATTAATAATATTAGATTGTGAAGTATCATTAATGATGAAAGTATTTGAAAACAAATATATAAAGAACTATTGAAATAGAAGTCCATTCTACTAGAAATTCAATAAAAAGTATATGACATTTAGGTGATAATTGTCTTTTATTATCTCAAGTATGTATTCGTGAAGTTAAACTACGTATAAATAAAAGAGTTGGAGTATTACATACAGTAGTAATCATAACGGATAAAATAAGAGTAGTAAAAAGTGTATAATATGGTACAAAAATTCTTTTTTGCTATTTATTAAAACACATAAAACCATCCATAAATAAAAAAGATGAAGCAATAAACGATCCCATAATAATGATAATAAAAAAATCTATCAACAAATATTTCAATGAAAACAATGTTTATTTTCCTTAATAATAGTAAATAATCTACTAATAACAATAACACAGTTTGACTATATTAATTGACATATAATTATATCAACTACAAATGTTTCAATACGACACTATAAAAATTTCGATAGATGAAATGATATGATTAACTATAGAATTTATTTGAGATATTAATGTTAATCATCATTATTTTTATAAACAAATAGAGATTTAATGAATGAAAAACATTTAAGGCCCCCCCCACTCGAAAAAAATCGATTTCCGTCAAAAAAGTCGAAATGGAAATAAATGCATAGGAAGATAGCCTGAAGTTTGCTCTTTCAGAAATACGATGGTTTTTATTTGGTACGCCTGGTTTTTTGATGATATAGGCCATGTTTTGCTTGAAAAATAGGCTTTTTTCATAGAAAACCTAAAATGTTTTTCGTTTTTTCTCAGTTAACACTTTTTCGGACGCGCATCCAAAATTTCTTGACCAAAGAGCGTCCAATATTTGAAATTTTTTTTTTGTTTGAAAGAGCATGTCAAGGCGCAGGGCATGATAGAGTCCTTTTTTAAAAAAAAGTTTTGCTTTGATTTTATATACAGACATTAATATGAGTAGGCACCCATTTTTTAAGAGTTTTTGAGTCATTGACATTATGACTTCTTTTCGTCGCGAAAAAAGTAAGTATTTTAAAAAAAGGGCTCTACCATGCCCTGCGCCTTGACATGCTCTTTCAAATGAAAAACAAATTTTTTAATTTTGGACGCTCCTTGGTACCGAAATCTTGGATGCCAAATCAACTACTTTTGACCCTTACTTGGTGCATATCTCTGCAAGACGTCGTCGGATCGGGCTGAAATTTTTACCACAGCTTCTCCAGTATAGGCCCAACATATCCTGAAAATTTCATGCGATTCGCACGAGCCAATCCTGAGAAAAGTTTTTGAGTGGGGGGCCTTAATTATTTTTTTCAAGATTTGTATTTTATAAATGTTATTTCTTAGAGATCTTTACCATTGGTTAATTTTTTTTGTTTCTTAGGATCTCTTTTTTTCTTTACAGTATATTTGAAAAGAATGTACAAAATAAAAGTAAAACTATTCGAAATTATTTTGAAAAAATGAATTTTCTTATTGTTAACATTTAATATTTCTACTGATGTCAGGAATAGTTTTGATACAAGTTATAATAAATATTAATCCTTTTCTATGTATATTTTGCAATGAATATTGAGTCATGGGTTTTTTAATGAAAGGCAATTTTATGCCAATCGTTCTTTTTTTTTTTCTTTGATCATATATAGTTCATTTTCCATTATGTTTTATTTTAAATTGAGGATATATTAACTGGTTGATGAAATAACTGAACTGGTTAATAAAAAATATAGAGGTGGTCAATATAATATTGATAATAACCAAATGATGCGTACGAGACTAATTCTTGAGGGTGTGGGTGTGGGTATAGTTGTAGGCGTGCGTGTGGGCGTGGCGGTAAGTGTGGGTGTGAGCGGTGTGACTGTAGATATTATATTTTTTCGTAATTAACACATATATCCACATAAACCCCACCCACACCCACACCCACCCTTACAAGTGAGCTAATTTGGTCTCATAAACGCTTGATGCAATCGCCAAAGCTCAATATATTTTGTAGCTGGTCTTATATAATGAAAACTGACTGCTCTTCCAAAGCCATTCGGATGATCTTTATATCCAACTTCTGTAGAATAAAATTCAGGTGGTTGAGAGTTAAACTCTTTTCTATCGATAATTTCAACGTGTGTTCTATTCTTAATACATTGTGGAATAAATTGATCACTTTGAGAAAGTTCAAATGATGGTCGACATTGTCTAATAAACGATGGAAATTGATTGAAAAGAGCTTTAGAAATAACATATCCTCCTCCACCACAAAAGCCTACTCCACAAGTAGATTGACCGATCATAAGAGAACGTCGAGAATCATATTCCGAAACTAGTAATTCTAAATTTGGTGGAGACACAAAAGTATCATCATCCATAACCATAATCCATTGTAATTCATTTTTGTATTTACTTTGATTTATTTTCTCGCTAATCATTGCAAGTCCTTGTGCTAATTTTTGCATACTTCCAGCACGATTGATAGGTCTTGGTGTATCAGAAGTAATCACATCATATATTGGTAGACGACTATCAGATGATGTTTCGCCAACGAAAAATAAACGAGATGGATGCAGTGTAATTCCAATAGTACACATAATTATATCACAACGGGAACGTAAGAATGAATTACCTGTCATGATCATGTAAATAATACTACCTCTTGGATTATTATGAGGAAAATATTTCTCTTGTTTCCAAAGTTGATAATCCAACTCTGTCCACAGAGAAGAAAGATTAGCTGAGTAACGACGAGAAGAAATAAATGAAAATGGAGACTGTGCACTATTAAAGTGGTTTTTGACAATTGTTTTCGATACAAACCATAGGAAAAAACAGAGTATCAGAAAAATAAACCAGATAAGGCGATTACGCGATGGAAGAATATCCATTCTATGAAGATAATCTACAGAAATATAAGAATTTATTCATTAGTTATTATTATTAGAAAGAAGTCAATATACATATTATGTCTTTTTGTTTCGTTCCACATACTTGTATTCAAATTTCAAGTTATATCCACCCATATAGCATCATCTGGTGTTTATCAATCTACTGAATTAAAACCTTTATTTTCTAAGTAAAAACTTTATATTCTCTCTTTCATAGTACAGTTGTACAAAGTTATATTAACGATATGTGGAGACAATATATCTTATTGATTTTAGGTCTTGTTCGTACCGACATATACATATATGATAGCCCTATCTTCTATTTTTTAAATGCTCTTAATACATCGAACTCACCACAATTAAATAATTGAACCAAAGAGATTGATGAAATTTATGGTGTTATTGTCTATTTCTTTCATGTATATGATTAAAGAAAAAATAACTATATAACAAAATTATTGCCATAACACAAGCAAAAGAACATTATGAAATGTACAAAAATTTTAAGTCGTAATAGTTCCTTATATTTTTTTATTATTTCAATCGTTTGAAGAACGAAAAAAAACCATGTGATGATGTATTGTTTTGAGATGCACATAAACAGTCTCTAACTTATACCATGAAAATTTCGAAAAATTATTTAAATAATTATTTGATTTTAAGCCAAATCTTGTGAATAGAAAGATTCAATACAATTGAAGTACTCACACCCACATAATCTATAATCAATCACATGCGTTGTATTTAGATATAACATGGTTTTTTTACGTAACAGAAAATAAATAAAGAGAATGAGAAAAAGAAAAAATAAAAGTAACAAATCGTCAGCATGGGTTGATGATATTAATTTAACTTTCTTCTTCGTCCTCCCCTTCTGTTTCGGTTTGTTGTAACCAAGAAAAAAAACTTTTCGTAGACCTTTTAATAGCAGCATGTCCTAGACAAAAAAAACGTATATGATTGTCTTCTAAAAAAATATAATTTACCTTCAGTATCAGATGGATCGGGTTGGTCGAGCCAATCATAAAATGTATCTTCACTTATACATTCTTCATCGTAAAATATATGAAATAATTGTCGAGCCATTTCTATAAAAATAAAAATTTATCTTCTATCAATAATAATATTAATTTCATATTATTTAACATACTTGGTGGATTTCCAAGTTTATTAACAAAATTTTGAATAGCATAAACAGCTTCAAGTTCTACTTCTGGGTCATGTTCAATAATATCATTGAGTATAGTCATTCGTTCTCTTGCAATATCTTCTTGAATTTTCTTTTGTGAATTATGAGTATCTAAACATGCTTCCAAATAAGATAAAACAATATTTCGAATACAAAATTTTTCATGTGGATCCATATGCTATTTAAAAATTAGTAGAAAAACAGTTCAAAATTTAATTATTTTAATTTTCTTACTTCAGAAATATATGTAATAATTTCCTGATCAGTTACTGTTGTACCTTGATCATTAACAGATTTAAATAATTTAACAAGTTGAGAATCCGCACGTGGAAGAAAATTTTCTTTTGTTTGAACTGTCAAAGGTTCATTTTCAGGTGTAGCAAATAACCAATCATATGCTTCCATAAATGAAGGATCAATACGATCAGATTTAAGTACATCCTTAATAGATATACCAGACGTTTGCCAAAATTCTTGTAAACGTGATTGAGACTAAAAATAGATGAAAACAATCAATTACTTGAAGCATATTAGAAATAAATTTTACCGAAAATTCCGTTGCATAGTGAATAATATATTGAAATAATTCGTTCGATATATCTTCTGGGACAGATTGTAAAATTGGTTTTATTAATGACATATTTGAAGTTGAACCACCAATAAATGCACCTTAAAATTTCAAGAAAATATTTTAATTAAATGAGGAAAAAAGAAATCAATTAACATACCAATTATTTCACCAAAATACTGCCAAATTTCAGGAACGTCAATTGCATAATCAATTGCAACTTCGAGAATCATTTTAAAACTAAATAAAATATTTCGATTTTTTGTTTTTGCTTTTTCTAATAAAACATACCCGGCAATAAAAGCGTCAGTAGAAATAATGCCTCCATTAAGTGTAGCATTAAGTAAATGTCCAGCACCTTGTCGAGCTTGTCGTTTAGCTTCTAAATTATTCTTAAATAATTCTCGAACAATAATTGCTTGTTGATCATGACTTGGTGTGTAAAAAGCAAATAAATCTTGCAATCCTTCCTAATATTTCAAATAGAAAAAGATATTTTTTTCCAAAAAAAAAAAACAAAAATCTTTACTTTAACAGGTCGATCGCTAAATAATGGATACTTTTCAGTATATTCTTCAACAAGTGAATGAACACGAGCTTGAGTTTGTTCTCCTTCAAATGAAGCATTGATTATACCTTAATTAATTACTTTATAAATACTTTACTTGTTTGAGGTGTTACACTAGAAATCGATGTGAGTTCACTAACACTTGATGCATGTGATATATTACAAGATTCTTTACGACTAATATTAAATGATTCTTCACATGAAATTGTTATAGATGAACTAAGAGAAGCATTTACTGAACTATTTATTCCACTAGCAGTAATTGTTTTTCGTAAAGATTGTAAAGCATTTTCACGATCACGATGACTATGTTCACGTGCTAGTTCCTAAAAAAAGTCAGAAATAAAAAAAAAAGAATTACATTCTTTCTTACAAATGGTGATTGTCCTTGAAGAGGATAAGATAGATCATCTTGAGATGGACTAATTTCAATTTTTACTTGTTGAACTGGTTCAGCAGATGATTTATTAGCACTAAAATGAATTAAAATAATCTTGTCTATGACTTATTTAATTTATTTACCGTTCAGCTAATAAACGAGCTTCTTCAAGTCTTATTTCGATTTCAGATCGTTCTGCCCATGAACCTTTTGATGCTAAACCAACAGTCTATAAAATAAATCAATTTGTTTTTATTCGATATTATTATATCTGCTAAATTACTGATTGTCCTTGACTTTGTTTATCATTTGATTGTAATAGTTTTAATAAGCTAACATTTAAACTATTTTCTACTTTATCTTCACTATTTCTAGGATGAGCAGTACCAGTTGTAGTGTGATGAAGTTGTTGTTGATCGCGATCTTGTCCAAGACTTTCATAAATCGTTGTCGGATTTGCTTCTTCGACAGGATGCGCAACCCATGAAGCCTAATCAATTACTTATCTCTATTGAATTTAAACGTTTTATTCAACAACTTACTCGTCTTAATTCTAAAAGCTCATGTATCATAGAATGAATACGTTCTGATGTTCTATGTTCTTTATTAATATTATCTAATTCACGATAATATTTATCCAATTTTAATTCATTTGAAGACTATAAAATAAGAATGATAATTCAATAGAATAAAAACATACTTTTTCACTAACTTTTTCATCAAGTTCTTTACCAATCGTATGTAAGAGACAACATAAAAATTCAAGATTTTCTTCACCAGGTTTACCAAAAAGTAAATATTCAATACAACCATAGATAATATTATCAGTTAACATTTGTAATTTAAATAATTCACCAATAAAACTGAAATTTGAATTTTAAAAATGTTCTAGACTTTGTCTATTAATTAATAAATCTACTTACAAAATATTTCCTAATTTCCTTAATTTAGCTTTAATAAGATCTTCTTCTAATTTTTCAGCTTCTTCTGCACGTTGTTTTTCATCGGTAATAGCTCCTAGTTCATTTTTTCGTTTTTCATAGCCAATTTCCTGACGATAATCATTTTCGAATTCTGTTTGACAACGTGTTAATAATATTTGACGAAAAGAATATGTTACTGTTTTACCATCTTGACCAAGTGCGGTTACGCGTTTCTTTAAATAAAATAAAAAAAAGAAATAACATCATCAAAATTAAATAAAAAACAAACTTTTTGAAATTGTCTACATAATTTAGCGTATAGAGAACAAAATGCTGGTTCATCAACAGCCTAAAATTAAAAAAAAAATATAAATTTTATTTAATAAAAAAAAACGATAATTTACTTTTAAAAAAAATATATCAATCATTCCCTTTAACTGTTCATAATGATCGATTTCTAACGTTTCAAGTTGTTGTTGTATTTTATCATATGTTTGTGTTGTAAGTTTATTTAAACTTGATTTAATAACACGTAATACTTTATTATTCATATCAGATGTGCTTATATACATCAGTGGTTGAACAGGAGTTTTTACTTGATGACTAAAATCAGGTTCATTTAATAAATGAACTGCTGGTTTATGTCGTGAATTAATTGTACTAGTTGTTGAATTTTTTCGACTACCTCTCAATGTTGGATTATCGTATGGAGATAATTGTTGCTGATATTGAAGATTTACATCATCTTGTCTATTTACACCTGTATACAAATATAAAAAACAACTAGTTTCATGCCACATAATAACAATATTCAGGATTATTAGTCATCCCGGTAATGTACTAATTAGAGAAGTGCACATAGAAAATTTAGGATGTGGGTTTTATATTCATCTCATAACTATAGCCACACCCTCAAGTTTTATTCGATGAATCGATTTTTTCATTAATTTCAACGCAATTAAAACACTTACGTCGAGAATCGACGACAAATAATTTCGAAACAAAGGGTGAAGGATCTTGTTGAAGTATGATATTTGGTAGTTTGACAAGTTCTTTTTTTATTCGAAGTAATTTTTGTTTAGATTCCTTTAAATTAATCTCATCGATTACATTTTCTTGTTTGATTCGTGTCAACTGTGGAGATAAATCGGTGAATTCAAATTCTAATTCACTAATATATTCAGAAACGTATGTGAGAAATAAATCTCTTGCTTCATCTGCTGCTCTTCGGATTTTATTAACTGATCTACGTTCCCAATCATCAATTTGTTTTGCTAAAAAATGATTTAGTGGGTCAGTTTTTTGCTTAGTTAATATTTGTACAACATTTTTACGTTCATTTTGTATTGTGTCCACTTGTCTATTAAGTCCTCGACGATGATCTTTCAAATGATCAAAGCTAAAACGTTGTGAACAACCTTCACATGCATATAAAACATTTGCTTGTTCACACGTAACACAGTGAACTTTTCCTGTTGTTTCTACTGCTGTTGTCATGAGTCTAATAGTTTGATTCTAAAGGTATGTACGTTTGAGAATATAAAAACGAACACAATGATCACGTGTAGTCATTGTTTTTAGGAGTCCAACGGATTAAGAGAAAATATGGATATCGTTAAAGAGGCACAATAGGTGAGGTAGGATTGGTTATCGATATCATAAAAAGAAACGGTTTCATTGTTATATTAATTGATTATTCATGCGAAACTAATCCATGGCTTGATCATACTATACTGTTTGATATAAAGAAAAAATATCTTACAATTACTTTGTTTATACCTGATTCACTTTTATAATTAAAAGTAATTGTCAAGCGAAGCCAAGGCTACAACGGATAATATAGTGTTTAGAATAATATTTATTCAGGTAATATGATGTAATATAAGAATAGAATATATCAGAAATAATAAATCATATAATAAAATCGAAACTATATAATTATAAAGTATATACACATCGATGTATTAGAAGACGTAGTAGATAAAGCTCAGTAATAAGATTCAGAGATTACTAGAGAGCTATATATTATATACATTGAAATGAATAACAAATTAGTCACGTCGTGGCAAAAGACTTGGATAACTACACTGATCATTTTCAATTTTATTATATTAATTAGTTGTGCAGCACAATTCTGTTAGATATTTTCAATTTAATTCAATTGATTTCTGTATGAAGCTATTGTATAAAACTTACTTCGGTTTATCTTCATTGTCTTCTTGAAGGTGTGGAGGTAGAGAGTGATGCAATATCGATATCCACAACCACAAGAAGAATACAAAAGAAAAAATTGAGTTTTCGATTTTTTTATCTCGTTCTTACTATATAATCTATTTGAAAGAAAATGAAAGCTAAATTTCAGTAATTATTCAGTTCGACGTAAAACAAGATCGCCTATTCTCATCGGTAAATGTAAAAATTCTTTTATCGAATTAAATTTCTATAACTTAGATGCTTTTTTTACATCAAATATATATTTGTTTATTTTTTGTCTTTTAATTGTTGTCAATATTATATTTTAAGGCACCTATTTAAGTGCAAAGTAATTTCTATAAATTCTGAACGAAAACATTTAGTTTTCTAGGCAAAATACTGAAAAATACCCAAGTAAATAAATGGTTTTTGTGAATCAAAAAATTAACTTTTGTTAAGTAATAAATATGGAAGTGTATAAAACCGTTCGGTGTGGGTGTGGTTCGAATATAACACCCACACCCTCAAGATGGTTTTTTACTTGCTAAAATATGTTTTTAACCGATAAATTCAATGAATTTACCTAATAGTTAGAAATTTAACATATATATTAATTAATACACTTAGAAAAATTTTTAACGATGGAGAAATATTATTTTAAATGAGCATTCAATAAATTCATCGAGCATTCGACTTACTTAGCAGTTGTATATTTTTATTTAGCAGTTAACTATGTGCCATATTTTAATGTCGAATATATTTGATTCTAATCAATAGGCTGGAACCTGTAAGAAAATAATGAAACGGATTTTATACGGCCGCCTTCAGATCTCCGAAATATAATAGGAGACGTTTTGTTTTGAGGATTGATGTGGATATGGGTTTTCCGCTTACTTTCACCCGTAAATACATTCTCATCTACCCATATCGATATTCCAATTTACATTGTATTTGTCCAAATTATAGATTATCGGGATCAATCATATTTGAGAAAAAACTAAAAGAGAACATCTGAAAAATGGTGTAATTGATATTCACGTATTTGTTGATTTTTAGTTATTTTTGAAAACACATTATTTCATGTTGGTACATTTCTGACTACAATCAAGATTTATACTATACTGAGCAAACTTTTGCATTATCGACAATTTGAAAGCTTTTTATAGATATATCTACAGGATATTCTCTCAATTATTTGAGAGGAAAATTCATAAAGAAATTTTTTGACGAAGAATGCAAGACAAATGAAGGAGCTTCTATCAGGTTTCAACCGGTGAATTTCCAGTTTTTTTTGGAACCACTCTTTTATTAGTGCAGACAAAAATAATATACATGTGTTACCATAATTCTCATGATCGTTCTTTTTTTCTTCATCGGAGTCTAATTTAAATTATCATCTAACATTTTTTATTTTTATATATCATTATGATGAATATCATCAACTTGTATCTTAATTATAACTATTACATACTCACATCACACTAATGAATTCATGATTATCTACTTCTACTGGTAAATCTAGCGTATTTTATGTCTGACATGAGTTGTGTTTTTGATGTCTGGAAAAAGATTTTGCTAGAAATTTTGATTGAAGTAAAACTAGTAATCGTTCATTAGATTATCAAGGATATTGCGAATAAACTCTGACTAAATGGATAAAAGAATGATAAAATCAACTATATTATTCTTTATTGAGATAAATAAAATATACAGTTGTAAGTAAAGATATAATGACATTTAGACAATGAGAGAAGTTAATATTCTATATGGAAAATTTTCAGCTCACATATCGTGTTCTAAGTTAATGTTAATAGTTAATTATGTCTCGGCCAAATTTGTCTTTTCTTGCATAATATCTTCTTAATATTTTGACGATACGTTGAAGAAGAAAAATAGTAAATGTAGAAACTAGTACATAAAGGTGTACAACTGATAACGTAGATTAAATTTACGAAGAACCCTTTAATTGCTTGGCTCATATCACTTCTTATGTAGTTCACTGTTGCTTGTGTGTAGATAAACTGGATGCATTGGGGAACAGTTGCAAAAGCATAGCATAATATTTCCAAAATTAACATCACCGAAAATTGTGTATCAATACGTTGTTTGCTTATCTTCATTGACTGTTGTGTGTCATTTTGTTGTATGATAGTATGATTACCGTTATTATTGTTTGGTATACCAGTATTCATAGAAGCAGTATGTGCTGTTGTATCAACGTTGACAGCAGCCGTTCTATTACGAACGCTAGCATGTTGAACACTTTTAAGATTGTAATATGTAAGAACACCAAATATAAGCAGGAGACTAAGAGATGCGAACATATTAAGAAATACACCAAGAAAGTACGAACTATATATTAAGTAGAATGTTGAATCATAAATACATATTGGATAACCGAAACTATTGTCGATGTACCAATAAAGTAAGTCAGGAATTGCTAACAGAAATGATATCAATGTAATAATTGTGACCGAAATTGTTGCCACCTTCATTGAACTTCGTTGTCGAAGTTGAGCATTACGACTAGTGGCGTGATATCGATCGATGGATCCTAAACAAAGTGCTAGAACCAAGAGTGTATAACCAGCATCACCAGAATAATTTACCAATTTACACCACCAAAGATAAGTTTCTGTACCATTCTTACCATTAAAAGAATCAACAACATACGGTAGCATATATAAGAGAATTGCAAAAAGGTTAGCTGTCTGCGTTGCCAGAAGATATATAGAACATGGATTAGCTCTATACTTTTTTGATGAAAATAGTATAATATTAATGGAATTACCAAAAAGGCCAGTGATAATTATACAGAGAGAACCATACATATAAATTTGGTTCGAAATGAAATTTATTGTATCGATGGCTGACGACGACGACGACGACATATTTTTGAACGGAAATTAATAGAATGATGCTATATCATCCAATTAGTTCTCTAATAAAATAATGCTTTCAAGCGAAAATGAAATTTTTAATTGACGGGCTTTTAGATTTATATGTTAGCATACAAAATCTATTTTCCAAAGTACAAATTAGTTACAATAATAATTGTTCTTGCATCATCGATGTGTAAAAAGTGTTTCATCCTTATTTTTTACACAAAGTACTTTGTAGATAATTATGAACATAATTTTTATTCTTTTCTTAGAGCGTTCGAGATAATTGGATTTTTAACAGAAGAATCAAAAGAATAAAATATTTTAAAAAGCTGAAAAAAAACAAAAAATATAATAAACTCATTTTTCTCTCAATTTATTGACTTCAAAAAATTATATGGTTTTTGCAGGCGACGCAATTTGTTTCATCATATTCTTCTTAATATGTAATAAATTGTTTTCTTGAGAGAAGATTTACAAGCCCTGGATCAAGTTGTTTTACGCTAAATTTATTATCTTTATGTGAACTATGCCTTTCATAGATCTGAAAACCTTTAAATTCATTCTCCTATCATCATATAAGATATTCTCTAATAATACTATTTCACTTTTGATGATATATTCTCGAAAAAAACAAGATCAATTTAAAATAATAGAAAGATCGTTATAACTGCATTAGTTTCTATTAATGTACTGACGGAAACAAGAAAAAGAAAAGCAAATAGCTGTAAATACACAGTGTATGGATCAAATTCCACTATTATCTGTAAAACTGAATATTTTCGCGTGTTTATCATTCTATTCAATCTATATCAATGTCCTATATGAACAGTTTTTAATCATCATTAACAAATTTCGGAAAGATTCATCTTCATCCAATATAAATGCGTTGGCCATGTTGTAAGAGCCTCTCTTTCAGGCAAAATATTACACATATCGGTAGTTGGAATGTATCCACGTCGGGTGAAATATTTTAAAAGATATCTTAGACGATCATAAAAACGTGCACCAATATCCCATTCGACAAGAATGACAGGAATATTCACTGAATCAAAAATTTGATTTCCAGCTTGACAAAGATACGTTTCTGCCCATTGAATATCAATTTTCATCACAGCATGTTGAATATTTTTTGCTTTTAATACAGGTAGAATATCATTGAATTGAATAGTTTTCACGACAAAAATATCGTTATAATCCGATTGATTAGCTGTACTATTTGTAATAACTGCTTGTGAACCAATATTGAATGGATTAGATTTCATTTTGAAATAACGACCAGTTTCTGAGTAAATCGCATTACCTAGAAGTGTCACTTTATCGTGAAGTTTTTCAATTTGAATTGCGTTACGAATTCGGTCGATATTTGGTTTAAAACATTCGATTGATATTACATATCTTCCAGAAGAAGCTGCGAACATTGTATATGTTCCAACATTTGCTCCAACATCGATGAAATTCATTTGAGGATATTTTTTCATAAACTGTAATAATCTATTCAGAAGATCTTCTTCCCAGATTTTTTGCATAAAAATTCTTCTGCTAACTGCATCTCGAAAATCATGAAGACAGATTGTTGTTTGAATGACGAACAAACGTTTTGTTTTAATACACGTATAATTTTCTTTCGTTTCACTTCGTAAATCAACTATATTTACGTTTGGAGATAAGTTCAATATTGGAAAAGTCACCGGTACGTCTATTCTAGTAGTTGTTGTTGGAACGATTAATATCTTTTGCGGATAATAAACGATACTTAGTACGATTATAACCAATATAATAAATACCAAACGACACTTTTGTCGAAAGAAGAATTTAGATAGGGAAAACTGCATTACAACTTTACTATTGTTACAGATTAAGAATAGTTGTTTATATCACGAATATCAAATAAGTGTTGCTTTGAAACGAATGTTTGTATTGGTTTATAATACTAAAGGAAAATAATTCGATAATTTCATCTAACATATATTTCTCATTAGAAAGGGTGTGGGTATTTCATTAGTATCACATCCACACTCAACTTGAACGTATCTCTATCAATGAGAAAAAATCAGCTTGTTTGTTCGAGTCATAAGTATGATATTCAAATTCTTTTTAAGGAACTCTTGAAACACTCTATATTTGTTATACACAGATTGCCTCTCTGTGAATATTAAAACTAAGTCAATTTTGGAGGAGATTTTTGAGAAATTTTAAATAGTTTATAAGGTTAAAAAGAGATATTTGACTGTACTTGAAAACCATCTGAGTTTATGTTATAAAATAAAATAAAATAAAAAGAATTGAATTAATAATCACCAGCGTGCACTTGCCAACTGAGAATGATGTGTGTGTGTTTGTCGAACAGTTTTGTCGTTTCTCCTTATTTTTCTTGCATTGATCTTCAAGAAAACGCGACAGCTGAATTTTTTGTCCAAAACAAATATAAATTATACACTAACGAGAAAAGAACAATCTCACGAGTTTTGAAAACAATTTCAACCAGCTGTTTATCGTTACGAGTTTAATAGGAAACAAAAGTAATTTATTTGTAGATTTATTAATCGGATGTGGGTAAAGAGTATACGCTTATATCCATCCATCCACACACACATTCTCAAGAAACAGAAAACTGAATTATATTCTGATTATCATGACTCAAATGATGAAAAAAAATTGTCATTCTTTTACTTGTGTCAAATGCAAGAGAATGTGTGACATGAGAAGGTTAAAACAAATATTTAAAAGAGCGATATTTATTTTGTATATTCTTGATTGTTTATTATATACTATGCATGCTCATATTTATTTGAATGCATTTCGAGTCTCGAAAATAATTTCTTTTTATTTTCACAATGACGCGAATGAAAATGCTTAGTTTTGATTATGCAAAAGATCGTTAGTCAGTTTATTATAGTGGAAAAAAATGGAGGAAGCTTGAGCAAATTCATTTCAAATATTAGGTCAAGAGATGACAAAAGATGAATGGATCAGGAATGCGTATGTTCCATTAAATTTATCTTATTAAATTATTGAATATTTTGATCTCTCGGGTCTAGATGTTAATAAGATATATGAGAAATAGAGTAATGAATTATCTTTACCCACATCCTCACTGCCCTCATACTCTCAGGAACGTAGAATACATCGTTGAAGCAACATGGAAATCTACGCTTTGATTACATTCAATCTCCGATAATTTTGTTTTCCTCGAAGAGAAAATTTGCTATTTTTTATAAAACCTACTTGAGTTCTGTTTAAGATTTTATTTATTTATTTTTATCTTATTTCTTTATAAAGACTTCATACCTATCTCTGCTCGTTTCAGCATTTTCACCAATGATATATATATATATATATATATATTTTAGTAAAACAATATTGCCAAATGAATATTAGGATTGCAATCTCATATTCTATTATTGAATACAAAATAAAAGGCATTTGATCATTTTTTTGAATAACTATTAAAAAGAACAAGATAAACAACTGAGATTACCGCGAGTATTCGTGAAAATACACACAATATACGAAGTTGATGGATAGTTCATATCTTGCTCTTTCGAATGGTGAAAATCGCAGCTCTCCGTCTTGTTCTTTTCAAAAGTTATTCAAAAAATGATCAGATATCTTTAGTTCTAAATCTGATGATAGTGATATTATGATGCAAAAAACGATGAGACGTATTACAATTATATGTTATGCTGACCAATACATTTATATATTTCAATTTTATTGGTAAAGGTCATCCAATAGCACATATTAGTAATATAGATCGAGATTGTTTGTAAAGTTATTGAGAAGGATTTAACTGGAAGAGGATGGCAAGTATGATAGAATATCTCACGAACAGATGAAATCTACACCCACTCTTCATCTTTATCTCAAACATTACATTCTCTAAGACAATAACAGAACTTTATCGTATGATCATACTTTATTTGTAGGATTATTGACGTCTTTCTATAGTATCATATGATGAAAAAAAAGGGAAGTAAAAAACAAAAACGATAAGAAACAAGCTCGTGCTATACAACTATTTGAATATTATTCGTGTTTCAATTTTATTATTAATCATTGTTATGGATTATTACAACATGTATAATCATACTACATATCGGTATTTTCCATTTACTAATATTAAGTGTAACTTATGGTATTTTTCCATGAATCACTATGGCATTTTCCTTTTCACTTGTGTATGTCTATACATGTATATAAACGCACACACATCTTTCTGTTGTTCTTATTCTCCTTGTTATACATTCTTTTCTGTTCTTTTCTTTTTCTTCTCGTTCGTGTCATTAAATAAACAACTCACACATATATCTACATACGTATTTCATAATCATAAGGTGTTTTTTCCTTCTATTTATTTCAAGATTCATTTACTGTATACGGGAATTTATCGAAAAATATTCCATCATTACTGCATACGATGAGCTCAACAGCGAACACAAACAATAATGAAAGAAAAATACGAATACGTCAATTTTTTGTAAGCAGCATGATTCTACTTATTATTTTGAAAAATGACAATTTGATATTTTATTTGTTACTTTAGAATACGATGGATATTCAATCCATAGATCCTCTATGGTCTAACTCACTGAAACCTGGTATCGAGAAACTATTGTCAGGTTTTTATAGCGAACCCAATTTTGAAGAGTTGTACCGAGCTGCTTACACATTGGTACTCCATGGACATGGTCAAAAACTCTATGAGAAAACTCGGGAATTAATTATTGAATACCTCGTCGAAAAGGTACGCCAAGCTCGTTTTTCATGTAAGATTTTCTTCGATTTTGTGTAGGTAAGACCAAAGCTTGCTGGATCACCTTCAACAGAATTCTTGGTTACACTCAAACAAATATGGAATGATTATGAAAGAAGCATGGTTATGATTCGTTGCATCCTTATGTATATGGATCGACACTATGTTTCAGGACAAAGACTCGAACCTGTCTATGATTTAGGTTTAAGATTATTTCGAGAAAATATTATTCTATTTTCGACGACACGCCAATATTTCATTAACGCATTATTGGAGATGATGGCTCGCGAACGACATGGTGAGATCATAGATCGAACAATTATCAAAGATATTTCTCTTAAGCTAACAAAACTGAACATTAATGAAACTAGTTTCTATAATGAAGATTTTCAGACATTGTGTTTACAATACTTATCTGAATTCTATCAATCTGAAAGTAAAAAATTGCTATCCGAAAACGCTCCATCGGAATATATTAAAAAAATCGATCTATTTATTAACGAAGAAACTGAACGCATTATTTTCTATTTTGATCAATCAATCGAGAAACGTTTTCGTCAGTTAGTATTAGATGAGTTCATTATCAAACATAAAGAGCATTTGATGAAAATGGAAAAATCACGCATTCATCAAATATTAGAAATGGATCAATATGAAGAACTTGAAATGATTTATAGGCTTTACCAACGAATACCGAATGGTCTATTGATTATTGCTGATTGTATTAGTGAATATTTACGTGAGCATGATCAAACATTACTTATTACAAATGAAATTCAAAACAAAAATTTCATTAGTTTTCTCGAAAATTTTATTGATCTCAAAGGAAAATTTGATAAGTTTGTAGTAAAGGCTTTTGATTTCGACTCAATCATCACGCAACAAATTGATTCTGATTTTGAACATCTGATGAATTTGAATGAGCATAGTCAAGAGCATCTTTTAACATTTATTGATGATCATTTGAAAGATAAACAAAGTCTTAATGATCTACAAATTGTTACATTGATAAAAGCAGTTCTTCTATTACGTTATGTGAAAGACAAGGATCTTTTACTACGATATTACAACTATATGAAAGAAAAGTCTGTTCTTGATGAGATGTTTCAATCAGATCAATATGAAATACTTGCAATCGTTTATAAAGATTGTCAACAAATACCTGATTGCCTTTCAATAGTGGTTGATTCCATGAGCAATAATCTACGTAAACGAGGTGGAACATTATTAACCGGAAATGTGACTTTATTTATAGAGAATTTAATGAAATTGAAGGATACATTTGATCAATTTCTTATTAAATCTTTTCATTCTAACAACATATTTGTTCAACAAATGAATTCTGATTGGGAATATATTATTAATTTAAATGAACATAATCCTAAATATTTTTCATTATTTATTAATAATCAATTGAAAAAAAGTAATCAAAATCGTGATCATCAACAAATAGAAGGAATATTGAATAAATTAATCAAACTTATAGGTTATTTAAAAGAACAAGATACTTTCAAAGAATATTATGAAAAACATCTAGCTAAACGTCTTCTTTCAAATCAATCTGCATCAAAAGATCTGGAAAACTATGTATTATTATTATTCATCAACAATTTTGGTAATGAATTTACGTCAAAAGTAAAATGTATGCTAAAAGATGTGTCTTTATCAGATACATTAAATAAAGATTTTCAATCTTATGTCAATCAGAATGGACTCAATTTGTATGATATTGATTTTGTTGTACGAGTATTGAAAACCGATTTTTGGCCAATTTCTTCTATCAATAATCAATGTAACCTACCAACAATAGTACGTAAGACCTATGATTGTTTTCAAGATTTCTATCTAAACAAACACAATGGTCGTCGACTAACATTACTATCACAATTAGGTTCAGCTGATCTAGAAACAGTCTTTTATGAAAAATCAACAAATAAAGAACGAAAATATATTCTTCAAGTATCAACCTATCAAATGGTGATCTTAATGTTATTTAATACGAAAGATTATTGGTCATTTGAGGTTAATTTATTATTGAACCGATAATGAACATTTTTTCATTATACAGACAATTTTTATATATTTTAGGAGATTCTACATGAAACAGATATCAATGAAGATGATTTAAAACGAGCTTTAATTTCATTAATCTCTTAATAAAAATACGGATAATATTCTTGTCAAAGAATTAAACAGCAACATTTTTCAATCAAATGATCGATTTTCTATAAATGATTCATTTACATCGAAACCTTATCATGTTAAAATCTATTCATTGAATGGCAAAACCAAAAGTAACACAGATCGTCAATATATTCAAAATAAACTTAATCATCATCGGGAGATTGAAATCAGAGCTGCTCTTATACGAATTATGAAATCATTTCAAACTATGACACATAGTCAACTAATCACTGAAGTACGTTTTATTTTAGTAATAACATAAACTTGTCATAGAACTTATTTTTTCTCTAGGTTATTCAAACACTCAGGTGTCGCTTTATACCTTGCCCAGTATCGATTAAACAAGAAATAGAACGATTAATCGAAACAGATTATTTGTCACGATCGAAAGATGATAAGTATGTTAGATTCAATAATTTATTCTATGATCTATTTATTTTCTATTTAGAAACACATACATCTATATCGCTTGAGACGCAAATTAAATGAAAATATTATAATCCAGAACTCGAATTGTTCATTTTTAGAGTTTTTTTTTCTTCTTAATTTTTTTGCATCATGTCTTCTCACAAAATGTGAAGATTTCATTTAAAAAATACTCATAAATATTTATTTTTCTTTTAGTTTTTTTCCATAAAATAAAAAAAAACGGAAGAAAAATTATTATTGTTCTTGATTTTCATAGATGCTGTATAACACGCTTATGGTTTACATCGACCAACAAATCGTGGATAAAAACAAACATCACGAATATGATGACGCTTTGTTAACCATTTCATAAAACGATCAAGACCAAGACCATAACCACCATGAGGAAATGTACCATATTTACGCTAGAAAAAAGATAGATATCTTTAATTATTATCTTTTCAATTAATTTTAGTTAAGATAATTTACTTGGTCTAAATACCAATAATATGATTCTGTTTTAAGACCATTTTCACGAAAACTTTCTGATAAATCTTCAAAATCTGTCATTCTCATGCTACCACCAGCTATTTTACCAACACCTGGCATTAAAACATCAACCTATAGAATTATTTGAAAAACTAATGAATATATTAGAATAAAAATAGAAATTACGGATTCTACTAGTCGACTATCTTTTGGATCACGTTGCATATAAAATGATTTCAGTTCTGCTGGAAATCGACAAAATAAAATAGGTTCATTGATTTGATCAATCATTTTTCTTTCAGGCATTACAGGTATGCATTCGCCAAACTCATAAAATCTTCCGGTCTCTTCATTCTTAATTCCATTTTCTGTTAACCACTCAATACCATCACTATAGTTCATACGTCTCAATGGTCTTTTCCGTGCTTTGAAACCCTAAACAAAAATAAGTTAATTTTATTCAATAATTTTTTATTTTCGATCAGTTTTTTTTCTTCATACTGGATTAACTTCAAATACAAGATGAGCTTCAGGATGTTTCAGAACTCGATCAACAACATCAACAATAAGATCTTCGATTCGATCTAATAAATCATCAAATGATATAAATGCACATTCAGCTTCAACATGTGTATATCTTAAAAAACATTTTTTTAAATCAAAACAAAATCGTATATAATTGTTTTTTCATATTCTTACTCAGCTAAATGCCGACGTGTACGACCTAGTTGAGCTCGGTATGATTGAGTTATACAAAATACATCACCTAATGCTGGACAAGCTGTTTCAAGATAAAATTGAGATGATTGAGTTAAATACGCTGGTTCTCCAAAATAATCAAGACAAAAAAGAGTTGAGCCACCTTTAACTTGTGTTTGAACGAGAGTTGGTGGAAATGTCTAATTGAATTATAAGAAGAAAATATAATCAATGGAATTTATTTTTAAACTTTTATTTACTTCATAATATCCACGATCAAAGTAATGATCACGAAAACATTGTGTAACAATCGAACGAAGACGTAAAATTTTTGATATCTTAATAGAATTATTTTTCTTTGGAAATATTAAAAATAGATAAACTAACATTTTCTCCTCGAAGCATCATATGTCGATTGTCTAGTTGAATATCAGGATGAAATTCCTAATAGATAAAAGAAAATTTTATTAAAAAAGTTTTTTTCCAAATCATATAAATTAAACAAACTTCGTTAAGTAATGTATCAGCACCATCAGGTGGTGAGTGTCCAATAACTTCAAAATAATCAGCTACTAATTCTTGATTCCCAGGTGCAGTTTGACCTTCTGGTATAGGACGAACAACACCATAAACACATATGGTTGCTTCACTTGATAAAGTAATGGCATCATATGTTTGACACTGTACAATAAAGAATATATTCTCTTTTTCAAAAGAAAACATTCTATTTATCATACTAGTTTATCCACAAGAATACATTGTAAAAATCAAGTACCATCTCGTAAAACAACAAACATGAAATTTTTACCTAAATAAAATAAACTCTATGTAAACATAAATTATTTTCTTATTTATAAAACCTCGTCGTCGAATACGATGTACCCATCCAAATACTTTCACACGTTCACCATGTTGATTTTGTAATGCTTTGATTTTATGCTAAAATATAGTTCTCAATTTTTTTTTCAAATATTATATATTTAACATACTGCTTTTGCTGTTGGTAATGATGTATCTTCAGTAATAATAACTTTTCTTGCTTCTTCTATATTTTTTTGTCGTTGTGGTCGTTCTTTTTCCTAAAGAAATTTACGAGAGAATTATTTTAGTTGATTTTATTTTTGAAACTTACTTTTCGTTCGGCTGCGGCTTTTTCTTTACGTTTTTCAACTTCGTAAAGAGTTTTAACTTTTTTTGATTGAGCCTTTGATAATAATTCCCATTTATTCTAAATGAAAAAATATTAAATAAATACCAAATATATACATATCTGATTATACTTTAGTTTCATCTTTTGCATCAATGTAAATTGTTAGATTAATATACTTGTAATGGTGTTTTGAATGGTTTGCCTTCTGATCCGTCACCATTTTCATCACTACCATGTTTTTGCGATGTATATACAATTGTTTCTTTTATATAATATTAAAATGAAATAAGTTAATAATTGTAAACTATACTAACGGGTAGACATTGTATCGATTTGTTCTGCTAATGTGTCTGTTGAACTTGCCATTGTAGTAATATAATACGTAGATAGATTAATGAACAATATATTGAAAACGATGTAATAATATGATATAAATAGATGACTATTGCATCATCTCGTAACTTTTATGTTAGAGAAATATTGCAAGTCGTCGCGGAAAAAAATATAAAAGATATTGGCAAATTACACACGTAAACAGATTTTGAAGGAGTAAAATAGCAGCGATCATAGCGCCTTCAAACTAGTGAAAATAAATGATGATTGGCTCATAGGCTTCCACAACAATGTTCCGAATAGCAAGTGTACGAAAACTTTGCGACATTTGAAACACACGTTGTTTTACACTTTGTTTTTCATTCATAAATTGATTTTCTGTTGTTGTTAAAGTAAAATGTTAATATCTTAGTTTTTCTCGAAGTATTTCTATTCATGTTAAAGTACAAAAATAATTGTGGGCGTATTAGCTGTATATTTAGTATAATATGCATTTTTTCTACATTCTTTATCAGCTAAAAATATGAACATTTTCGATTTTTCTAAAATATAATTAAGTTCAATATGTACATTTTGTTTTTGAATTCTGTTTGGATTCTTGGTTCACAAGACACCGTGTATACATATATTCATGTATACATAATCCCTTAATGCTCATTTTATTTCTTAAAGTGATAAAGAAAAAAAATGATATGATTGATATAGAATAAAGATCAATAATAGTTTATTTTTTCTAATTGTTTTTCCATAAATCTGTGAAACATTCCTGCTGTTGACAAATTCCCTCTTGTATTTCCATTTTATTACTATAAACGAACATATAGATAGATTATTTGTTCGTTATTCCTTCACCTATATGATCATATAGTATTATCTTCTTTTCCTTCATATAAGTATCTATTTGGTATTTTTTTGAGGGTGTAGATGTTTTATTACTTTTCCATTCACACTCAACTTGAACGTAACTCTATCAATGATGAAAAATCAGCTTGTTTGTTCGAGTCATAAGGGTGGTATTCAAATTCTTTTTAAGGAACTTTTGAAACACTCTATGTTTGTTATACACAGATTGCCTCTCTGTGAATATTAAAACTAAGTCATTTTTCGAGGAGTTCTCTAACAAGATCTAAATAATTTATAAGGTAAAAAGAGATATTTGACTGAAATTGAAAACCATCTGAGTTTATGTTATAACATAAAGTAAAATAAAAAGAATTGAATTAGTAATCACTAGCGTGTTCTTTTCAGCTGAAAATGATGTGTGTGTTAGTCAGACACTTTGTCGTTTCTCCTTGTTTTTGTTGCATCGATCTTCAAGAAAACGCGTCAGCTGAATTTTTTGTCCAAAACAAATATAAGTCATATAGTAAAGAGAAAAGAACAATCTCACGAGCTTTGAAAACAATTTCAACCATCTATTTATCATTATGAGTTTACTAGGTAACAAAAGTAACTCATTTGCAGATTTATTAATGGGATGTGGGTAAAGAGGATAGTCAAATATCCATCCATCCACATCGTACATCACCCATACACACTCTCAAGAAAGAGATAACTGAATTATATTCTGATTATTATGACTCAAATGATGAATAAAAAATTGTCATTCTTTTACTTATTTTTTTGTGTCAAATGCAAGAGAATGTGTGACATGAAAAGGTTAAAATAAATATTTGAAAGAGTGATAGGTATTTTGTACATTCTCGATTGTTTGTTATATAATATGCATACTCATATTTGTTTGAATGCATTTCGGGTCTCGAAAATAGTTTCTTTTTATTTTCACCATGATACAAATGCAAATGCTTGGATTTGATTATGAAAAAGATCGTTAGTCAGTTTATACATACATCTCTATTGTTTTTGTTCTCCTTGTTATACGTTCGTTGTACATTCTCTTTCTATTTTTTTCTTTTTCTTCTTGTTTGTGTCATTGAATAAACAACTCACACATATATAAATACATACGTATTTTACAATCAAAAGGTGTTTTTTTCTTTTTTTTTAAAGATTCATTTACTGTATACGAGAATTTATCGAAAAATATTTCATCATTACTGCATACGATGAGTTTAACAGCGAATAGAGACAATAATGAAAGTGGAATGCGAATACGTCAATTTTTTGTAAGCAAGATGATTCTACTTATTATTTTGAAAAATGACAATTTGATACTTTATTTGTTACTTTAGAACCCGATGGAAATTCAATCCATAGATCCTCTATGGTCAAAATCGTTGAAACCTGGTATCGAGAAACTATTATCAGGTTTTTATAACGAGCCCAATTTTGAAGAGTTGTACCGAGCTGCTTACACAGTGGTACTCTTTAAACATGGCCAAGCACTCTATGAGAAAACTCGGCAATTAATTCGTGAACATCTCGATAAAAAGGTACGTCATACTCGTTTTTCATATATGATTTTTTTTGATTTTGCGTAGGTAAGACGAAGGCTTTTTGGATTATCTTCAACAGAATTCTTGGTTACACTCAAACAAGCATGGGATAGTTATGAAAAAAGCATGGATATGATTCGTTGCATCCTTATGTACATGGATCGACACTATGTTCCAGCACAAAATCTTGGATCTGTCTATGATTTAGGTTTAAGCTTATTTCGAGAAAGCATTCTATTTTGGACAACACGACAATATTTCACAAACGCATTATTAGAGACGATGGCTCGCGAACAACGTGGTGAAAACATAGACAGACAAGTTATCGAAGATATTTCTCTTATGTTAACAAGATTAAACATTAATGAAGGTGATTTCTGTGATGAAGATCTCCAGAAATCGTGTTTCCAGTACTTTTTTTAATAATCAAGACAACACGAATAACGTTTGAAAATAAATGAAGAAAAAAGACAAAAAAGAAATATTTTTTATTTACTATTTTTTATTCATGAAAAAAAGATTGAAATAAATATTATAAATACGTATGTAAAGAGAGAAGGTAAAGAAAAATTAATCATATTTGTATGACGCAAGGCCTTTCGAATATGTTTGCTTCTTTGTCAAGCGATTGTCATATTGTTTATATATAATGAAATAATATGAATATCTAAGATATCAATACATGATGATAAAATGCTACGAATTTTTGAGAAATAGTTGCATTTCTTCAAGGATGTGATTGTATTAATCCAGATATAGGGAGAGACATTTACAAATGATTGTGATTATATTTTTGAAAGAATATTGAAACAATGAACGATTGAAAGCCTAGGGAGAGACGTTTACATCAATTTGAAACGATTCTCTTTATTGTTTATTATTTTTATTTTTGATATTTTTATCTTGGTGTTGATAGATGTTTTTACTTTTTTTTAATCTTTCAATAAAATGATGTTCTTCTCTTGTTTTTCTTTTTTCATTTTTAGTGATGATCATCAATCAATTACCGACAGTTCTGGTTCAATCATCTTTCTGTTTATTCATGAATTATTTGACTCGTTAAATAGTAATATGTAAAGATGCTTACTCATTGTAAAAACATTCATAATAGCTTCACAAAGAAGCAAACGTATTCGAAAGACCTTGAGTCTTTGAAATATATTTCTATAAAATTCATTTAATTTTTCTCTTTCTACTCTCTTCACAAACGTACTTATGATGGTTATTTCAATCTTTTTTTTTTTTCTTAATTTATTTTCAAATGTTATTTGTGTTGAATAGGCATATTAAAAAAGCAGAATTCTATCGATCTGAAAGTAAAAAAATTTTGACCGAAAACGTTCTATCGCGATATATTAGAAAAATCGATTTATTTATTAACGATGAAAATGGAAAAATCACGTATTCATCAAATGTTAGAAATGATTTTTAAGCTTCACCAACTGTAAGAGAACAAGATATTTTTTTCGCTATTTCTTCATATATATGATCACATGGGATTTTTTCCTTTTCTTTCACATGTATGTTCGTATGGGATTTTTCCTTTCGTTATCTTACTGCGTTCTTCTCCTTCTGTTCTCTTAATTTATATCGAAACGTGTTATTTCCAAGTGATGAGCTAAAGGATATCACTTAAATATCTTTCTTAAAATATGTTGTCTTACAAGAGATGGGAATAATCCAAGTAACCATTTCTTCTTCTATAAATACTTGTGTTTTCCTCTTAAATAAACGAACTATTATTTAATCTCCAAAACTATCTTCTTTTTCTACACGTTAAGATAAAACTATAACAATCACCAGCCAGAAGATGTTTTTTTCTTTTTGTTTTCAGATTCATTTACTGTGTACTTTAATTTATCAAAAAATATTTCATCACGAGTGCATACGATGATTTCAGCACCGAACAAAGACAATAATAAAACAAAAATGACAATACGTCAATATTTTGTAAGCAGCATGATTCTACTTATTATTTTGAAAAATGACAATTTGATATTTTATTTGTTACTTTAGACACCGATGGATTTTGAACACACGAAATCATTATGGTCTACAACACTGAAACCTGGTATGGAGAAGGCATTGAAAGGTTCTAATGAAAAGGACAGTTTTGAAGAACTGTATCGAAGTGCTTTCACAATGGTATTCAATGGACATGGTCAAGAACTCTACCAGAATATTCAGAAATTAATTTTTGAGTATCTTGTTGAGAAGGTACATCATGCTTGTTTTTCATGTATGATTTTCTTTGATTTTGTGTAGGTAAGACCAAAGCTTGCTGAATCATCTTCAGCAACATTCTTGGTTACACTCAAACAAACATGGGATGATTATGAAAAAAGCATGTTAGATATTGGTAAAATGCTTGGTTATATGAATCGAGTCTATATTACAGAAAAGAAACTCGAACCTGTCTATGATTTGGGTTTAAGATTATTTCGAGAAAACATTATTCTATTTTCGACCACACGAGAATATTTCAATAATGCATTACGGGAGATGATGATTCGCGAACAACATGGTGAGATCTTAGACCGAACAACTATCAACGATATTTCTCTTATGCTAACAAAATTGAACATTAACGAAGCTGATTTCTATGATGAAGATCTCCAGACATGGTGTTTACAATAATTGAATTAAAAGAAGAAAAAAAAATATAATCCATCGAACTTATTTTTGAACTTTTATTTATTCCATAATAACATTGATTAAGATAATGATTACGAAAACATTGTATAACAATCGAACGAAGACGTAAATTTTTTATGTCTAAATAGAATTATATTTTTCTTTTTTTATGAAAATGACGAAAATAAACAAACTTCATTAAATAATGTATCAGCACGAGCCAAATACTTTCACACGTTCACCATGTTGGTTTTGTAATGCTTTGATTTTATGCTAAAATATAGTTCTCAATTTTTTTTTGAAATATTATATTTGACGTACTGCTTTTGCTGTTGGTAATGATGTATCTTCAGTAATAATAATTTTTCTTGCTTCTTCTATATTTTTTTCTCGTTGTGGTCGTTCTTTTTCCTCAAGAAACTTCCGAGAGAATTATTTTAATTTTGAAATTGACTTCTCGTTCAGCTCTAGCTTTTTCATTTCGTTTTTCTTCTTCATATCGAGTTTTAGCTTTTTTTGATTGAGCCTTTGATAATAACTCCCATTTATCCTAAATGGGAAAATATTAAATAAATACTAGTATGCATATATATTTTTGATTATACTTTAGTTTCATCTTTTCCATCAATATAAACTGTTAGATTAATATACTTGTAATGGTGTTTTGAATGGTTTGCCTTCTGATCCGTCACCATTTTCATCACTACCATGTTTTTCCGATGTATATACAATTGTTTCTTTTATATAATATTAAAATGAAATAAGTTAATAATTGTATCGATTTGTTCTTCTACTGTGTCTGTCGAATTTGCCATTTTTGTAATATAATACGTAGACAGATTGATGAACAATATGTTCAGAATGATTTGATAATGGGATATAGATAGATGACTATTGCATCATCTCGTAGCGTTTTAGCGAAATATTGCAATGAATCAAGGAAAAAATATAAATAAATCATGAATCACAATTTATGATTGATTCAAAGACGTGCGTATGTGTGTATGAGTGTAAGGGGTTGAGAGTGGGCAAATAGACACAACACCGACGCTCTCACGGTGAGACTTTTACAAGAATTTTTTTATATGAAATTTGATCCGATTTTTTTTGTAGAAAATAAATCGAAGAAGTATAAATAGTCGAACTGCTTCTTAAATTTTGTTTCAGTATAGTGCAGTTAAATATAAATCTTCTCGTAAAATTTATTGATCACGAAAAACGTTTTGATAAAACTGAGCTAGTAGAAACTACAAATTAAAAATGCAGGATTAATTCGAAGAGTTTTATCTATTAAATATGCATTACGCAACTAATTTGGTGTTATTTTGATAACCACTTTTCCAACATGTTGTTGTGACCATTGATGTTCATAGGCACTCTTTAGATCTTCAAATTTGAATACTTTATCAATAAGAGGTTTAATCTGATGCATATCAATCGCCCGAGTCATTTCATTAAACTGTTCTACACTACCAACTTGAATTCCACGTAGAGTAACATTCTTCTTCAATGCATACATAGATGTATCATTATCACCAATTGACGAACTCTTGTCGTCTTTGTTGTTACGTGCAAGAAATCCAATAGCACTTATTGATCCATTGAATGCAATTGCTTCTAACGATTGTTTCAATGTCTTTGCACCACCAACATCAAGAATATGATCAACTCCTTTTCCATCATCACTTATTTCTTTTGCTTTTTTACCCCATTCTGGTATTTCCTTGTAATTAATTGTAGAAACATTCTTTTCACCAAGATATTTTTCTATAAAAGTAATTTTTTCGTTAGAAGATGATGTAAGAATAACCATCTCTTATTAGTGAGTAAAACTAAGCATCTATCTTATCAAACTATGTGGACTAGCAAGATCATCAAATGTCCTGTCATTATACCTATTTTAAGTATTTGTTTGTATATTATGGTAAAAGTGTCTCCTGTGAACGATAAATGAGAGAAAGATAAAGCAAGTGTGACGATGCATTTTTTTTTCTATCTTTAGATAAAAAAAGAATATCTCAATTAATTGGATAATAGAAGAGAAATATTCAAAATATTCAGAAGTCTATTATTCTTGGGACATCCGTTAATTTTAGACAAGATTCATTTAGAAAACCATCTGTGGATCGAAATAAAAACAATATTTTTTGATTTTATTAACTAATTGAGGATCTAGACGGCATTACAAGTAGAATACATATTTTTAACCAAACATTGTTTTTTGAGTTTTGCGAGTGTCAAATATGTTAATCTTTATCATTGATAATTTAAATCAACCGACCACTGCTAAAAAAACAGAAGAGAATTTGTCTGTAAACGTGCTTATTGAAGCTCGTATTTATTTGAATGTTTTTTTCTGTTATTAAAACATGTTACAATATCAATAAATAAATGAGACAATAGACGTGCCATATGAATCTCTGATTTAAAGTTGATAAATATATATATATATATATTTCTATTGATGCTTATTTGCAATTGAATACATCAAACGAGAAATATGTCATTACATACAGTCGTTATAGATCGCAAATTAAAACCAAAGAAAACGAAGTTTTCATCAATTCAATCAAAAACATCGGTGAAAGAATATTGGTTAAATAATATAAAGCAAGAAGATAATCAGTTATTTCGTCAATCAACAGAGAAATATGAATCATTATATACAATTGTTAATGGTCCACATACGAATCTATCTTCGAATGCCATTCTTGAATCATTTCTTTGGGCTTATTATCGACATCATGACATAGTTCTTTCACCTGATGATATGTGGTTATTAGTATGTATGTTTTTTGCTCAACATGTCAATGAAAATGCTGAACAACTTCGATCAAACTTTGTTGAACATAATAAAGGAACAATGACATTAACTACAAATAATTTCGATGATAAATATGACTGGAATGAATTTTATGATCAAATGAAAAAAGAAATTGTAAAAAATACAAAGAATAATATTTGTCAATTACTAACAGCTGATTTTTCTACAACTGGAAAAGTCGAATCAATTCTTTCAACTGCATGTATTATGAATACATTTAAATTTTACTTTGAATATCAACGTGAAATATGCATTTGTGGAATTCGACACGTACATTTCATGGGTAAAATATATAACCTATGTTCCTACACATTATTTTACTTCTGAATTTCTTTTTATTATTCGATATTTAAGGTACATTAAATGATTGGCAATCACTTCGTATTAAAACTGAACAACTGAAATTATTTACAGATGAGAAGTTTCATGGATATTTGATTGGTGTATTGTCAATTTTCGATCAATTTATCGAAACCTACAAAGGTAATGTCAATGGCGAGTTTTGGATTAAAGTATGTGATATTAAACGAAATAAAATAGTGGAAAATAATACATGCACACCCTTGCGGCCGTCCTTATTTCAAAAACGTATACTCACTCAAAAGCTTACTGGATGGATAGTACATTTGTTTGGTTTGGAAGAACTCACAATTAACCGTACCAATGATTCAGATTTGCCCTGCATTAATGCACCAGTAAAATTGAGAGATCAAAGAAAAGGTACAGTCGACCAATGTCAGATTGTTGGGGGATTTCATGGAATCTATGCGACAGAAAATCGTTACAAACCTGTAATGAGTGTGTCAGTTATTCAGACGATCAAGTGAAAAACATAAAATCAAACCTTTAAGGAAGAAGACTGCACAACACATGGATAGATTCTACTTATTTATTAAAACAAAAAAACTTGATAAAGATCTTCTTTGAACATTTCTTGCTTTATATATGTACCTTGGGTGCGACGTCTATCTATTCTTTATCCTAATTCTTACACCCACCTGAACCTTCATACTCAAGATGGTTACACACCTATACTAAAAAATAAATTTATTGATAAAACAAAAAAAACGTATAAAACTTTTATTCCAAGAGGATATATACTGGAATGAACTTGATCGTAGAGAAGAACGTAACGAATTTAAAGTCAGGGTAAAGACAACCAACCTTCCAAGTTGTACTCAAATAAAATTTCGGGTAATTGTATGAAATTACTGAACTAAAAATAAATTCTTTTCTCAATATGACTTATTTAGGAGAAAAAGAAAAGATATTTTTTTTTCTTTTGGATGAAAACAAAATCAAAATACCCGAAATTTGATTGATGAAAATTACAAAAAGAAAAATCGAAATCTTTATCAAGGAAACTCCTGATAAATTTAAATAGAAATCATTGAACGTGATTAAAGTCAAAGTAGAAAAAAAAGTATCATTGACGTCAATGGATCTTTCTTACCTTGTCAGGTTTGTTATTTTATCACGTTTTAAATGTCTACAATTGAAAATGTGATTTAAAATCATAAAATAATATTATTAATTGATATCAATAATTCTTTTTTTTTGTTTACAGGAGAACATTCTATGATGGTGAACATTATAGAAACTAAATATAACGTTATAAAATAAGATGACAAATTTGCTATTTTTTATAGTTTACCGTTAGTTTGAATTTGATATCAAAATAAATTTCTTATTTTAATCCAATATTTTGATAACGATGAGAATTTTTCCGAATGGTATCAACATTTTTTAATGTAAAAAGAGTTGTTTTTTTACTCAGTTAGAAGTCATAATTATCAAATTTATTTCTCTTAAGTTGAACTAAATGAGATTAAGAAAAGATCAAATATCAATTGTCTCTATAAACTAATCGTATGGGATTCTAACTATTTCGATCTTGTTATGTCTATTTAAAATATGTATTATGGATACTATTACCATCACTTCTATATTAAGTTAGTCTATTCCCAAACATAAAAACTGTGATGAAAAAATTCTAATAGATATTGAAATTTCTCTTAAATGTGAATCAAGGATTGGATCCGATAACATATCTGGCAATAGAAGAGAAGTTTTGCTTCAGAAAAAATTCGAATATAAATGAAAAAGATGTATTCATGATTATTTGAATTTTGAGTTGTATCTTTGACTTGTTGAAGTTGGCGATCAGATTTGAACAGATAAACCAGTGATCAGAAGTCGTTCATATACATTACTGAACTATATTAGCTCGAAATGTTTTCTCACTCAAAACAAAATATATTTGAATGCAAATTTCATCGACTGAATACTTTATTTTCGATAAGATGTAATCTTTTCAAAGTTAGGATATTTAATTCATAACATAACTTTTCGCTTCTTTTTTTTAAATAATTTTATTATTTTCTAATAAAATAATATTGTTTTTATCTCCTACTACACGTAATTAATGGTATACTTTTTTTCTGTTGCACAGGTACCATGTTGAATAGTTTTATTGAAGAATTTAATGAATAACTAATTACTCATACAATCTATTTAGTAGAAATATATGATGAAAAGTTATTAACCCTCCGGTGATGTTCGCTTTTTGTCACACGAATGATGTATGTGGGTCCAAGTGGACCCACATGTAAATACATAAGGAAAATGTGAAATTTCATCTGTAATGTACTATATAAGATAGATCAAGATTTATATCATGATCTCTTTTTAGTCACTGATGCATTGATACGCTTGTAGTATACGTAACATGCTGATTTTTCAAGAAAAAAAAAGATTACGATTATCGTGAGCAAAAGTTAAGAGAATGGTGAAAATATTTCGATAGATAAATAAGTATAGAGAAACATATTATTCCTTACTGGCAGCAACAAACTAATGAATCTTCAATGAATAGACCTTCGAAATAATAGATGGCGTACGTAATACGAATTAAAATCATCTATATAGCACGAATGTTGTCAGGGGATCTAAACGGATCCACACTTTAGTTTTTCACTGCTGATAGTTTTGCAAGAAATTTTATATGGTTCTTATGTGTCATTAGAAGATTAACGATTAGTGAAAAAATCGCTTCGATTTGCATAGATCTTAAAGTAGAAAAAAACAAAAAGCCACTGTTGTGGATCTCTTGGGCCCACAAACATCATCGGAGGGTTAATCATGTTATTTAACTAGTATTATTAAGCAGTTTGCTAAACAGACACTGAATAGTTGAAAACTATTACGATATTGTCTCATTATTATTCATGAAATTTTAGAGAAATATCAATTATTTGTTGTATGCCTAATTGAGTTTTAGTCTATTTCAATGTCATCTGAGCGTTCCTTATTAAAAAGTCTAATGAAGTTTAGACGAAGAAAATATGTATAAATCGATAATATCGATCACGCAACTAACCTTTTCGGAGAAGCATTTTTTTTGGATAAAACTGCTTCTGATACACAAGAGAGAAACGCGTACAAACACGCTCGGAAAAATAATTACATGTATGTCACGACGCATTAAACGTTTTTCAGGAATTTATTAATTGTCACGCACATAGTTTTTTTCTGACTACGTTTGAAAACGTTGTATACAAAAACTGTGTCCAGGCGTGTTTCAAAATTTTTTCTAATCACATGTCAACGCGTCTCATACTACACTGCGTTTGAACGCGTTCAGTCAAATTCTTATTAAATCCGTATAAACGCGATTTCGATATAAAACGCATTAAGACACTGTCTGAGTTTTTCTAATTGCGTTTAATACGTTGTATCCAAAAACTGCGTTCCAAACGCGTTTCAAAATTTTTCTAACTGCACCTCAACGCGTTTCATATTGACAATGCGTTTTGATGCGTCGTAAAATCGTTCTTAATAGGGCCTGAACGCGATTTCTTGTGAAACCGCGTTTCAACGCATCGATTGTGCTTTCCGTGGTTACGTGGGAAACCTGTTAATTATTCGCCCGATAGTTGTCACCGAAAGTAACATTATTCCAAATAGAATGAAATTTCTTATGCAGGAACGATTTATTAACATTCATCAACAAGGAATACTTAAATCACCTAGTAGTTTTCTTCATGTATGTTCAATGCTGATACCGAAACTCTTAAGAGGAGAAACAGAAAAACAAATTCGTATCTATGCGCAAACCTAATGCATCAAACAAGAGAATAATTTTTTACTTGTTTTTTCTTTGCATTGAAAAAAAGAATTCTTACTACTAAGGAAAATAAATAATTTCTTACAAGAATCGAGGTAGTGTTACTTAGTGACAGTTCAAAAAACAACAAAAAAAGAAAGAGAGGAGAGAGCATACGATAGAAGCTATATAAAGCGATGGTCGACTAATATACAGATGCCTTTTATAAAATATTCTGAACAAAACAATATGCTCTCTCTACAAGGTAAATTATTTCAAAATGTCTAGCATAGGAAAAGACGACTCTTTCAGAATTATAGTGTAACATTCTTATTATTCAGTAATTCCTCAAATTTTAGTCTGAATGTAAATAAAAAAGAGAGTTTTATTTGAATACGAATATGAATAGCACTTTGTAATAACATCACCTCACCCTAACTTGCAAGCATTGCTCATGAAAACAAACAGCTTTGAAAGAAAATTCTCAGGATGTAAACGAAAGAATTTCTTCATTTATTTCACTTTTGTCCATACCTGTTAGTATAACGTCTCAAGAAAATTATATATACACATAATTTATTAACAAAGATTTTTTGTAAAGAGTTTGTTTGTATAATTTGTAGAACAAATCAGCCAAGAAGACAATACATCAATTAGTATCTATCTTGATGATAGTCGTCAATTCACATTCAATTCCTGTCATTCATCCAGTGATATTTCGACAAATATCCAATATGAGACAGCTGCTCCCCGCGAAGAACTTTGCTTAGCAAAATCATATTCAGCTCTACCTTTATCTACCAGTCGTTTTCCCCCATCAATTGCCGAGGTCTGCGCATCACCCAGTGCGACTTCGATAAATAAGTAAGATTTCAATTAACCTTGTTTTATTAGACAATACAGGAAAATATTTCTCAACATCTAATTAATCATCGTTATCCACTTTATTTACAGTTGAGTTTCGTGTGTTAAGTTTATTTTGTTCTATTTAATAAACCAATGAGTTTATCAGTTGAGTTACATACACTCTTTGTAGTCATTTATTCATACATTTATCAAATAGAGTGAAACATGACTTTGAATACTATCAATTCATATATAAAAGTTAGTATCCAACTGCCGATGTGTCTCCAGATCAGTGAAATTAGAAGACATGTTTTCCAGGCCATTTACAATCTTTCTTGGACTCTTTTGTTTAAGTAAATTTTCCATTTTATCTACAAAAGAATAATTAATCTGTACTTTATTCATAAAATAAAACATTTGACATAGATTAATAATCAAGATGCTAAATACCAGTTCGGATTTTTACTTACAATACACTCGCTCTTTGATTATATTTTTGTAGAGATGTGGACGATAAAAATCAGTGCAGTATCGATGAATTGATATTAATAGATCCGTTGGGAAAAGATTATCCAAGTAACTGTAAAAATTTCTATGGAATAAATACATGGTCATTAGCACATGTTTGTTTAAATGATTCAAATGAATCTTTACCAAAATATTATATTCGGAATCAGTCTCGAGCAACTATTAGTATGTCAGACGAACAAGAACATCAGATTGCTTTAGACGACTTAACCAAAATGTGTGAAGGTACCGATAATAGGCAACCATATTGGTTTCACGCAACCAGTTGGGCCAATGCACTAAATATCATTGAAACAGGTCCACAAATGGGTGATAAACCATCTGATTATTCATCACATGGAGCATTTTATCTCAATCCCTGTTATGATGATTGTTACGATTGGTTTAGTACTCGTAATTCTGTTTTTAAAGGACATCACGCAATGATGATGTATAAATTTAATCCAGAAGAACTTAGTAAAAAGGGAGAAACACCTGATAAAAACCAATGGAAAAAAAACGTCAAAGAACTTAAAGAATCATCATCTGAAAAAAATGTCAAAAAACGTAAAGCAACATCATCTAAAAATAATCATGATTGGTCTTTTGTTCCTCAAGATGCTAATCCTGATAATTTTAGTAAACATGATGAAACCAGAGATCGGAAAACCAGTCAAGGAAAACCGGCAATGCAGTTGGTTATACATACTGAATCTATGTGTAAAAAAATACATTATCATTTAGTTGCTTGTGTCTTTTATCAAAATATTTCATCTAACAAATCACAAGATAAATATCAATACACAGCACAAGATTTTTTAAAGAAATCGTCAGCTTTACTAACATCTTCTCCCAATAATACTTTATCAAATACTCAACAAAATCAAAAGCGACAAAAGAAGAATGATCTAAATGAAAACCATCCGAAGAAAAAATTTCGTCCACACAAATAGAAAAAATCATTGAATGCAGGATGAACAACAATGACGAGGATCATCTACTAAAATTTTCCTTTATATTCTCATATTAGAAGAAGAAGAATCCTAGTTTAATCTATTAAAATCAAAACAAAGACCGCAAAAATAGAATGTCTTTGTATTTAAAATTTCAGATTAATATCAGATTCTTCTTCTTTCTTTTTTTTGCTAACTCAATCATAATATTTTTCTTGGCTTCCTTTTCCAATCTACAAAATAAAAAATGAATACTTCTTCTTGGCTTCTTTTTTCAATTTAAAAAATAAAAAACGAATACTTCTTTTTATTTACATTCATCTTCCCATTATTTGTTACTGTCATCAATCATACTGTTGTTTGCCAGAGTAAATATTAGTAGAGGGTATGTGCGTCTCTTATTTAACATACCCACGGCTTTGCTAGTTGCAGTAACAGTCACATGATATATTTTTATCTCATTATATTAAAGGTGACTGCACAGAAGATGATATATCAAAAAGACTTTTTGTTCCGCATCATCAGCAATGGGTAATATATACCCCGTTTGCTCTTTAACATAATTCCATAATCAAGAATACAAGTCGATCTTTCTTATCGAATATGTTACCTTTTATTTTATATTATATTGAAACACTTTTCATAAAATTCGCACACGTAATACAAATCAATTTTATTCGAATAACTATTTTCATTTTATATTTACTAATTAATGAAGATTATTTATACATGAAGTAGAATTAACATCAAATCTAATCACTTGTCCATCTGATTTGTCATAAACATACAAGTTTCCTAACTTGTCAAATGTCATTAGTTGCGGTGTATAAAAATGTGTTGCGCCGCCACCTGAACTTTCTCCAAGTATAATACCATTATACTTTATATCAGATGTCCATCTAGTAATTTTAGAATTTTCACCTACTAAAATATTACCCATTTTGTCCACTATCATCGATAAAGGTTCAACATATTCTGATTTTATTTCGGAAAGATATTTACTCGGACCACCACCAAAAAACAGTCACTCCATATACGGATCCATTTGAGAATCTTTTAATTCGACGACCCATCATGTCTGTTATTACGTATACTGAATTATTAATTTCATCTACATACATTCCTGATGGAAATTCTAACTGATCAGAATTGGATTCATCTTCTTTTCGACCCGCAACCAGCACTCCTGATGTAGCATTTACTACCCATTTCACGATACGATGACGACCTTGATCTAGTACAAATATATCACCCGCTGCATTCACATATAATCCTTTACAAGAACTATCAAGTTGATCTAAATTCCAGCCTCTTCCATTCGAACTGAATACATTCACTGGTGCTGAATTTCCATTGACTAATTTAAATACTCCAGGAATATCTTTATATACGTAAAAAAAGTAAAGTGAACGAGTCAATGAGTGGTAGAAAATAGGAGTCTCTGGAAATTGTTCTTCAAACAAATTGATGAGTTCATTAGTGTCTGAAAACCACTTTTGCAAAGTATGTGTATCCCAATTGGCAACATATACATTGAAATCATTGTCTACAGCTATAGATGATGCGTGCTCGATCTTCACCAATTTTTTTCCAACTGGATTCCACCTTGTTGCAGCACAAATTTCTGATCCTAAAAACAATATTGTAAGATTTTATGAACAGTTAATTAATCATACCTGTGTTTATTGTTATCGACGAAGAATGTTCTTTTTTTATTGCTGCAAAAGAAAACAGATACTATTAAATATTATCCAATAATAATAATCTTATCTCGTTCAGTCTAAGTTTAATTAAAAATTATTTCAAAATGTGAAGTATGTATTTATATTGATTCATAACATGTATAAAGCTACTCATGCGCATAACGTATGCTGTTTGTGACCTGTTACACACTTTTTTCTCGTTATTTGTCCTAGGTGAATATACGTATTTTCATCGAACTATAAGGACACTCATATAGAATATAAACTAAAAGAACATCAAGAAAGACAATAATTTGCTTACTAGATGATTCTAATTTAATTTTTGGTAAAGTTGTGCTAGATGTGATACTCGTAGACGATTTAGTCGAGATCTTAAATTCGTTAATTGGCATCGGTTTTTGTGGTTGCTCTCTAGAGTATGTCCATACTGTACCCATAATTAATATAATAACAAGCACTGTCACAATGGTAATACCAAGAAGGATTACTTTTATCTTTATTTGAGGCTGTTGATAGTTTGTAGAATCTGAATTAAGAGGCTGAACTTCAGCAGGAGGACCTAACTCGTCAAAATTCATTGTATCAAGTCAAGAGACAATTTCAGAATAAGATGTCTGTGACGATGTGCGCAACGTGGTTAATATTATGAAGAAAATATTTTACCTTTTTTTTTTCTATCAGTATATGTGCGCGTGACGTTATCGAAAATATAACTTCAAGTATAATCAATGTGTTTATTCGTAGATGTAATTACAAATGTGATGTCGCACTCTATTGGCTTTAAATGTTTTTATTTTGTCGCCTTATCTTTTTAAATGTATTTCTGGAAATAGAGCATACAAAAAAAATTAACTAAGATTGATAAATCATTCAAAAATTATATGACTATGAATAGTTAATAATTTTTTTGTATTATTTATTTTCTACTATTTTTTTTTACATAAAATTCACACATCTAATACAATATTCAAAATAATTTTTATTTTTCGATTCATCAGTTAATGAAGATTATTTATGCATGAAGTAGAATTAACATTGAATCTAAAAATTTGTTTTTTTCCTTCGTCATAAACATACAAGTTTCCTAACTTGTCAAATGTCATTATCTTTGGAGAGTTTATAATTGTTGCACTGCCACCTAAACTTTCTCCAATAATAATACCAGCAAGCGTAATATCTCGTGTCCATCTGGTAATTTTAGATTTTTCACCTACTAAAATACTACCCATTTTGTCGACTATCATCGATTGAGGTTCTATATAGTCTGATACTAGATCAGAGAGAACTGTAGAAGGACCACCACCAAAAATAGTCACTCCATATACTGATCCATTGGAGAATCTTTTAATCTGACGACCACTGGAGTCTATTAATGCGTATATTGAATTGTCAATTTCATCTACATATAATCCTGATGGCGATGGTAACTGATCAGAATTGGATTCGTCTTGTTTTCGACCCGCAACCAGTACTCCTGATGTGGCATTTACCATCCATTTGACGATACGACGGCGACCCTCATCTAATACAAATACATCACCCGCTGTATTTACATATAATCCTCTACAAGAGTTATCGAGTTGATCTATATTCCAGCCTCTTCCATTCGAACTGAATACATTCACCGGTGTTGAATTTCCATCGACTAATTTATATACACCGGGAGTATCTTTAAATACGATAAAGAAATAAAGTGAATGGGTCAATGAATGATAAAAAATAGGCGTCTCTGGAAAATGTCCTTCAAACAAATTGATGGGTTTATCAGCACCTGGAAGCCACTTTTGTAAAGCACGTACACTCACATCCGAAGTATATATATTAAAATCATTGTCTACAGCTAACGTAGATACACGATCGACTTTGACTAGTTTTTCTCCAACTGGATTCCAACTGGTAGCAAAGCAATTGTCTAATACTAAAAATAGAATATATATTTCTATTATATACAAAAAAAAGTACAAGCCTTGCTGTTTCATTGTTGACTTTAATTGATTTGATCTAGTAGACGTAGATGTTGTTGTCATACTTGTATTTGTTGTTATCGATGATGACTGTTGTTTTCTTGTTGCTACAAATACCAAACTTAAAGCTATTGAAAGAAGAAATACTACTAAACATAATCCAATGATAATAATCTTATATCGTTTAGTCGGAGCCGGTTGATTAATTTCATCAATTGGGACATTAAGTAAAGGATCATGTGAAAGATATAATGGATTGGAATCCATTTAGATAAAAACTATTTCGAAATATGAAGTATATGTTTGTATTCATTTACATTATGTGCAAAGCTACTCATGCGCAAACGTTCGATGTCTGTCGCCCTTTACACTCTTTTTTTCCTCCTTGTATGTCCTATGTGAATGTACGTACTTTCATCGAACTATAAGAACGGTCATATAATATTAATAAACATAAAAAGACAAAACGGTACTTACTAGATAATTCTAATTCCGCAGTTGTGCTAGACGTAGTGCTTTTAGTCGATTCTGTCGATATCATAAACTCGTTTATAGGTATTGATTTTCGTTGTTGTTTTCCAGTATATAATAATAATATCGTACTTACAACTAGTGCGATAATAACCATTATTAAGCTTATACTACCAATAGAAAATAATAGTCGTTTCCTTCGAAAGAATTGGATATTATTATGAGATGAATTATTAATCAAAGGTTGTTCCAGTGGACCATCTATATCGGAGAAATCTATTAAATCCGACATGTCTACAATAACGGCGTACAAACAAGTAATTTCAAATAAAAATACGTCTGGTAGTATATGTAAAACGTCTAACGATAGGAAGAAAACATTACCTTTTTTTTCTGTTAATATATGTGCGCATGACGTTAGCGATATATACTTACGAGCAATGACTGTGTTTATTCGTAGATGTAAATAAAATATTGCCTTTGAATAACTTAATTTTTTACTTTTAGAAATGGGTAATAAGAACAATAAACAAATCGAAAATAATTCACCATCTCCACCAACCAATTCTTCACTTTCTCGTCGTCTCTTGAATAACGAATCAATCGATCAATTTATATTGATCTGGTTAGATCATAATGCATTAGAAAATTCTCTTGATTCTTTACGTACAAAAACATTAATTCGTGAATTAAATAATAATCATTGTTTATTCTTTAATGATGTTAATTTATTTTTAGTCGAGATAGAAAGACTGAGAAATAATGATAAACAAATCCTACTTATAGTATCTGGAAAATTTGCTGATAAAATTCCATTACACAACATCGATATTATTGCAACAATAATAATATTTTGTGGAAATTCTAATAGATACAAACATTTAAAGGAAACTAATCGAAAAATAATTGATATTTGTACTGAACATGAAACATTAAAAAATAGTATTCAACGCGAATTACCATCATTAAAACTTAATTTATTCACTGATCGAAAATCAAATTCATTACGTTCATTAATTGCATCACAAAATACTGGTATTGATGATAGTGCTTATTATTTCTATATGTTATTTACTGATTTTTTAAGACAAATTCCTCAAAGAAAAGAAGCAAAAGATACTATGTTGGATAAATGTAAAATCTGTTATAGAAATAATAAAACACAACTTAAATGTATTGAATTATTTGGTAATACTTATACACAAGATAAAGCAATTGATTGGTATACGGGAGATTCATTTGTATATCGTTTAGTAAATCTTGCATTTCGTACTGAAGATATAACATTATGGTATTTATTTCGTTACTATATTACTGATTTATGTAAACAATTAGAAGATACTCATAAACAACAAAATTGCCAATCAGTTCTAAAACTCTATCGTGGTCAAACTCATCTACCAAAAGAAGAGTTAGAAAATTTAAAATCAAATAAAGGTAATTTAATATCAACAAATGGTTTTTTCTCAACATCGAAAGATATTGACCTAGCTAGTTGGTTTATACAAGGTGCTACGGATACAGAAGATTATAGAGTTGCATTATTTGAAATAACTGTTGATGCAAAGAATTTAAAAAATAGTATTTTTGTTGATATTGATCAATATAAGGGAATATCAGGTGAATGTGAAGTTTTATTCAATATTGGTTCAGTTTTTGAAATTGAGAGTGTTAATTATGATAATAATTTTAAAGCATGGAAAATAAAAATGAAAGCAACAGATGAAGGTACAGATTCAATTAAAGAACGTATTCAACAAATGAAAAAAAAATTTCAAAATGGAAATATTAATTTATTATTTGGTCGTTTATTACTTGATATGAATCAATATATAAAAGCTGAATCATATTTTCAAATGATGATAGATGTTTCACCCTCATCTCATCCTGATTTACCTTTATTTTATGATTGTTTAGGAGAATTAAATATGCATACAACAAATTGGAAAGAAGCATTTAAAAATTATCACTCATCTTATGAAATAAAAAAGAAAAAAATACATTCAGATCATCGAAATGTAGGTGTAACATTAAATGGTCTAGGAAATTATTATAAAGCTATTCGAAATAATAATCAAGCATTAAAATGTTATTCAAAAGTTTTAATCTTTAAAAATGATCCATATAATAAAGCAATTACTTTACTTAATATGAGTGCAATTTATATCAAGGAAAAAGATTATGATAAAGCATATGATTTATGTATAGAAGCACGAGATATTATTCAAGAAACTTCATCAAATTCATCTATTGCTCTTATTCAATGCTATAGTATCATGAGTAGCATTTATTTAGCTCAAAAAGATTATGATAAAGCCGAAGATTTTTCTACTGCTGCATATGAACTGAGTGGAAAAACACTTTTTATTGATGATCGTCATCGAATTGTTTGTATAAAAGCATTAGCTAATTTATCTTGTCAAAAGAATAAGAAACAAGACGCAATTGATTTTTGTTTTACATGTTTAAGCTTTTATGAACAATATTTAACGTATAATCATGTTAATATTGCATATTTATTTATGATTATTGCTGAATTATATGAAGATAACGAAATAGAACGAATCGACTTTTTGGAAAAAGCATTAACTATTTTACAAGAAAATATTCATCTTCATTATGATACAACAGCGAACTGTTTGAAATTAATTGGACAATATTATAAAAAACAGAATTCATTGGAATTAGCTATGGGATTTTATATTAAATGTCAGGAAATACAAAAGAAAATTTATTTTGAAGATCATTCTACATTAAAGGAAATACAATGTTTGATTAATACTATTGACTATTAATTTTCTATGATAAATAATACACGAGTAAGGGCGAGGGATGTCCCTCACACCTTGGAAATATTGAGAAGTCCATTTATTCTTAAGGATGTGTGATTGTGGGTGTGGGTGTGCGTGGATGAGAGAGAAGACATACTTGAACTTACATTCACGCTCTCGAAAAGACAAGAGGATGAGGCAAGTCATACGTAGAAACTTTGGCGGATTGCAAAGTAGTTGTAATTGTGCCTTTTTCACATGTGTTATCAATGGTTTCTCTCCGCGAAGTACAGAGAGATATTTGATTTATGGATTGTAGGCAAAGTTCAACGAAGTTCTTATTATATCGATGTTGAAAGAGTGGTAAACAAAGTGAATAGTCTAGGTAGGTAAGAACTTTTTGTATTCTTTTCAACTGATAATAATATTATTTACCTTAAAAGGACTTTTTTTCTACTTGTAAGAGATAAGAACAAACCTTCATATACATGTCTAAGAGATAGTGTATCTCTGCGCCGAAACACACATCGCCGAAAATGAAATTAGTTGAAACTCTCCGAAATACATATACTCGAAAAGCGAGATCTTTACTCAACAATGGTGCAAAAAAGCATCAAGCTTTTATATTTCTTTTCAAAGTTAGATCTGGTGGATGCGAGTGTGTCTCTAAATGTATTGTACTTCACACCTACACACACACTTGATATCCACACCCAAATCGATAGCATCACCCTAGCGTACTTTACCGATACTCTCTTCCAAGATAGAAGAAGAAAAGTGTTGTTTTATTAGTAAAATAAAAGTCCGAATAAGCACACACTGAATGAATGATTCTATCATTCTGAATCAGTTCTCAACCCATACTTTAGCATCGACCCACTGACCCTTCTTTTTGCAACAGCAATAACAAATTAAAATTGCAATTAAGCCAATCACAAGTAAAAGAATTACCCACCATTTGGGTTCGTCGTCTTCTGAACGTTTGACATCAACATTGTCACGCTCTATGTTCCTGAAGTGCAATACTGTTTTAATCGTACTGGCTGTGTCTAGAGTATTACTCGAAGAAGTCAATATGTCCGAAATATCAGCTGATGTGTGGCTGTTTTCAATGTTTGACGCTAAAGGAATTGAACCAGACGGATGGGTTTCGTTGTTAGACTTTTCTGTAACTTGTTTTCCATTAACATTTGCCAAAGGAAATGTGGCGTGAGGTGAAATTAGCAGAAAAATGACTAAAGAAACAAGCATACATCAATAATTATTACACAATATCTAATCATACCAGCCGCAGAATACACAAGAATCATGTTTTGGAATAATGTGACGAAACCGCGAGAGCTTTTTTGTAAATAGTTATAAGTGTTTAACTTTTCACAGAATGTGAAAGACAAGCTAGTATGTATTATACAAAGATAAGGTAAAAATTTACCTTTCTCTCTTTTTCGCTATGATTCTCTAATCTACAATGAAGAGAGCGAGCCACATTGGAGAAGACTGAATACAAATATTTAAGCACACTTAGTTTTTTTGGTAGCTGATGGCGGTCCTCATTTGTCAACAAAGATAGTAAAATAAACTAGATTTGAACAATCAATTTTACAATAAGCGATATTTTCTAAAGTCCTTGATTGATGATTTTCTTCTTAAAAAATAATCGAGTTTACATCTTCTCGACTGTCCTCGACTTTTTTGTCTCAGAAATATTTATCAAAAGTCAAAATCATCTTTACACTGTTGGAGAATGTGGATGTTTCTTTCTTTCTTTCTCAGTCATACCTTAACAGACATCCTCACCACATCCTATCCTCTCACCCAGCCCCACACCCTAGCTAGAGCTATTCAAAAATTTCTTGTAACTTACGATAATAAACAAAGCATTGATATTTCAAATCATTGCATCTAATGCCTTTTAGTAAAGGATTCGATAATCATGCTGATCAATTTAATCTTCTTCTTTCGTCTATGAAACACAAAGAGAATTGTTCACCGGTCAACAAAATTAAAAAAAAACTTCGATAATTTTTTTTCTGTTAGATATAAAACAACTGCTAATTTCATAACATGAAATGTCTATATTTTAATGATCAATGATAATCTATTATAAGTTTGTCAAGAAGAAATCGATCAGATTTTCATGGATTTAAAACACGTACTAATGTGAAAGAAAACTTTCATGAAATATTGAACAAAAATATAAAAATAATGAAAATGAATGTTACAAAACACATGACATTTTTTTCTACTTTGATAGATCTTGACAAATCCTACATAAACTTCAAGAATTAATAATAACCCCTATATGTCAATAAGAAACTAATGTATTTGGATCGTGATATTAGGAAATAATCATTCCATATCTTTCTTTTTCGATTGATTCAAATTTGAATAATAAATTATATTTTCAGTCTATCGATAATTTAATGCTTGTAAAGCATATAGTAATATATAAAAAAAAATGATTAATCGACTAGGATCTCTTGAATTTCAATAATATCAAACAAAACGTTGATGATTTACAATTCAAAATTGAGTAAGATAAATAGTTATTGAAATGTTAAATAATATAAATTTGATATATTTTAAAAGGTATTTTTCATAGTTAAGTATTGAATAGATGATAAGACTATTCAGTTTTGAAATAAGTCATGTAATTATTTGTTAAAGTAATGATTTAAGCTGCGTCATTTCTTTCTTAGATATGAATCAAAGTGCATGTGTCAAATATTTTTTCATTTAGAAGATAAAACGAAAAAAACAATATTTCGTTATTCGCAATTTCATACATAATGAAGCATACCATAAGGAGAAAAAAACGAAAATATTTTTTTTATTAATAAATATAATGAGTTGATATTAAAAAAAAGTGAAATAAAATAAATGGATAAACACAAATTGAAAAATAAAAAAAAAAATAAATAAAATTGTTATTATAACTGTTAGTATAGTATGTATTATTAATTCGAATATAAATAAAGTGAAAACTATACGATCAACCATTGCATATGTTCAAAAAAATAGATAAATCATTAGTTTTTGCATTTGTTACAGCCAGATCTACTTTATTATCCTTATTCAGATCACCGATGACTACAGAAGTTGGTTTACCATCTGCTTTATACTTGGTCTGATTTTGAAAAGTTCCATTGCCAAAACCCCGCAAAATACTTATAGTATTACTACCACTATTGACCACTACTAAATCTATATTACCATCATAATTATAATCACCTGCTGATACACGATATGGATATCTTCCAACTGTAAAATTCCTTGAAATACCAAAGCTTCCATTGCCATTGTTGATAAGTACACTGACAGTATTAGAACCAAAGTTAGTAACTGCTAAATCAATATTTTTGTCTTGATTAAAATTAGCGGCTGCTATAGCACTCGGTGATTTACCAACATTATAATCATTTGAATATATAAAAATTCCACTTCCATTATTAAAAAATATACTAATTGTACTGTTATCTTTATTTGTTACTATTAAATCTTGTTTTCCATCCTTATTTAAATCAACGGCAATGACACACGTTGGAGATCCTTTAAGTTGATATGTATCATGAATTTGAAAAGTACCATTCGTTTTTCCAAATAGTACACTCATGGTAGAATCCCCAGTATTAGCCACTACTAGGTCGATTATATTATCAGAATTGAAATCTGCTGAAAATGCATACGAGGGTGATGCACCAACTGTGTAGACGATGGGAGTATCAAAAAAACCATCTCCATGCCCAAAAAGTACATCGATTGTGTTGTTATTTTGATTAACCACTACTAAATCTTGTTTCGTATCATTATTAAAATCAGCTGATAGGACATGAACCGGAGAGGCACCAACTGTATTGTTTAATGGAGCTTGAAAACGTGTATTTCCATTACCAAGTAGCACAATGATACTATTACTATTTTGAGCAATCAATGCAACATCTTGATTCTTATCACTATTGAAATCATATGATATTAAACAGAGGGAATATTCACCAGTTTCATACGTAATTGCAGTGGCAAAATTACCATCCCCGGTGCCAAGTGATACAGTGACACCATAGTCAATATCATTTACTGTTGCTAAATCTATTTTATTATCATTGTTGAAATCAGCAGCAATAATGTCTAGTGGGAAGTAATCAAATGGATACAAGATGCTAGACAGAAAAGTTCCATCGCCGTTACCAAGTAACACATAGATACTACCGCTACCAGAATTTACTACTGCTAAATCGGCTTTACTATCATTATTAAAATCAGATGTTGTTAACGCAACTAAGCCTTCACCAATTGACTTAAGGGTGGATGTCGTAAAACTACCATCTCCATTGTTAACCAGTATGGTGAGAGTGTCATCGTCACTATTGATCACTATCAAATCCAGTTTTTTATCATTATTTAAATCAGCGTCTATCATATAACGTGGATAAGAACCAGTGCTATATAGAACTGGAGTATTAAAAGTTCTATTTCCAAAGCCAAATATCACATCAATGTAGGCGCTCCAACCATATGACACTGCCAAATCCATGTTGCTATCACCATCGAAATCGCCAGATAATATTATATACGGGAACAGATCAACTGAAAAGGAGGTAATATTTGGAAATAATCCATTTCCATTGTTAAAAAGTAAAGTAACGGTAGAGTCATCTTGATTTGTTACTGCTAAATCCTGTTGCTTGTCATTATTAAAGTCCGCGGAAGTTACACAGTATGGACCTCCACCAACATCATAAGGGACTGCAGTCAGAAAAAGTCCATTTCCCAACCCTAGTAAAACACTAACTGTATTGTCATTTGTATTGACTACTACTAAATCTATTTTCATATCGTTATTTAAATCAACCGATATCATATTAGATGGGGTGTCACCAACAGTAGGTCGTGTTGTTCGAAAAATTAGTTGCTCATCACCTAATAATAGAGTCACACTATTTTCCATTGCATTTGTTATTGCAATATCGAGATATGTATCATTATCAAAGTAACCCAGTACAGAAGACGATGGATATTTTCCAGTATCGATAGTATTATCTAATCGAAATGGATTCTCGCATACATATTCTAAAAACAAAATAATAATGAAACATAGATTGAACAATAAATATGATAGAATTCTAATCTCTAATACAACAACATCTGATTTTTCTATTATCTTAAAATAAATCATCATACTTGTTGTTTTTGATTTTGTTCCTAAAATAACACCAATAATAACACCGGCAATAAAAAGAGTAAGTAATAAACAAATTGGAATCATAAATCTTTTCTTTCGATAAAATGGACGTCTTATAAATGAAAAACAAGAAATAATTTCATCGAATAAAATAATTAGATAAGACTTACGGAATTTTTGGATAAATATGTGCACCTAAATATTAAAAAAAAGTATTATTACTATATATGTATATATAATAAATGATTGAAATACCTTCAAATGGTGGTTCAAGTGTCATCATTTCTGGTTCTACTTGTTTCAAATGAATAATATATAGATTAGCTGCTGGACTAAGTTGTGATTGAACTATCATATGAGTACCTGACATAAGAACAATTTCATCTTCAGTAACAAAATGCGAATGAGCTTTTATTGTTCGACCATTGATAGCTTCTACAGAGAAAAGTGATCGATCACCTTCTTGACCCAAATACATATTATTTTCAAGTACAGTCATTTCAGTAGTACATGATGAAAATGCCCACCAAGTCATACCAGAACCAGGTGGAAATTCTGCACTTAAATTTTTAGTTACTCCTCTCCAAACAGTTAATGGTGGAACACATGGTAATTTAACAAGAGCAGTTAAGAATAATTTGAGATATCTGTGAAAAGGTAGAAGTGCTTGACGATCATTATTTTTCAGATTAAAATTGAGTGTTGAATAGAGACTTCGATGAGGTTTATCCCATTCGATTGTATAAAGACGAATTGCAGCACTTTCATCAACTGATAATCCATCAGGTGGTTGTTCTGGAGTTTCCTTTAATGCTAATTCAACATAGAATGATAAATTATGAAAAATATCATTCAATGGAGCACATGCTTGTGCAAGTGGTAATAGAGGTTCTTCCGAATATCCTACAATAGGACTTATTTCAGTTCCATCACTTTTAGTAATATCTTTAGCAGCATTTTCTGTAATTTGTTTCTCTTGTTGATTAGAATTATTTCTGTCAATATTAGATTCTTCTTTTGGTATCGCTGTTTGCCTTTCATCTGTCCTATCGAACTTGTGTGTTGTACCATTCTTAATATTGGCTCTTGGATTTCTTGAGTTTTTATGTTCGTTCGTTACATTATCATCGAAGAGAATACCTGCAGATGCTGTTTGTATGCCAACATTTCTAGTCCGTATGTACTGTCGATAATTTTCTGGTTCATCGTCGAGCCTATTTGCAGTTAATTTAGTTTGTATACGAACGTTTCTGCTAAATTTAGGTTGACGATAATTTATTTGTTGATCGTTGAGTGGAATTTCTATTTCTCTTGTATATATAGGAAAATTGTCGGTTTGCATTGTTTGCCACTGTGAATAATTGCTCATATTTGTTTGTTTTCGAAATGAATAATGATAATCTATAAGAAAAGATTAAATATTTCTTATGATGGAAAAAAAACAAATAGCTGATGATCAATATCTATAGATTTCATTTCAAATATTATTATTGTCTCCCAAGATAGAATTATGAAGCCAAGAAAAATCTATCGTTGTAATTTAGTCGATCGCTAATCAATGAAGAATTCTATATTGCTATAGCCAAATAATCAATTTTAAATTAGTACAATTTATCATTCACAATTTTATATTTATTATTCATATTATTCTAGAATATATCTCTGAATGTATATCTTAAGATTATAGAAGTGAACTTGGAGATTCACTATAACAGATTAATACAAAATATATCATTATTTTTTAACTGTCTAATCAATATATATATATATATATATAATTAAACATGATAAAATGTAACAAAATATTATTTTTATATTATCAGTCGAATAAAGCAACTACTTAAATGGATTAGTACATGATAGTTGTTACTTTTTTTTGTAATATTTACCGTTAGAGAATATTTAATGTTTATTGAAATGAAAAATGGATAAATGTACGCAGTAAACAGTTAAGTAGCGAAATAAAAAAGTAAATTATTAGAAGAAAATCAAATGTACTTATTATTTGGTGATAAAAAAAGTAATCATTATGCATGAATGCTCTCTATGTCATATTGGCAAAAGTATCAATATGTGTTTTGATAAATGACTACAAAGTTAATTTTTCTATTGCCAGTTATAAGGATTTTTTACTTTTAATTATGATGTAAAGGTAGATAAAGAAACAATACATCTGATACACAGTTACCATTACAGAGCATGTGCACATGTGTGATTGCGAAAGCTTGTATTTGCCAGTTTATTTTGTGTGATTTTAGCATATCAATTATATATAATACAATTTATCTCATTACTTTCGTTCGTACGATTACGAAAAGACGTATTTTTCTCGTTACACTTCAATTACATACATGATCTGTATATATACATGTCATAAGTCACCTGAAGATTTATTAATTATACCAAAAATATAAAAAATAATATAATTTCTAATACAAAAATTCATAATGAGTTATGAAACATAAGCAAATATGTTCACAATACAATAGAGATAGGTAAATGATAAATAATTTAAATATTAATCATAACAGAATATCGTTATCAAACAGTTCAAATTAAATACTATCGTAAAATAAGATTTTTTTTTAATCAAAATGTATCGTATATAACAAACTATTATTATTTGATCTATATTGAATTAATAAAGAAAAAAATATTCGAGCGATTGCTAAATCTACAACATTTGTTGTTTATCTATCACAAGTAAATCGATATTTAACAGAAATCAATAATAGAAAAATAAAATCACGACCATCTCGACACATAATATGTAATATTGAAATGGATGAAACACTTCATTTCCTTTGATAATCTAAAAGATGAATTAAAAGGTAAATACAATTCAATATTTTTAACTGAAGAAATTATATGGAAATAATAAATGATCGAGATCGACATCTGACAATGGAGATTGGATATATCTGGACCAAATGAAAGACCTCACTACCAAACTTACGGTTCATCTGAAATGAGATATTCGAATTACATTTGTTTATGCAAATCTATGTATTATCATTACTTTCGTTTATGCATATATGAAGATGAGAAACTTTATGAAATCATAATAATAATAAGAATAAAGGTGTTCGTTATACCTTGAACATTTGAGAAGTGTTTATTATCCACAACTATTGACTGAGAAATAAAATTCGAAAAAGTTGAATAAGACATTAGAAAAGCTGTACACGCACACACACAAAATGCACATTAATTACGTCTTGCGTGATTATAGTGAATGTTAAAAGATGTAGAGAAGAGTATTGCAAATATAAATTGTCTGCTTCATTTCTTGCTTGATTGTGTGTCCGAACTTCACTGAGTGATCCAAAAATTAGGTTAAAATATAAAAGAAATTTTTTTTATAAGGATTCACCAAAGGGTAATCGGGGTCGAGGAACTCGAATCTTACGGTAATTTTTTAAAATTTTTTGTCGATCGTTTTTTAGAAAAAGGAACACTTCTCTGCAAAAAAGAGATATTTTTTATAAGAGTTGACCGAACGGTTATCAAGATCATGGAATTTAAATCTGAAGTTTTCTGAATAAACAGTTTAATGGTGGGGAAAACATATCGGTTCTATGAAAAAGAGTTGAGCTAGTCTCCAGACGAGCGTTACTTGTTTTATTGAAAAATTTATTAATAAGTAACAGATTTGCTGATTAATGCTGACTCTGTAGTTGAATCGTGAAAGGACGACGAAGAAGAGTAACTGTACGGTTAGTAGATTGAGTATGCTTGTTTATTTTTAATAATTGTTTAATTTTTCGTCGAAATCCAACATTCGAAATAAACGATACATAGAAACTTGTTCCAAAAAATACATAATTAAGTAAATGAATCAGTTCAATGAATACGCTCTCCCAAGCAATTTGTAGCGGTGTTTTGTATGATGTTTGTGTTATATTCGAATATGTTAATTGAATTGCATATGGAAGATATGTAATAACAGCAATTATTGATTCTATTACTAACATTTTAGTTAATTGTGCATCCATTTGATTGATCATTGAACTTTTTGGCTTGATTTTTATCGGTTTACCATTTACAGGTACGATTCTTTGACTGGCAACGATTCGGACACTTTTTATTAGTAGAAAAGTCAATATAACCATCACAACAGTCGAGGAAAGTGAAGAAAATAACACTTGAAAATAATTATCATAATAATCATAGAAACCTTCGAGAGGACCACATACACCATTCTTTACTCGATACAAAATGAGTCGATGACCAATAAGTAGTAGCCAAAACAAAGGAATTAAGATAACCATTTTGTATGACAAAGAAACACGATTACTCCATTGTCGATATGCTTAAAAAAGAATAATTTCGTTAGAAAAGAAAATTTCCAGTTATTGTTATTTAATTATACTTACTAATAGATCGTTGTACAGATAAAAGTCGATTAGTAATAGCAAATGAAAATAAAGTAAATGAAACTATATTACCCCAAAATGTACTGAATTGACGAAGTTTACAGATAACAAGATAATCATTCATCAGTGGAATTCTAAACCCATTTTGAAGTATACGTGTTAATAAAACAAAATTGAAATAATGACAATCAGCAACTGCTGTCGAAAATAAATAGATTGCATAAGCTCGTTTTCGAAATGTTCGAGAACGAAATACTAACATATTACCGATACAACCTAAATTACCCATAACCCAAAGAAATGAACCAAAGAATATATTCAACAGATATGGTGCAATTAAAAGAGATGAACTTATACTATTTACTGTAGTATTCATTGATCGTATAGGTGATTAGTTATTTATGATAACAGGTGTATTTGTTTTAATACTAAAACAAAATGAAGCATTTATTCTATTGTGCACTTTCCTACCTTTTTTTAATCCATTTATAAGAATAGTAATAAAAAAAATAATAAAAAAGATGTTAAAAGAGTCTTCATTATCTTATAGATGAGAGATTTTAAGTAGTCCGTGCGTAAACGTCTCGCTTATTGTTAAAAATACTATATCGATGTGACCCTGCGGAACATCAATCTCATTTGAACAAAAGATGAAAGTATGTGACAATATGCTTCAAGAGATTTACTAATGTGGAGAAAGCTGAAAAAAAGGATGAATTATTTATAACAAAACTTAAAAATATTATTTTATTTGAACTGCATTAAGTCTTTTTCTTTTTATCAATAGATTGTTATTGTTTCACAAGAATGTGAATAGCTCTTCTTTTTATCTACATATAAATTCACACTCACATCCTCTTATCGACGTCTGGATCTTCAAAAGTATTATGTTCTGAAAGCTTGATATGCAACTTTATACACATAGAAATGATAATTTTTTTTATAAAAGAACTGTAGAATAAAGTTTGCACAAATTATAAAACTTTTGAACACCATTTAAACAATTAGAAAAACATATCTATTGACTGATTGTTCAATAAAAAAAATAATGTTATACAGTAGTATCTCAAACTAATCGTGTACATTTTGTTGCAATAATAGATAAAAATTAACAATTATTTTTGCAATTTAAGAATTGTAATAATATTTGTTTGCTTCAAAATTATTTGTCATTGGTATCGCACGATAAAGTTACAAATATATATTGGAAGAATAAATATTCTAAAATGGAATTTTTTATGGTGTCAATATTCGGAATCAGCACAAAGAAAACAATAGCAAATAAGATATTAAGATTAATTTTCGTCATCTATTGGAAAAAAAGTCGATTGACGTCAGAGTTCTTGAAAAAATAAATGTTGTTATCAAAAGAATATATATCGTTTATAACATGACTTCAGAAAAATATCGATATTTGGGTTAATCTTATTACTTTGTATTATGTCCTACACAATAAGATCTTCATTATAACTGATGCTTACAGTTACGAGTGAAAGTTGTAGCTGTAGTCTGATTGTCTTTTTCTACAGAATTAAATGAGAATATACATATTTTTAGTTCTTATGTATTATCGTCGAGATAGATCGTTTATTATAAAAATTGAATTATAAATCTACAAAAAAAGATTTTTTATAGAAATACTTGAAATAAAAAATAAATTATTTAGTTTTTTTTCTATTCTGTCTTTACTTATCATGTTTATCTTCAATCCCGCCATCGTTCTATTTAGTATTCATGAAAAAGAAACAAACATTTATACAATGTTTTTCGGAAACAACAATTGGCACACATCAACTGATCGAGCTGTTGATTTTGTCTTGGAATAAATTACGAGAATTTTAAATAAATAATAATCGAGAAAAAGAAAAACTCTTGCCAACATTACTATTATTATCATTTCTATATAATTTTTGATCAAAATTGGTTGTAGACCATATAGGAAGACTTTTACGCATTATAACGACATTACTTGTGCAGTATCCAAACAAAAGGATACCATCAATGGTTAATCTAAATTGTTGGCTGTTCGTTCTTTTAATTATCAGTCAAACAATAGGTATAAACTTCATATCGTGTTTAGGAGTTGAATATATATAGCTTTTATAGAGGAACATTTTCTCTATCCAGTGCTAAATTTATTATGCAATTCTTTTGTGTGTCATATGGGAGAAAAATTCGATAGCTCATACATGGTTGCTTTTAAAGTTTGTATCTCTCTTTTTGACACTTAAGTTATGTTGTAACTTGTAATAATTTAGAGATCACATACTATACATTCTTCATAATTTTGCAATGGCTGTTTTGAAATATATTTCAAATACTCAGAATCATAAAGAGTTTTTCTCTCTATAAACTGATATTTAGAATAGTCCTGTGTGCGTTTATATAAAAACTGTTTGTCTTTGATCAGAACATGATAGTTTTAAATAAGCATTACTTATGACATCACTGTAGTTTACAATTATTATTAGCAGTTACTTGACAGTTTAACACAATTTTCAATTATTATGTCTCGAGAAAATACTAATAAGTTTAATATAAACACATACATAAGTATTCTACATATCAAATTATAGAGAGAGAAAAACTCTTTATAATTTTTACTGTTCGAGATATATTTCAAAACAGCAATTGTAAAACTATAAATATTATTTCTAGTGACGTTATGAAGAACGTATATTGTATGGTTTCTAAATTATTATAAATTACAGGTTCTATTACATCATCAAATGGAACAACAGAAATGACTGCAGGCACTCCCCCACCCCCAAGTGGAACGCCGAGACCAACTATAAGTGTTCTCGCATCATCAGATGGAACCACAACAACGACCACAAGCACCACTACATCATCGAGTACAACGACTACAAGCACCACTACATCATCAACTGGAATCACAACAACGACGACAGACAGTACTACCTCATCAAGTACAACTACAACAACGGCTACAAATACTACCACTTTCACATCAACTTCAACAACAGTCGCTAATGTCAATAGTAATAATTTTTAAGCAACTTAAAAATAGTTCTTTATTTATACTGTACTCTAGATTGTATGTCTCCTAACATTACATTTATTGGAAATCTATCGACTTTCGCATCACCATTGCAATATCGACGAAGTGAAAATGTTTATATTATTCCATATCTTCAATTGAATTGTAGTGCATCACTTTCTACAATCATTCAATGGACAATCAAACAATGTTCATCAAATTGTTTAACGGAAATTGAACTTGATGAATCAATAAGTACAACAGGTATAGATCTTTATATTCCAGCAAATACCTTACTGTATGGTACTTATGAATTGAAATTAACTGTTACAATGAAAGTCTCGCCTAATATGAGTTCAACTACGTTTACTTATATTGAGATTATTCCATCAAGTATTATAGCAAATTTAATTCAATATGGAACTTCAATGATTGTACGTGGATATCAACAAAATCTTACATTAAATCCTGGAGAATATTCAGTTGATCCTGATGCAATTATATTTAATACAAGTGTATGTTAATATCTATCTGACAAATAAAAAATTTTCATTTGTTTTTTCTCTTAGAATTGGAATTATGAATATTATTGTCGAATCTATGGTCTCTATGACTTTCCAAGTATCAATGGATTATTATTAACAATCAATGATTCTAGAACTGATCCATTCAATCCATCATGTTTATCAAATCATTCAAGTATCAGTTTCATAAAGAATTTTCATTCTATCTTAATGATTTATTTTTTATAAAGGAAATGGATCTGCATTACAATATGATGGACCAATTGCATCACGTAACTCTTCATTGACAATCCTTTCTAGTTCATTCTCTTCGAATAGAACATATCAAATTATGGTTATAATGACAAATCGTCAGAGTTCTTCTATTCAAGCTGTTGGTTATCTTATTGTAGATGTTGAAGATACTAATGTTGAAATGATTCTTCTTGCGTAAGATTTTTCTTTTGTTAATATTCATAAAAAGAAACTTATAATTTAGTTGTGTGATTTCTACAATGTGTATTCCAGATATGGAATATCATTATATTAATCCAACAACACAAGTAGCATTATTTTCAACTTGTGCTGATAATTGTGAAACAATTGAAAATATAACATGGAATATTTATCAAGGATCAGTCAACTCATCAACAAATATGACTGAATGGATTTTATTTAATCAAACGAACTCCTATCAAAATCTATGGTTTTTTGGTATGAATACAAGTAATTTTACAGCAACAAATCAGTTATTTAATAATAATCCTTCAATAATTTATTGGCGTTTTGAAGTTGTTTATTCCTTTGGATTAAAATCAAGTTCAAGTGTATTAAATTTCATAATTAATCAACCGCCTGACAATGGTGCTTGTTCGATTAATCCAATAAATGGTACAACTAGTACATCATTTACTATTTCTTGTTTCAATTGGTTTGATAAAGATAATATTAAAGATTATTTATTTTATGGTAAGCTTTGTTTCACTTTTAAAACCATATGAATGTATAAATAATGTTTTTATGAATAGGATGGACAATAGATCCATCAGATCAAGTAATGCTTGGTTTTTCATTTGTATCAAGCATCGAAATGTTCTTACCTGGAACAACTGATAATAATTCATTATTAAATATTGTTGTTTATATTCGTGATACATTTGATTGTGCTACAGAATACAATATACCATCGATTTTTGTTGCTCAATCAAATATCAATGTAATAAATAATTCTTTTCTTCCAATGCTTGCAAGTGGAAATCAAAATAGAGTTAATCAAATAATTACATCACTTTCACAACAAATCAATCAAATAAATGATCTTGCTATTGAAACTGCTCTTACAAGTAAAGTATATCAAGTATTATCATATCTATATAATTTATCGCTTCAGATGGTGTTTCTATTACACAAATTTCAATATCATCATTGAATAGTGTAACTCAACAAACAATAGTAAGTTTGTTTGTTTTTTCTTCTTAATAAATATATATTTATAAATGTGTAGCCATCTGTTTCATCAAATGCTTCTGCTCTGGCTGAATATAATAAGCAATTAAATGTGTATGCTAATATTCGAGATTCTCTTGTAACATATATTACAAATCTACCAATAACAACTGTGGATAGTATTAAATTACAAGCATCTTCTTTAGCTCAATTTACACAAGCAACAAATCAATTAACAAGAAATTCTTTAGTAATATATTCGAATATCTGATTTTCTTTCTTTCTTTAATTCTTCTAAAATAGACGCTTGTATCCGATAAATGTTATCAATTGGCTTTAGCTCTACAGGCACAGACAACAAAAATTTCCTATGATAATGTTCAAACAGGAGTGAAATATATCACACAATGCGCTAATAATATTTTGAATGTAAGAATATTTATTTTCGTTAATTTTGAAAAGAATGGTTTTTATTTTTTAGGCTGTTAATGGTCCATTACAACAACGAACAACTGTTCTTGATTTAGATTGGTCTCGTGCTAATAATTTTCCTGCTGATTATGATACTGATTTAGATTATGAATGGTCTAATCTAAGTAAAATTATATTTTTTACCCTAATGTTTATCTATTGAATATTTTATTTCAATAGATTTATTTGCTAATGGAAATGATTTCTCATCGGAAACAATTGAAAAAGGTCGAAATAATTATTATCAAAAACAAACAGCTGATACGATAAATAGTCAAATGACAGAAATAACTTCATTAATAACAAATACTCTTAATACTCATTTAAATATTGGTCAAAATTTCACATTAAATTCTTCAGAAGTATTTCTTTCAATGGAAACAATATTAAGTTCATCTCTATCAAATAAAGTTATTCAACAAAGTGGTAATACTCAAATTCGTATTCCATCTGCTTTTAATTTAACTACGAATGATAATTCATCAATTTCACTTCGAGTCTGTTGTTTTCTTTTTATCATTTTAATCATTCTCTTCAATTCTTCTTTTTTAGTCAATGACTCAGTCACTTGCGTCAGCTGATAATAGTCAATCGAATACAAATCTATCAAGATCAGTCTCATTAACAATATTAGATCGTTATGGAAATGAAATACCTCTTCGAACAAATCTTACTGAAAAAATTGAATTAATGATACCTCGTGATCCAAATATAATTATTCCATCGATGACATTACAAAATGTAACTTCAATTCAAACAAATTCTCATTATCAAATATTTAATCTTCATTTTATTAACCTTCAACAATCACAATCGGTTAATAATCGAAGTGTTTCATTAATTTTTGAAATGAAACCTTTCGACATCAATCAAAGTTATTTATTAATCTATAGATTTGATAATTCACCACAATTAAATAGTTCAATAAATCAAATTGATGGATGGTCACTTCTATGTCCTTCAAGTTGGTTGAATTTTGCTTCTAAATAAAATATTTTATTTTTTGATCTAGATTTAACAAATGATACATTTTATAAATATTTTCTTAATAATGAACAAACATTTGGTCATCAATCAATTATATTGGGTTTACGAGAATTAAATTCAACTGAATATGAAACTTTTTGTATAAATCAATCAATTAATAATAATCTACCAATATCAAATCAACCATTTAATTTTACTTCAAATTATGAATTAAGAACTTATACAGCATGTTGTTATTATTTAGATCAAAATTCTATTTGGAGAACAGATGGAATATTAGTAAGTATTGCAGATCATCTTAAGCAAAGAAAACTATTGATATTTAATAAAAGGTCGGATCTGAAACAAATTATTATCAAACTCAATGTTTTTCAAATCATTTAACAACATTTGCAGGTGGATTTCTTGTTTTACCATCGCCTATTAATTGGAATTATGTCTTTCAAAATGCTGATTTTTCAAAAAATAAAACAATTTATTTAACTATTATTTGTATTTGTATACTTTATATATTGATAGTTATATATGCACGTTATAAAGATAAAAAAGATCTTGAAAAATTAGGTGTAACACCATTATCTGATAATTATTCTACTGATCAATATTTTTATCAAATGATTGTTTTTACTGGTCATCGAGCAAATGCTGGAACAAATTCAAAAGTATAATAAAAGAAATAGAATATTTCAAAAAAAATCCTTTCAATAGGTTCATTTTATTCTTGCAGGTGAAGAAGATGAAACAGCAGTTCGTACTTTTTCTGATCCTCATCGAAAAATTTTACAACGTGGGGGAATCGATGCTTTTATTATGGCTGTTCCAAAGTAAAGAATTTCATTTACTAAAAGGATTATTTAAAAAACAATTACATATTTAGATCATTAGGACTATTGAATTATATGCGTATTTGGCATGATAATAGTGGTCTACATGATAAAGCATCATGGTTTCTTAAATATATTATTGTTCGTGATTTACAGACAATGGAAAAATCTTATTTTATATGTCAACAATGGTTTGCTGTAGAAAAAAATGATGGACGTGTAAATATTTTTTTCATTATTTATTAAAGAATTATTCTATAAAAACAAAAATTTAGATTGAACGAATCTTACCAATAGCGGGTGAATTACAAAAACATGAATTTTCTTATGTGTTATCAAAACAAGCATATCATAGTATAACAGAAGGTCATCTTTGGTTTTCAATATTTTCTCGTCCACCATCAAATAAATTTACATGTGTTCAACGATGTACTTGTTGTTTTGTATTACTTTTTACTGCAATGCTTTTAAATATTCTTTATTATGATCAAACAAATGAAACAAATATAAATCAGACAGATGGAAGTTTATCATTTGGTCCATTCTATATCAGTTCTCAACAGATTAGTATTGGTATAATTGTTGAAATTCTTTCATTTTTTCCAAGTTTATTACTTGTCCAATTCTTTCGACGAATATTACCTCGACAATCGTTAGTGTAGTAAAATCTTTTCATTTTTCATATTTATTTATTTGCTTTAGTATAAAATCAAATAAAACGAAACGATCACAACTGATGTTTCCTTGGTGGTGTATATTTTTTGCTTATAGTTTATCGTTTATATTAGTCCTGGTATCATCATTTTTCATAATCGTTCGTGGTATTCAATTTGGTGATTTGAAAACACAAAAATGGTTAACATCACTTCTAAGTGGTTTCTTTTCCTCCATATTTTTAATTCAACCATTAAAAGTAATCACTTTATTTTAATAATAAAATGTATATGTATGTTTTATAGATTGTTGCATTAGCAATTTTCTTTGCTTTCTTTATTCGAAAATCAGACAAAGATAACGAAGCAGCTGAATATTTGGATGATAATATTGATTTAAATCATAATGAAGAATATTTACATTCAAAAGAATCTCCATTTATTTATCGTTCACAAACTCGTAATGTTCGTTTGAATGAAAGTGAATTAGCTTGTATTCGTGATCAACGTTTAAAAGAAATACGTATGTGGGAAATAATACGAGAAATTATATTCTATTTCTTTTGTCTAATCTTGATATATCTTATTTCTTATACAAATATGAATTCAAATGCTTTTTTTCAAGTAAATCATTTACAAAAATATTTTTTAAATACAAATCAAATTGATAATGATTATACGAAAGTAAGAGTTATTTAGTTTCATATAATATATGATATTCAATGATTAGATTTCTACGATTGATCAATATTGGAATTGGTTAGAAAATAGCTTTATTTCAAATATTCATGCTCAACAATGGTATAATGGTGAAGCACCTCAAAATTTAAATGGTTTTATTAATGATAAATCTAATCGATTAATAGGAAGAGTTCTAATGAGACAATTACGTGTAAAAACAAGTTTATGTCCTACAAAATTATCGTTAAAATGTAATGAAGATTATAGTTTTTTTAATGAAGATAAAAATTCATATACTCCTGGATGGTTAAATCAAACAAATGAATATTCGAATTCTTCAATTATTCGAGCTTTTTTATATGACAATGGAGAGAATTATGATCAATATATATATATTGGTAAATATGGAACATATAATTCAGGTGGTTATATATATGAATATCAAGGTCGTTTATCTGATCTTCAAAGTAATTTATCTGAACTTCATCGATTAAGTTGGATTAATAGTCAAACACGAGCAATTCTTCTTCAATTAACTTTATATAATCCAAATGTTCAATTATTTACATCAGTTAAATTTCTTACAGAATTTTTACCAACAGGTGGTTTATTACCACAATATCGTGTTGAACCAATAACTTTTCAAGGTTAGATTTTCTTTTTATGCATAAACTTAATCTTCTTTTGTTTTTAGTTTTTATATCATCATTTCAATTAATTTGTACAATAATTTATATGATCTTTATAATTTATCATATAATAATCGAAATAAAAAGTTTTTTTCGAATTAAATTTTCTTATTTTTATAATTTTTGGTCTTATATTGATATTGGTATCATAGGTTGTTCATGGGGAATATTAGGAGTTTATATATGGCGATATCAACAAACGATTTCTATTGGAAATCGTTTTCAACAAACAAATGGATATGTTTATATTAATTTACAATTATTGATATATGTTAATGATATATTAACTTATTTACTTGCATTTTGTTGTTTTTTTGGTACTTTAAAATTTCTTCGTCTTTGTCGATTTCATCAACGTTTATTATTATTTACAAAAACACTTCAATATGCTAAAAAAGATTTATTTTCATTTATGTTTATGTTTTTATTTGTATTTATGGCATTTCTTACATTATTTTATTTATTATTTTTTGATAAAATTTCAAGTTGTTCAACATTATTACACACAGCACAAACGCTTTTTGAAATGATGTTAATGAAATTTGATGCATATGAATTAAGTGATGCTGCACCATTTCTTGGGCCATTTAGTTTTAGTTTATTCATTTTATTAGCTGTTTTTGTTTGTATGAGTATGTTTATTACAATTATTAATGATAACTTTCGTTTTGTACGAAATAATATGAATATGAATAATAGTGAAGATCAAGCTGTTTTATTATATATGTTTCATAAATTTCAACGTTGGATTGGTAAGATAGACTATGTAAACTAGTTTTTCTCTTATATATATATGTAGGATTAGGACAATCATTTCAAATTACATCAACTGAAGAACAAGATGAAACCGTGCGTAGAGAATATCGTAATCCGTTTGAAACATTACCTGAGAAAATCGATCAGTTATTAGATGCACTCAATCGAGTAAGTGTTATTTATAAATAATATTAATACTTATTATTCTTTTTAATTAGCTTTACACAAGTCAACAAAATAATATAAAATGAGAATTAACAGAATTATATAACTCTTTGTTTGTAATGTGATGTATTTATCTACTTAAATAAAATTATTTAAATTTAAATCATATCGATAAGGGTGGATGTGAACGCATCTTCTTTTAACTTTTATCCAGATTTAAAATATTGTTATTAAAATCTTTAATATATTTACATAAAAAATAAAGCTTTATAATTTTCTATTATTATTATTATATTTTTTTAAAATCATTTCCATTGATTTAATTACTTTTCCTATCAACAAGTTGTGCTGGAGCATGTGCTATAACATATTTAGTTAGTTTTTTTCTATCCATCATCGAACCAATTTTAATATCAAGTTGATCAATAACTAATAATTATGTGTACATATTTATTACAAAATTCTTCCAAAAAAATATTGAATAAAAATAATCAAGTAAAATTAATTTAATAACATAACGACTAATTAGTAAAGGAATTTCATTTTCATATATATGATCTTGATATTCTTGTGCATCTTTGATGAAGTTCTATACTTTTCAATGGAAAACAATCTGCTGTAAATGTATGTAATTGTTTATCTATTAATAATGATAGATACATTTTGTAGAATATAATTAAATTTTTCATATAATATTAATAAGTAATTATCAATAATAAAAGTTTTTGTTAATAATATTCCAAGTAATGACTTATCATCTAGATTTATTGAACGATATAATAAAGAAAATAATGACTAACAAACACAAATATCTTTTTCTCGACTACAAAAATCAAGAATAATAGTATGAAAAGAAACAATTCAACAATATTGATCAATAGTTTTTATTTCGCTAATATTGTTTACAGTAAAATGAGGTATTGTACCGAGCCAACTAGTTATCGTATATTTATATACCAGAATCAGTATGAATATAGTAAAACTTTATTTGACTAAATTTAAAAAAAACACGAAAAATCTAAAATATTTTATTTGAAACAATTCATTTACTTAAATGTATAAATAAATAATATAATCAAATAGAGCTTATAAACCACATTGATTATTAATAGTTAAAATAATATTTGCCTTATCATAATCTTCTTCATGGACTATCATTTTGTAAAATATACAAAAAAATTTTTTTAAAAAAGTAGTAGAATATAATTTTAAAGTTTTTATAAATAGATTGAGTAATTCGATCTAATTAATTGGAATACATCAATATGATATCTTTCTCTGATGTAAAAATGAAATTATATATTTCATAGCTGATTGTTTCTCTCTAAATATCGAACTTATATATTAAAAAATTTTTGAATAAAACTGTTGTTATTTAAATCTCAATTCTAATAAATGAGAAATATCTTTCTGACAACATTGTTTTGATAAATAATCTAAAAGTTACTATCAGTATAGTTTATTCAATTCTTTATGATTACTGTAATAATTTTATTGAGTTTTCAAAATGACCTTGAAATAATACTCATATATAATAATCCAATAAAGTTATAACGGTATCAAGCCATTGACACACAAGCAAACATGAAACTTATTCATGCATATCGATTAAACATGTTGTATTAGATAAATTTACTTTAATTTTTTTTCTTCTCTTTAATTTTTTTTCTTCTCTTCACTTGTTATACGTTCAAATCTGATAAAAAATCAAAATTTGATTTACAAGCAAAAATTTTGTTTTTCTGTGCCTATCCATAAAATAAATATTATCTTCTATTTCAACTTTGAATTCAAAATATCTTCGAATGGATCGAACAACTATTTTCTTTAAAACAAAAAAAAATTATGAGGTTTCTTTCTTTATTTATTCTGTTTCATTTGAACACGTGTAACCTAAAGTAAGAAATGTACGTATTAAGCCATGCTTGGTTGCTTCTATTAGTAGCTCACAACGATGGACGTCCTTTGAAAATGAAGACATGTGCGATTGAAAGCGATAGAAGAAGACTATAACAGAATGATGATGCAGCATATTTAAGCTTAGACAGATAATGAGAAGTTGCTCATGCTTATTGTAAATATTTGATATTGTTTTCAGGATATTGAAGGGTATCAAAGAAGAGTAACTAATTGGGCATATAAAAAAACAAAATTAATTAATAAATATTAAAAGAATAGAAAACTAACTAGTGATCAATGCTTGATTATATAGTTCGAGTTTCGGTATGATGTGTATTTGTGCCATATATCCTAAAAAGAAAACTAATTAGTTAATTAAATGTCACAAAGTGCTTCAGATGGTACTCTCAAAGAAGAGTGTACAAATAACGAGACAAAATACCAGAACATTGTCTGAATTAGTTATTACCGACAGACTATTGAATAACAAACTTGCCTTAACTTTTATGAAAACTAAGAGGGTTCTATTGGAATATTGGGATGCTTATTATTTGGAGTATGTATGCTGTGCTTCGGAGACAAATGTTATTGAAAATGAAGAATCCGTACGCTTATGGATTAAATAGCGAAGCAGATCTTTTGAAGCAAAGCGTTCACTTGGTGCACTCTGCGTCATATGAAATGCCACCATTAAAATAATGATGCAGCAAACCATTTTGATCGAGGGTAAACGAGATGGATGTGCTTGTGTAAATTATTAGGCCTTGCTTCGGCTTCATATACGCCGACTGAAGCAAGGAGCAATCTACGAAAAAAAATTATTTTTACACCGTCAGCGAAAGACAGAGAGAGAGTATCCTATCTGGCCGTAAAGAAGCATAAGAATCTTTTTTTAGCTGGTATAAATTGAGGGAAAGAGAGAGAGAGCGATTTTTAATGTGTAGATGAATATCGACATACGCAATTTACTTTTTTATCTTGTATACAGCGACTCAAAGTGAAGGATTTTTTATATGTTCAGGTGGATACAGACATACGCACTTCATTTTTTAGTTCGTAATTTCACTTGCATTTTGGTATTCGAACGTCACATTAAGGACAAATATGCAACGTCAAAATATTTAATATTAATACAACGTCAGCATATTTCGTATTTACGCAATATCAAACAATGACGAAGCATATTTTGTTAAGATATATGGAAACAAAATGGGCAATGATGCGTGACTGTACAACACACAGACAAATGAAACAAACGAAAGTATTTAACATGCAAGTGTGTGGATGGATTCAACATCTTAACGCATTTGACACTCACACAAGAGATAATTCACAAATATTCATATTTATTCAATAATAGGATATATAAATTAATTTTTATTTTTATTAAACATGAACTTATACTAAAGATATACTTCCTACAAATATTTATAATGAAAAAATTAGAAAAATAAATAAAGATAGAAAAGTATTTATACATCCTTATCGTTGTTTTAATAAAGCTTCTTTATCAATAAAATTTTTCTAAAATTATATTTATATATACAATAACAAACTTTGTTCGATTAGATTTTATTATTACATCAAATGATATATGATATTCTCGATTTAAATGAAATGATGTTATTTTCTTATCAATATCATGTCTCCAAAATGGATGCATACGTATAATTCGAAGAGTTCATTGAGTAAAGTATCCAAATCAATACATATAAATAGGAATTTATCAAAATTATTAATATTATCCAGCATTGATTATTCGATAATATTTACCCTGTTCCATTAACATATTCTATACACATAAAGCATACTAGAAAAAAAAAATTAACAAAAAGTATAAAATATATCTTACTTTAATGGAATATAAAGCATATCAACAGTGACATTAATTATCGCTGATTTACTATTTCTATTCTCCTCTTTCATTATCATCATCATCAGTCGATTCATATCTTAACATTAGACTTACTTGGCAAGTCATTCTTGTAAAATCGTTAAAATTTTCATCGCTCAATTCAAATAGTAAATATTTAGCTTTCGGTCCAATTAAATTCAATGCTGTATAAAGTGAAGTTACAGCCAACAGAAAAATAGAATTATCTTCTGGTGCATGTGTTTTAAGCTATTTTATATTGCGAGTTGATTGCGACGTTGAACTCACCAAAAGAAAACTAATAAAAGGACAAAAATCTTATATTTATATAAAAAAAACATCGCTTTTTACTGATATTCTCCTAGACATATAACCGAACAATCATTTTCATAACCACTTTGTTCATTTGACATTCCTGTATGAACAACAGTACCAATTGGCATATCAATATTATTTGCACAAAGCATTTGAAGAAAATCCACAACACTTCGATTTGCTGATTTTAATTCATATTTTGTGAATGATGTCATATCAATAACAACTACACCTTTTCGACATGCATTATATTCTTTTTTAACTGTATTAAACTATCGTGCTTTACCAAATGCACCTTGTTTACTTAAATCTTCAAAATCTTTTATATTCCAAAAAAGAAAGGAAATAAAAAACATTTTCTTTGAGATTGAAAATACTTTTTCCTGCTTCATCTGATCTAAAAAATAGTGGACGTTCGTAACCAAGTACTTCGCCATGAGCAGTACCAGAAAGTGCTATATCATGGCCATTAGAACCGGATCCAACGAAATAATTAAGGATCTAAAGATTTCTTTATTTTATAAAATATTTCTATTCATTATTAATCGACTATCCGGTGTAAAACTATCACCGCCAGTAGTTGATGTATCACATTTACTTTCAGCTAGAATAGGAAATCCTTTGATAGTATTACTTAATATCTAATTTAGAAGATAAATATAAATATATGAGGAATAAATTGATGATAACCTACAAAAATCATCTTAATTATCGGGTGGAAGTGAAAAATAAAATGTATCTGGAACACCATTTTTAAACATATATATTCTACATAATAATTTTATTCGATAATTTTCAAAATAGAATTCAATTTATAAATTACAACATGCTTGAGCAGGAATTTGTACACTTGGTGAAGTTTAAAATCCAAGTTCTCTTGAGGGTGTGGGTGGGTGGGTGTGGACACCCACATGTTAAATAATGAATTTTTTACATGGATTGACAATAATCAAATGCTGTTGATTCGCTATGAGACACGATTTTCATCCCTAAACTATCGTCTGAAAATACTTCTGAGTACTTAATTTTGATAGTATTAATAATATGCTGTAAAACATTGCCAAGACCCGTTATACTTATAATGAATGATTTCTTATCATTGATCGAAACTGCGAAAGTAAGCTTATCATGAGGCCAGTCCCAATCAATAATAGATCCAGGAGTCATGATTCGAATTAGTTTATGACAGAAATCTGGTGATTTTTTCTGTTGTGACATGTAATAGGAGGCGAATATCGAGAGTTTATCAAGCAAAAGTGGTTCACTGACATATACAAGCCGAAAGCGATTTTCATTAGTTAATAAAAGGACTATATGAGGCCTATAGAAGTTTTGACATTTAAGACACGATACCTTCGTACGAGCAATGCTCACATAATAATCCGTGTTACGAAATTTCACGAATTGTGTTCCACCTCGTAAATTGCCATCTTCCTCATTCTGTTGGTCACTAGAAAGAAACTCGCAAGTGCCGTTCATTGCATCGCATTGCAGAATTTTTAACGGTTTATGCGAATAAACAAAATACATTTTATTGTTTTTGATAAATGGAACCCAATTCTTTTCTACCTTCGAAGGTTGTCTATTTCGTATCAAATATGGTGTTTGATAATCCGTGAATACATCATATGACCAAATTTTACGTCGATAATCGGTATCAATCATGTTAAAGCTTATAAATAAGCCATTGGAATCATTCAGAATAAGACGTGGGTCTTCCGGTCCTAGACAGCACGCAGAAATTTCGGGCGGAACAATCTTCAAAATGTGGGGCAGTCTGATCATTTTCTCGCTTCCATAGGTCATATTAAGAGCTATTCTACGATAAGTAGAAGTTAAAGCCTCGACATATATAAAACTTCTGTCTGGATTGCATGCTACTTGGCAAATCTTTTTTGAATACCATATTCGAGAAAAAACTAATATTATCGTTTCGTTTCCGGAAAGTTTGATTTTGACGCCAGCAGCAGACATAGATCCATAATGTTTCAAGTGTTGATGTTTCGACATTCGCGGATTATGAAACTTACTTTTATGCTCTATCTTATTTTGGACGACATAGCCAACATCGGGAGTAATATCAGCTTCTAAGTGAAGAGATACATGGGAATTTAAATTAAGATTCCAATATCCTTTATCTACTACAAATGTCAGGTTCATATCATAAGGCTTATAACTATTTTTTCCATTTTTCTTCATCGACAAGTTTGAATTTGTAGTTTCTCTAATATACGATATTAAGTATATGTAATTGACTGAAATCGTTAACGAGACCATGATAATAATCAGGAGCAGAAATAGACACGAACTTTTAGAACACATTTGAAAAAAATACTTCAAGATATAACTGTAGTTGTGCGCGGGGTTATTGAACAGATGTCTTTTGTGTACTGTGATTTACACTGCCTCTCACTTTCATCCAAAGCGACACCTTCGTTGTAGCTTCGTACATTCTAACGAAAATGGTTGAGTTATATTAAAATTTCTTGCATAACGTTACTAATATAATAATATTTATTTTGATTAATTAAATAATAAACACGTACAAATAAAGATGAATTAATACTACTCCAAATAATTGTATATAATAAAGTCAATAACTGTAAATACACACAAAAGAATAATCTATATATATATATATATATAAAGAAGAATATTTGTTTGTCTGTTCGCTATCCATTCAGTCCCTGTAATAGCCAGTGGCGGTACGAAGGGCTGAAAGCAGGTGGGAGGCAATCACAAAACGAGAGAAAGAAAAAGAAAATTTCTCAGTTTCAATTTTCATGGATTTTAGAAAAATTTTCTGTGGTAACTACCCAAAAACCAAAACTGGTGAGCAAAAAAAAGGGTGCAGGTGTGGGTGTCGACCAGTTTGCCCGGTTTTTGACTAAATATGGCTGTGGGTGGATGCTATTTATCTTACAGACACTGACATAGAGGGTGACAAGTGCAGTTGTTCAGTCTCCCAAGCTCTCTGAAGAAAAATGGAAAAGAGAAGATGATAATCGCTTAGTTTTATTTAAAAAGTATGAATAAGCGAGTGTGAATTAAGTATGTCCGGTATCTACGTATATCTCATAACGGAGAATTAATCTTACATATACCACCTAGAAGGGATGAATGCATGAAATAAAACTGCCTTCCTACGTATTAATCTGCATCGTTTCTAGAATCAGACGCGCTCCCTAACGTTGTAAATGTAAAAATCCATGCGAAATAAAAATATTGCTCAAAAGAAAATGCAATAGATCGAGACGAACGAACGAAAAGATGTGAAATTCAACATACTGAGATGATATGACAATAAAAGGTTATGAAGAATAGTAATGAAATTGAAAAGAGAAAAGAAAAGACGAAATCGCTGATTTTTGTTCGACAGCATGACGAAGCGAGTATGAATTAAGTAATTATGTCCGGTATCTATGTGTATCTCATGAAGGAGAATAAATCTTTGCTATATTATTTCAGGAAGAAAAGTGGATGGTATAAATCGGTCTTCATATGTATTGATTGATGTCGTTCCTGGAATCAGAGATGCTTCCTAGCGTTGTAAAAGTAAAATTAGAGATGAAACAAAAATAACGCTCGAAAGAAAATGCAATGAAGCGAGACGGACGAACGAAAGCATATAAAATTTAATAATGTGTAAGTTAATACAAAAGTAAAAGGTATGAGTGTGTGAATATGAATGAACAAGCACACCCACACTCACACTCAAACTAAAACGATGAAGGTTCGTGAGGACGAACGAAAGATGATACGATCAAGTTTTATTATCATTTATAATGACACCTAGATCTCCACACATATCGTAGAAAATAGTTAATGATTAGTATCAACAAAAGTCCATAGTCAAAATTGTGTTTTTACGACACTTTCTGAAAACGAACTGAACGTTCTGTTCGTCACGATATAATACTAATGCGTAGGTCGAAAAAGTAAGAAAGCCTCGTGAAGGATTACAGAAATGCTTTACTTCGTATCGTATCAGAAATCAATCAATAATTAGATGTACTCAATAAAGTAAGATTCGTTAATAGTAGTAATAATTATTATTTATTTCTTTATAATCAAATTTATATAAGTCAACAAAAATCATCAACATCCTCATTAGATAATATGACAATTGATTCAACGAAATTTTATATTTTCATTCATATATATATTTATCTGCTTGAATAAAACTAAACTATTTCAAATTTATGCCATATCAATAGCTTTCGAAACTAAATTATTAATTTGTTCTTGTTGTAAATTTGCTAAGTTTGTTGCTCGTGCAAATATATTTGGAGCTTTACCAACTTGAAATGCTTCAAACCATCGAGATGCACATAAACACCATTTATCACCTTCTTTAAGACCTGGAAATGTAGGTGGATGTGGTGTAATTAAATTATTTCCTTTCGAAAGTGAAAAATCAAGAAATTCTTGTGTCATTTGTGCACATACTGTATGTAAACCATAATCATCCGGACATGTAGCACAATAACCTCAAAAATATGTAAAATATACTTTAAAAAAAACAAATTTCACTTTCTATACCATTACGAAAATAACCCGTTAAAGGTGCATTTGAACACATTTCTAATGATGTTCCAGCTAAATTTTGAAAGGATTGATTTCCATTCAATGCAAAACCACCGTTTATTGTCATTTTGTTTTAAAAAGAATATTCAAAATCTAAATTTGAATCAATTGACATAAAGATTTCCTTGTTTTTTTAGTCAGAAATAAACGAAAAATAAATACAAAACGAGACATACATATTGACATAAATGTTTTTTTTTCGTTCAAATTAACAAATACAAAAAAAGGACAAAAAGAAAATTCGAGTTTCATTTTTTTCGGTTTATAAGTGCATTTTATTTCCTTCAATACTAAGTTTAACTATAGACATTGGTTTGGAAAGTCGTTTTCGATCTTGTTGTCGTCGTTTAAGTTCATCTAAACGTGATACTGATTTCTTTTTACCATCTCCCTAAAAGGAAAAAATATCAATCGTTATCTTTTTATAAATTTCATTAAATATGACAAAAATTACTTTTTTGTCTGAATATTCAACTGTTGAAACTGGACGTACAACATAATCTTTATTTGATGGTCGAGGAACACGAGCTCGTGGACATTCTTCATCTTCATTTAATTCATCACCATCATGTTGTCGTCTAAAATAATAATAGAACTGTAAAGTAGAAATTTTTTATTTATAAAAAAGAATTTCTTGTACCTTTTATTATCAAATGGTAAATCCATATCAGAAGCACGATTCTTTGGTTTGCCTGTTGAAGATGTTTGTCTTTTAAGTGAAGCTTGATTAGCATCACGTTGTTGACGTTCTTCACGTGTTAAAAGTTTGTAATCAGTATCTAAATTGAATATCGGTCGTGCCCAATCATCTAAAAAAAATTTTCTTATGAAATTCTAAATTTAATAATAGACTTACGAATAATTTTGATTAGTTTAAGTTTATTTTCTTTTGTTTCACGAGGATGTTTATATAAATACATAAGAGCTTTTCCAATACTACTATCACGTAAAGGTTCAGCATTAATAACACCAAACTAAAAAAACATAACTCATATATAAACACAATCTATCAAAAAACATACTTGTTGAAGAATTCTAATCAGTGATTCTCGAATTTTAATATTCGGTAAACTTTTATCTGGTAATGGACTAAGCCAATCCTTGAATACAGTTAATATTCCATTATCAAGAAATATATCACTTAAATCAGCACGACATAGATGTTGTTCAACAACTGGTAATAAAAGAAGTTTAGCAGTAGCTGGTTGTCGACTTTTATTAAATATTCGATCTTCTTCAGTAGCTATTTTCATTTGATCAATTAATTTTGAGACAAATTGATCACTATCAGGACCCGCTAAATCAACATCACCATTTTTTCCACGACGACGATTACCACGACGTCTTTCAGCTTTCTTTTCCAAATATAAATCAATATCATAAGCGATATTACTAAATAATAAAAGAATTCATTTTTGAAATATTATTTGATTTCTTAATATTATACTTTTTTGATGATGAATGTTTTTCTTTTCGTACTGATGTATCTTCATCATCTTCTTCATCTTCTTCAGCATCAAATGTTTGTTGTTGCTGTTGTTGTTCAGCATCTTCTTCTTCTTCTTCTTCTGCGTTATGTTGTGCAGCTTCATCATTAAGATCTGCTAATTCATCAGTTACTTCTTCTTGATCATCAGCTTCCTCCTAAGCAATATTTTTAAGTAGATATTGAAGAGATATTGATTTTTCTATACCTCATTTTCATTAACATCTTTACCAAAAATATCGTCAACTACGTCTTCAACATCAGATCTAAAGAAAATATTATTTTATCAGGCAAATGAACATTCATTTTTTGGGTTTTTATATGAAATATTCATTGATTACATACGTTGCTTCGACATTGTCTGTATTTTTGTCTTGTTGTTCTTCTGTCTTATCATCATCTTCTTCTTCTGCAGCATCAGAATTTTTTCGAAAACGTTTAGATTTTTTTTCATGATGATGTCGATGTTCATCACTTCGACGTTTTTTATGTTTTTTATGTGGATCATCATTTTTCATTCTAAATAAATAAATAAATAATAATTAAAAAAGGTATACTAATCTAATTCTTATAAATATTTACGTCATTTGTTTAAGAAAACTACGATTTTTATCTTTACTAACAACACTAGTTGATTCCGTTTGTTGTTCATCATCATCATTGTCAGAATCATTCATAATTTGTACTCGACGACGTACTGGAGATTCTTTTTCACTTGTATTATCAACATCATCATCATCATCATTATTTTCTTCTTCTCCTTCTACTTCTTGTTGTTCATTTGAAGCATCAGCATCAGCATCTTCAACTGCTGGTGAACTTGGTCCTGCTTCTTCATCATCTTCACGTTCTTGTTCATTGTCAGATGCTTGAACTTGATCCTCATTCTCATCTTCATCGGGAGATTCAATACCGGTTGGATAAGAACGTTCTTGCGTTTGAGTAAAACCTAGAAAAAACATTTATTTATATTTAAATTTTTCTTTTAACTAGAAAATAGATAAAATAATTTACCAAGTTCATTGATTTCATGTTCTTCAGGTTCAGGTGATTGTGGTCCTTCTAAGTCGTCTTCATGTTGTTGTTCTTCTTCATCAGCTACATGATTTTCTTCTTGTTCATCTTCATCTAATGTTGCAGCAAAATCACCATAACCTTGACTAGCTACTTGAGTGAATGGATTAGGTGCTTGACTCATCTATAAAATTTGAATTAAATAATTTAATAATTTCAATGATCAGAATTTATAAACGTTATATACTTCGAAACAGGAAAATATAGGAAGTATCTTCTATTATATTCTCGAAATATTGTTTTCGCAATATATCAATTTTTTATTGGAATATTCTGTTCCTTACTCATAGCCATTGAAATAGCTTTAAAAGATGGCGGGACTTGTCGAACATACATCAATAAAATTTTATTGCTATTAATTACATTCCCATTGAAAAACTGTCTTCTCGATGATTAACGAAAAAGTTTAGAAAGAAATGGGTTTATTATCATGTAGCAATTAGCGGCGGCGCCAGGATTCTTGAATAGGGTGGGCTCGGGCCTAATAAATTTCAAACAGGGTGGGCTCAGGCCTAGTAAACTTCAAATAGGGTGGGCTCAGATAGAATATCATTGGTTTTTTTAAGATTTGAAAAAAACTCCAGGGTGGGCTGAGCCCGCCCTTGGGGCCGCTACTAATATCAATCGAACATAATATGAAGCCATAGATTTTTGAAAGATTTTATCATGGTAGACATTTACATTCAAAAAAAAATCAGACAAAATCGTTAGTTTTGTTATCCTTTTTGAATTTTTCAGATAGATTACTATCGCGAAGATTTTTCATATAGATTATTTTGAAATAATCTTTCAAGAGCCTTGTATTATAATTTTATTCGACTATTTCCTGTTCTGCATTTCATTTAAACTTAAATTCCCATTGCATCCAATAAACTGCATCATTAATCGATATGATAAGAATATTATTATCTAGAATGACACAAAAAAAAAGAAAACTACTAGAATTTTAAATGTACTTATTTGAATAAGAGAATGTCTTTATGTTTTGTTGATGTTTTTTTTTTAATATAATTAAAGAAGAAAAACTAGAGAAGTTCAACATCGATAAAAAAGGACAGAGTAATAGATGGCCAAATAAAGATAAAGAAGAAAAAAAAAAGAACGAAAGCTACACACGAATAAACGTTGATCAAAACGAAATAACTACATAGAACAAATCTTTTTATCTTTATGATTTTGATTAGACAAACTTTCTTTTTAAATCAAATAAGTTTTTGCTTTTTGTTTTCTCGGATATATATATATATGTATATATGCAGTTTTATCAAAGCGCGCAGGCAGACAATGAGAAATGGAAAAAGAAAAGATGAAGAAATAAAGAACACCGAAGAAAAAAGGAAGAAGAACCTTATAATATATATATATATGTATATTTCTAGATTTTTCTGTACAAACAAGAAAAAAAAATGTTCACGAAAGTAAAAATGCATATTGACCATCTCGTATTGCTGTTGTCAATTTTGCTTTCATTATTTCTTTTGATGAATAATCTGGCAATTTGAGATAGTTGACACAGGTCATTACACTTGGTAAAAATGAATCTGAATTGTTATTATCACTACTATTTTCAGCTGTTTTTCGTACAATTGTTAATGGAGGATGTAACATTCGGAAACCTAAATATATATATATATATAATTAAATACAGATCTCATTAGAAAAGACTAACCTCCAACAGGTAACCGTGGACTACCAGTAACAAATTGTAAAAATGCTCGTTGTTCATCAATATCAAAATTAATCATTATATCAAAAAGCCATTTAACAGCACGACTATTTAAATTATATCCATGATCACAACGTGTCGATTCAAGTAAAACTTTCAAATCCCATAAATCAGTTGAACCACTACCGCAAAATACTTGATGAAGCTAAGACAAAAAAAAATAATTTTTTAAAGAAGATTTCGTAATTATTATTTCTACATACTTCATCAGGATAAAAACATTTTAAATGATGAATAGGAAATATAGAATTAAAACCATCACGGAATGATTCAAATTGACGTCGAACACCTTCAACTAATGTCCAATAAACAACCAACTAAAAAATAACGAAAAAATAAAAAATTTTCAAATCAAATTTTTTTTACTTACATTAATATATTGATCAAGATTATAAATTGTAACTAAACAATCTTTTCCACCTTTTTTTAATTCAATATTTGAATGACCAGGTAATGTAAATACAAGTGATAAATCATCAATTTTACATCCATCAAGATATAATCTTTCATCATTTTCATCGAATACATTTGAACATGGAGAATTTTCTAATTGACAATCATCTTTTGATTTTAATCGTTTTTTATTATGAATTTTATTTATTAAATGATTTTGTGACACTAATTTATCACGTATATGAACAATTGATTGTAATTTTTTAAATTGTTCATAAAGATTTCTATCAATATGAACAAGATCTTCAAGATTTAATGTTTCTTCTTGTCCTAAGATCCATTTATAAAAAACAATACTAAATGACATATCAATCTAAACAACAAATTAAATTTATTTCAAATTTTAAAATCGATAATAGATTACCATTCTCGTATCCATCAAAGCTTTTGCCATAAATTTACCAAGAAATTTATATTTTTGACGAATTTTTGTTATAACACTTGCTTTAGCATTACGACCAAGTGGAGCAGGATAAAGACCACTACGACTATCAACATATTCAGGAAGTGGAACATCTTTATCTATATACACAAAAAACAAAATAAGAAATTATTAAATATACATTCAAATAGATTCTTTTTTGAAAAGGCTATCGTAATCATGGTTTCACTTGAGGGTCTAAACTTCGTAAATACTCTGGAGATGTAGTATAGCCTCATGAATGGTTCTGTTAGTGAGGGTGATAATCTACCAGTGGCGGATCTAGGATTTTGAAAGGGGGGGGGCGATTTTGGCTAAAAGCTATTTTTTAGTCCAATCGAAGTAATATGAACCTATTTTTGCTGTAAAAAATCAAAAAAATTTGGAAGGGGGATCGCCCTGTCCCGCTAAATCCGCCACTGTTATCTACGTCTGAAAATTAATACCCCAACTGTTCCACAACTTTAGTTTATCATCATGTAGTCTCATCTCTTTTTATATGTTCAGTATTTTATCTAGGTTTTTCCTTTCGAGAGTGTGATAGTGATTTCCGGGAGGGCGCTGCCGTCTCTGCCCTCCCTCTAGATAAATCACTGTATATGTTACCTTTTGTTGATTCAAAAATTTTATCAGTTCTCCATAATTCCAATCCATTTCTCTGTAATTCTTTTGATAATAAAGAATATGCTTCAAGTGTTGGTCCAAGACCAAAACCAACCTAAAAAACAATATTTATATTTAAATTAAAATGTATTTATTTTACTTCATCTTCATATTGAACTTCAAGAAAATGTTTTGAATTCCAATTATCAAGAATTTTTTCCATTTCAGAAAGTATATTTCCTCTTGATAATTGTACTTTTTTTCTTTCAATTCTTGGTATTATTGATTGTCTATCTGTTTGATCATTATTATGTTGTTGCGTTAAAATATCTGAACTATCTAAAAGTCTTTGCATTGCACGTTCACGATCAAAGGCACATGGATAAAAAAGCATTTGTCGAGTTTCAAATGGAAATAAAAATGAACATGAATAACCCATTTCTGTTATCCATGAAGGTATTTGTCCCATCATAATAACAACAGGATCTTGTAATTGTCTATTAACTTTTGAAGTTAATTTTGATGAATAAAATTCATTTTTTGATGTTAGTGTTAATATTGAATTTTGATGATTTAACATTGTATTTGTATGAGAATATAAATCATACCAATAAAGATTTAAACCATTTAATATACGTAAAAGAAATATTGCATTTAATGATAAATCATTTATTGTTAAAATTGATGAAACGGATTCATTAAGTGCTAATGTTAATAGTGATTTCGATTTTGGATATTGTCCATTAATCCATAATTCATCGATTATCGGAGGAATAGATGAACGTTTTGATGTTTTAATAGTTTTTTTTGATGAATTTGGAGGATGAGTTGTTCGTCGTATACGATTTGTTGATGTTGTTGCACTAGCACCACCAATGGCAGTATTAACAGCAGGTACTGTTGATGAAGAATTTGTTGCTTGACGATAATTTATTGTATGTACACGTGTCCATATTGCAGAAGAAGAAAATATTGATTCATCTGTATCAGTTTCAGATTCATTTTCACTTCAACAGAAAAAAAAGGAAAATAAATAAAAGAAGTCTTTACAATTGAAATTTTGTCTTACGCTGTTCGTTGTGTTGGAATACTATATAGTCGAACTGCTTGATAAATTGTCATATTATGTGGAATAATATGATCATTTATTAAAAATTCTAATCTCATTGTTGATGAACGTGTTAAAACATTAATAACATCTTCCGTATCCGATTCATTTGATACTTCACTTTCTTCATCATCTAATGTATTTGTTGGATCATCCTATAAAATAGAATCAAAAGAAAAATTATGTAGCATTATCATATTTTCCCATTGATTATCATTATTCGATGATAAGAATAGTGATCAATGATGCTTGAAAATTTCTTTTTTGGAGAAAATATTTATTCTTCAACTGGCAAATAAATATTCAGTTAGATATATCAATGTTTTTCTCCGATGAATAGATTCGAACCCATGTTTAACAACGTTTTAAACAATTAGACTATCAGGTGTATTTTACTTACAATTGTACTACTAGCTATACCACGTAAAAGTAAATATTTTTCAATTGCTGATACAAGTGCAAGTGGATCTATTTTCACCGGACCACTATTCCATTGTTTGAGATTTTTACATTGTGGATGACGAATAAGATTGCATTTTAATTGATGAGTTGTAATTAGACGAAGTGCAGAACTATGAGCAGGTCGACCAGCAATATCATTTACTAAAAATAAATCAAAATTTAGCTCAAACCTATGAATACGTCTTTAAATCCGGAAAATTTCTGATATCGTTCTAACAGAAGAGAATGATAATATTCTTTCATAAATGTTTATGGTTGTCTACCGAGTGCCATTCTACTTTACTGTGCTCTGCACTTCTATTAGTAAATATACACAGACGTGCACCTTGAGAGTGTGGGTGTTGTGTCCATACTTTATCCACACCCACACCTTCTAACTAAATTCAATACTCTTGTCAATAGGAATGTGACAGTTCCAGTTCGAAAAAACTGAACCTGCGCTTTCACAGTTGTACTCGCTAAACACATCGAGGGCGATCGCGATGAATATCTCCTAGGACTTTCGTTATTGGTGGCTACTAAAAAGTGAACTACATCACTTCTCTTCAAATCGAATGATTTCTCTTCTTTCTTGTACATGGTTCTCTGTTAAATAAACTGTCGAATCTTTTTTTTTAAATTTTCCGGATTTTTTCCTCCGAATTTTTTCTTCCCGGATTTTAAATCTATCAAATCTAAGAAAACAGTCAATGACGACGATTCTTACCTCTAATCGGAAACTGTTCAAGTTGATTAATACATCCATGTAATTTATTAATTAAATGACTTAAAACATTAGATTCATTTCGATGATAAGTTTTTCCATTATTAACTTGTGCATGTTGAAGTTCAATAATATATTGTTTTAAAGCTAATTCATCATTTTCTAATGGTATATTAATAAAAATATTTAAAAATTGTTTTAATCTTTCTGGTCGATCATTTGCTAATGATATATCATCTGTTAAATATTGATATAATTTTGTTATTAAACCACTATGTACCATTTCAAATGGTGAGACATCACCTTTAGCAATTATATTTGCTATATCACGTAATGCTTTACCATTTTCAATTGAATCTTTTCCAACATGTAAGATATCAACAGCTGATGCTAAACGTTCAATAATTTGTAATGCAAGATTTGATGTTGATGAATTATTTGAAAAATAATTTGTACGAAATGTTTTTGCTTGATTTTGTATCCATTCTTTTAATTTCGCTTTTTCTTGTGATGATAAAATAATTTGATATTGTTGTTGTTGTTGGTGGTGGTGGTGTGGTGTAACAGGATTAATTAAAGATGCAGCTGTTGGTGCACTTGATGTATATGCATAGGGTGATGGAACATAAACTGGTGGTCGTGAATAATATGTTGATGGATCAAATGTTGATGTTGGTCGAAAGAGAACTGGTGGAACGATATTATTACTAGCGCCACGTGTTGAACGACCACGACCAAGATTAATATCAAGTGAACCTGTTGAAAATGAAGCACCGGTACTTCGTCCAGCTATAGATCGTGATGAAAATTCTTCAAACATTGAACGTGTAGATGTTTTTGGAAGACGAGCACGTTGTGAACGTGTTTCAATTCTTGTTGTTGATGGATAAGATTCTGATGTTGTATAATATCGTCGTGGATTCGTTGCTGTTGTTGTTGTTGTTGTTGTTGTTTTTGGTAAAGGTTCATCTAATGATTCAATTTGTGATGATGAATTTTCATTTAAATGTGCAAGATCAAGTTGACTACGACTTCCACTTGTATTACTACTACGTGCTAATGTTAAATTTGATGATGAAACAACGCCAAAACCAATTAAAATTTCTATTTGATGAACAACACCTTCACGATAAAAATATGTTGAAAATATTTGTGATAATTTTTTCATAAGAATTTCTCCCATTTGTAAAGCACTAACAACAATTCTATAATCAGATGATGCAAGCATTGAAGCTATATGAGACGATATTGATTGTTGTTTTAAAATAATTTCAAGTAAATCCGATGGTGAATAATAAATCATACGAAGTAATGCTTGTAAACATCGATGTTTAACAGCTGGACCAGCTGAAGAATTATAAACTTCATATAGAACACTAAAAAGTGATTGAATAAATGAACTATATAATTCCATATTATCTTTCATCATTTCAGTTCGTGCATCGGAAGATGAATTTGTAGTTGCTGTTGTTGTTGATTGACGATTTGTATTTGTTGATTCATCATTTGGACTAAAAAATGAAAAAGAAATTTGAAAGAAATATATATATTTTATATCGTACTCGGTTGGTGATTCAGTCGTATCAGATGTTATAATACGTTTAATAAATCGAGCTTGATTTGTTTCTTCATTGATTTGTTGTAATTGTTGTAGATCAATGAGATAATGACGACCAGATATCATTAATTGAACTTCTTCTTCATGTTGTTGCCAAGCATGTTCAATTGTACGAGAATCTTGTAATGAATATGAACGTAATTGACCTTGAAATAAAAGATTTTCTTTTACAATATCTGATAACAATTACATAAGAATATAGCTAATAGTTATATAATAGTTCATACACACATTTTTACTTTTATGATTAAGTACGATATTTCAAAGTTTTTAAAATGAAATCTTGCAAAATTCATTTTCTGAGAAGGATTTTTATTCTTTAGCTGATTGACTGTACACTAGTCTCTATCATAATTTTGAAACAAATATCAATAATTCTTATACACTTCTGCTAATCTCTCTAAATCTTTCATATAAGCAAAATATATCAGCAAGAGGATTGTAGATTGCTCCCGATAGTGTTCTTGTTAATTACAATTATTTCTCATTTTCTTTGTGACCGATCTTTAATATTACATCTGAAGGTCACTTACAGTCATTGATAAAACAACTCCGCAGGAAGCTTATTAATTGAAAATTAGAAAAATCAAAGAGCATGTACGAGTTAATTTTATTTTAACTTTGCATTTATGTGTCAGGAATTCTTATTAAGCATCTAATATCTTAGAGAACTATAGGGATTATTATGAATCAATATACCTTGATCATCTTGCCAATGCCATAGAATATAACCATTTGAACTAGCATCATAAGCTCTATTGGATAGTGCACTACGACGAAATAATTGATCAACTTGAAATAACGGTTCATCATTTGGTAATCGTGGCATCATTTCTCCAATTAATGAAACAATTTCATATAATTCTTGTGGTGTACGTGATATAAGTTCAATATTATTTGTTTGTTGTATTGATGAGATATTTAATGATGTTGTTTCATTTGTTGCTAATGCTGCTGATTTATATGTTATTGGAATTGTTTTTGTTGATGATCTACCTTCAGATGTACCAGTTAAAAGACATATTATTGTTTCAGCTATATTCATTTTAAGTAATGTAACAGCGAGTATTGGACAATATGCCGAAAAAATATATAACATATGAATAATACTAACAAATGTTATACTATTTAATAATGTTGGTTGTACAACAAGCATTGTCTGCATTGTTTTAAGTAATTGTGTTGATGCTATTTCACGTAATATAGATGAATCACGATGAAAATTTTCAACTAAACGTGAAAATATTGAACAAACATGTTCAATAGTTTTTTTATCATCAGAACGTAAACGATTAGAAAGATTTTCTAAATGTCCACGTATCGAATTAAAATCATTACGTGTTAATATATGTATACAACAATTAGCAACAATTGCAAGAGATTTATTTTGAGATGTTATAGAGAAAAATTCAATATATTCAAGACAAGCACCAATACCATCCTATGATGAAAAAAGAAAATAATCATAAAATAGGATTTTTTATATTTAAACTTACAGCAATAAGAATTTGTTTTCCATTTCGTTTGGAAATCATTTCTAAGGCTGTTAATGCTTGTTCAGCAATATCAATTGATGTTATACTTCGTAACTATATAGAATAATAATTAGAGAAATATTTATATATGGTTGCAAATAAATTACTTTGCTTAAAAATATCGGTGTTGCTTCAACAATCTGTGCTGCTGAACGTGGTAATGCTTCCATAAGATAAGTTAAAGCTCGACAGGCTGTTAAAGCTATTTCAGCATTAGCTTCATTTTCATCTGCTAAACAATCACGTAATGGTGGATAAAGAACACGAAATTGAAAACCGGGTAATGTTTCTTCATTGCTCATTACAAGAAGCTAGAAAAAAAAATTATAGTGATTTATAATTTTATTAAAAATATTTCGACATACAGAACATAATTCATTAAGTGTTGTTAATCGAACATCAGGATCTGGAGACTAAATATATGAAAAAATGATTAGAAAAATGTATGTTTTTTTATCAAAATAATTTTTACTTGTATTCCTTGCATATACTGTTGTAAACGTCCATTAATAGCATTTAATGAACTTCCACCACCAACTCGACTCATTAAATGTTGAACACGACCTGATAATGTATGAAAAAGTGCTGCACCTGTAGGTCCACCAGCAGCAGCTGCGGCTGCAGCAGCACGTGCAAAAGCTGGATCAGATAAAACATCACGTGGTGATGGACTCATAGTACCTCCATTATTATCTGGATCTGTATCACTTTCAGTTGACATTGGTAATGATTGTTTAATATTTCGATGTGTATTTGCTGATGCTGCACTTGCAACAAGTGGAGAACTATGGGATACTGTAGGAACAACACCTGAATATGATTGAGCAGATGATGACGGCGGAGGAGATCCTGTTTGATGATAGTATGCAGGTGAATTGAATAAATGTAACGGATGTGTTGATGATGCTACACTAGTATTTGAATCACACGGTCGTCCGTCAATACCGCCGGTGTTGGTGGCAGGCACCGACGAACGGCTAAACAAGAAAAAAAATGGTTCAATTTAACAATTTCTTTTCCTTTTCTATCGAACAAAAAGTAATAAGGTCAATAAGCTTTTGTCATATGGGAAGAAAAAAAAAGTCAGCTACATACACGCATAATAAATAGAAGAAAGAAAAAGAGTTTGTCCTTAATCAAAAGGAGAAAAAAAAGAAAAAAAAATGTTTCATGTTTTGCATATACAAGGTTGATTGTATTGAAAAAAATCCAATGACAAACTATTTTTTTCTTCTTTACACCTCAACTATCGTTATGCTTAATTGCATTTATTGATAAATAGCGCTTGCTTGTTTTTATGTTTTTCCTCAATAGTATAACAAAAATAAGTTACAAAGTAAATTTGGAAATAACAAGAATTGTAAATACTATGATCCCGACTGTAGTAAACATTGATAGATCGTTATACATTCCAACAGATTCTGGTGAATGCTTCTTTTTTTATTAACACTAATATATATTATCCAGATTGCATATAACAGATAAATTTTTATAATTATCTATATTTTGTACAAGGTTTATTATTCAGACTTAAATCTTCTTATAAAAGGATATTAAAAAAAGAATCAATATTTTTCAAGTTTTTTTACTTGCAATCGAAAATGAAACCGTAGAAATCTAATTAAAAACGATCATCGAAGGATTAAATATGAGATTGAAATATGCTTAGCTTTCAAGCATTGTCTACGTTCTTTTATTAACACTTCAAAATATAAAACATTACTCGCTATTCTGTATTACTTCAAAGGTTCTATCGATTAGTTAAAGTCAAAATTTACATAAATTACATTATGAAGTTCATAACGATCAACAAAAAATGATCTTTAACTATTTATAAAAGCTCATTTACCTGGAAGACGATTGACCCGTCGTCAAATAATCAATAGGAGCTTTGTTTGAATATCGACGATGATGTGCACTTGTACGCGATCGTCGATTACTAGTTGTTGATGGATCACTAACAACACTATTCAATTCTCTTCCGCCTACAAAATATTTTTATAAATTTTTTTTTTCAATAAAATAAAAAACTTTTCTAACCTGGTCCTCGTCTGACACAAAGATTCCCCGTGTCTACACCTTCAGTTTGTTGTTCTAAATCACTATTTGAATCAGTTCGTTTTCTTAAATTTGATTTCGAACGTGTACGATTAGTTATAATAGGTGCGGAATTTCTCTTTGGTTTTGAATGTATTGATAAACGATTGTCGTCTTCGTCTGATGATGATTGTCGTTGACGTTTCAATATTTTATTCGATGATGAAAATTTTTCACTTCTTGTTGTAGATTTTTTACTTCGTTTTTGACGTCTTACACTATTTGATACATGACGAATACTATGATGAGATGATGATGATGATGCTTGTTTTGAATGTGTTCGTTTTCGACTATTAGAATTTGTCGGATTTTCTTCAGGTTCACCTTCTTCTCTTGTTTCTTGTTGATCTTCGTTTATATCTAATTCAGGTTCACTACGACGTTTTGTATTACTAATTGATATCGCTTCAAGTGCTTTAAATTTTGCTTGACGTAATGTAGGTTGCGGTTCTTCTTCTTCTAGAAAAATATGTATAAAAAAGAAAACAAATTATTTTTATTGAAAATAAAAAGTTACCGTCAACGTTAGACTCGTTTGTAGTCGTTGCTGTTGATTTACGTTCGGCTCTAAAAAAAACAAATTCATAGAATTTTATAAAATTCTTTGTTCTAACATACGTTAATAAGCGTAATGATCGTCTAGTTGAAGAGCTCGAACTGTTGTGTATGTGAGCCATTCGAAACGAAGTTGGACATTCGAAAGAACACTATGTTATTATTGTTGCTCCGAGACATTGAACATACTAGAGATTGAACGAGTATCCAAATATAAATAACATAATAGACGATAAGAAAAATTTATGTATTACGTGAGAAAAATGAGCGTAAAACCAAAAAATATATATCCAAATAAGATTATTGTTGATTATATACTTCTAATATAGATATATAACGAAAGAAAAAAAAAGATTGTCACACAAAAACGTAAGAATCAGTTTTATTAATCTAAAAAGAAGAAAAGATGAAATATGAATGATAAAATTTATTACTCAATATATCGTTATTAAAAAGAAAAGAAAGAAAAAAAATGAATGAACGGCATGACCGATGTGTGAAAGACAAGACTCAACTGACTGATGAATGTATGTATACATAAACGATATTACTTCTCATTCGATTGGTTCGTTATAGTCGATGCATTTGTTTAAGTTGAGTATGCATTTAAACAGCTGATTTTTATCAAAAATATTTTTTTCTTCATTGGAATATTTTAAAATAAGAAATAAATTGTTTTATTTGATATTCAATGAAAAGAAATAATAATAATGAGAATTAATTAATATTAAAAAAATAAGGATTTTTCCTGCTGATTTACCGTTGACTTTATAGGACATCTGTATTTCTAGTAGACACATGATTTCTTTTCTCTTCTTCTTCTTCTTTACAGATAAATGACTGTTTTAACTGATGAGTATTATGATCAAATAATCCGTTAAATTTATTTTTGCAAAGCAATGCAGTATACATATGATGAGATGTATTTGTTTTGAACGTGATGGAGTTTCAAACTATTTGAAATGGGCATACAAATAAAGAGTTTTAAAAATCGAATTAATCAGTTCATTGTTTCTCATTATTTAATTATAGCTTGTCTCATGTGTCCAATTTTCTTTGACACGGCATCTATCTGTCTATAATAAATAGATGTACATGCATACATATTAATGAAATATAATCATATAAGATTTATTGAATAGAAATCGAACATGCTTCTATTAATCTCAATTTGTGTATCTACAACAAGAAAGGACTACTAATCAGTTCTTGATTTGTAAAAAGCTACTTTAAAAATGTGGGGACTATTGTATTTACTCTTCGCTTACACATCTTTAACGTTCTATGCATGCTGAAACTTGGTCTGCAACTCAAGATCACAATCATGATATCATTTCAGAGAGAGTTCCAACAGCTGTTGGTCATGGAGTATATCACAAGTGAAGAAACGTTTATGTAAATAAAATTTATTCGTATAAAGGTATTTGTAAACGACAGGAAAATCTTCATTTATTTACAAGTAGAAATGCAAGTGAATTTCAAGAGGCAATTATAAGAAAATATAATTTAGGAGTATCATCGATTAAATTTTCGTTTTATTGAATCTGATAACTTCGAATGTTAGGAAAAACTTCTGGGCAATCAAGCAAAACATTCTTATAGTACACATTAGTACAGAGTACATATTCTCAGTGCAAAAAAATATGATACAATTTTGTTCTACATATTACACGTTCGATACGAACGAAAACATGTTACTGAATATCAAAATGGTCATCGTGTATTAGAAATATATCAAGGTGTCGATATATATTTTGCTATTGATACAAATTTATCTATGACATCATATTATGAAATAGTTAAAAACACTGTTCTTAAAATTATCGTAGAAAATCAAATTTTTTCAGAAAAATATCGTGATAGCACGTTCAATTCTATTCTTTAACATTGATTATCAAGATCATAAATCAGTTATTATTCATATGATGAAATTAAATTTTCTCGATCGTAATTTTATCTTACAGTGTTTATAAATATGTAAACAATATAAAATTCATTTAAATTAATTTCTTTATGAAATGTGATCATTATTCATTCTTTTCACGAATGGATTACAGCCTATATAAATTATAATTTACTTGTGACGGAGAAATAAAATAACTATATAATATTCAGAGGAGTAAAATATAATAAGAATAATATATCTTTTTGTTTTTCATAAGTACTTTTCTGTTTTATGAAGAAAGAAACGTTTGAATTCTTCTAATTATATATGCAAATAAATACAATAAGAAAAAAAATACGAATAACTGTTATCAAAGTACATTTGGCATAGAAAAATTGACTACTTTCGCTCTATGAATTTAATTTATTCATATCTACTTTACTTATCGCATAAAAATAAATACTTATTTATACAATAATAAAAACTATCTTTCGTAGATGAGTAGCGTCTGTATAACAGAAATATTGAATTGATATGACTAATAGAAACGTAAAGTAACAGATTTTATTATCCGTCAATCGATTAATTTCTTTGAAAAATCCAAGTATATCTACTAGAAAATTTTACATAGGTTAACGTAAAATTTTGTTCAATAATAATCTGTTTTTTATTTAATAATTAAGCTGGTACTATAATAGTGCTTACAACATCAACAACATTTAATTCCATATTGTTTTGTCTATGTTCTTCTTCTCGTATTGATATTAAATTTTTACACGAAATCTTATAAATTAATCGTTTAAATTCATGACGAAATGCTTTTGACATACTAATATATATATAAAAACTTGCACAATAAGGAATATGATAAAGAAAAATACCAAATTGATTGATAAAATTATCTATAGCGTTTTCAATTGGTGTATGTATTTCATCCTTTGGTAAACTTTCATAAATTTGAATAACACATGGAATACTGGTACATATAATATATATAATATCTTGAGCATATAAGCAACGAAGAAGTTGGAAATCTTTTTTATTCATCGATCGAAGTTGATTGCGCTGTTGATGTGGAATAGATCGAATTCGACGAACATTTTTAAAAGCTAAAATTGATAAAATTACCATGATACCAGATGCAACACTATTGATTATTACATGCAAATACGTAATAAATATTTGATAAAATGATGACAAAGCATAATAACAAACAAAAACAGAAGGAGCTAACTCTTGAATATCAGCTGTAATAAGAATTTGAAGAAGAAAAATGATCCAAAAACATACACTAATACTTATAGAAAAATATGCTAAACGCTTCGAACTATATAAACGTCTATTAACATTTTGAGAAGAAATTAACAGACGATCGAGCGATGCAAGTATTAAAACATTAGGTAAAAGTGTAGAAAAGAGAGATGTGATATAGAACAATAGTTTACACAATACTCTATTAGAATTTTGTATATTAATATCAAAACCAAACATAAAAATAGTAGTAAGCATAGTACAATTGATATAGACAAAATTTATGAAAAGACAAACATTAAAATAGAATACACACACATTTTTTCTCCACGATTTTTTAAAGAATATAATGACACTTAACAAATTGCCAATATTGCTCATAATATAGAGTAAAGGTATAATATATCGATAAATACAGGCAGAAATATTATTAAGTATTTCAATACAGGAACTGTTAAATGAAGACATTCTATCGTTGATAATGAATGAATAATAATATCTTTTCTAATGTATAGTATGTTATCTGTCTGCCTACACACATATATATATATTCTTTTTTAAACAACGTACCATTATATTAATACACAATAAGAAAATTAATCTTTTATCGAAATTTTTACCTTTCTATATTAAATTTTAATAATGGTTTAATGCTAACACTTAGTTGTTGTTCAAATTTCAACAAAGATCCCACTTTTATTGCATTTTACTCATATTATATTTATTGTCTCATGATTTTATATTATTCATAGTCGTTCATAGTTCAACATAAAAGACTGTAATATGAATTATTGAATCATTATGAGTGCTCTGCGGCATGCACTCACAATAATTTTTATAAACCAATTCAAAATTAGGTACCATCGCTGCCTCATTAAAATATTATACGCGAAGCATCTTCCAAAGAACAATAAACTTCGCCATACAAATTTTTTCTTAAGAGTTTTTAAAAATTCTGATATATTTTTATTTCGTCATTCTAGATCATTTATACCAAAAGACAGCTAAAATATTTGCACTTTTTGTTGTGAAACAAGTAATACGTTATACTTATTCATATGGAAACTAGTGTCATTTTTAAAACAATTCTCTTCAACAGATATGACATTGATTTGCCTATTACCAAACAGGAAATCTTAAAAAAAATCATCCCTTTTAAGATGTAAATAAATTAATGAAAAATACACGAATAGTCGTTATTTGAGTTATTTATTTGAAAAAAAAGTCTAAAGCTACATGACTCATTTTATGACACCGATTATGTTGTACTTTATAGATTTATCGATAAAATGATCGATGTTGAAATAAGAATTTATTTCTCAATTGTCTTGACAGATGGCTTTTGTACAGGTTTGATAGCTAAATGAGCTAGTATTCCAAATGGAATGCTGATCAGTGCTCCTTTACATGCTGATATTGGACTTAGCTTTGATGGTAAACCAATAATTAATCCTGCTAATCCACCAACAATGGAAGATGATAATGTAAATCGATCGACTCGGTTTTGACTTTCAGAATATCGAAGACGATATGATCGATCCCATATTTTATATTCATTATATTGTTGTTTATATAATATAGCATGCATCATCGCAACACTAAGAACAGCACCAGTTGCAGCACCATATATAGTTGCTGTACCTATACGACTAATAATTGGACGAAATGAAAGAGTTTTTCTTGATTTATATAACTGATATGGTGTTGCTGCCAAAACTGCAATCGTAGATCCCAGTTGAATACCTTTATATATACAATGTAAGGTTAATTCACGTAAAGGATTAGGAATTAATACACGTTGTTCATCATCTAAATCGGTCATTGTGATATGTATATAAAAATCCTACTTTATATAACTTTACAAATGAACAAAATATTGTTTATTTTTTTTTGCCGTACTATTTTTCAATGTTGTTTTACGTTTTCTGCTTAGTACTTTACATGTAATGAAATGTTTTTTTGTGATCTCTATTTCATATTTTTCAATGTACCAAAACCAACAACAACGTAGAACAGAAAAAACATCAAACAGTCTCTTATCATTCGGTACATTATAGAAAAAGAGGCCAATAAAATGAAGAACTTACTGGAATTACTTCTTTTTTTCATATCATTATTTTAACTAAAGTATACGAAAGAATACAAAGCAATCATATGTTATTCATGTAAAGAAAATAGTTTTTCATCGTGGTATAACTAGAAACTTTAATCGATCAATATTGATTACATACGACATCTGCTGAACTTTAGACATACTTAGATTTGTTAGAAAGGCAAATCAATACAGCTGACTATGATAATCATAAAATTTCTGTCATTTTTTAGATTTTCGAAACTATGTGAATGACTTACTAACTCTTTTCATTAAAAACTTGATTACTTTTATCGAATAACTTGATGCAACATTTGTTTATACATGTATTCTTTTACAATTCATTTTCTCAACCTTTATGCTATTAACTGAGAAGAAACTCTTACATAACAACTCAATCAAATAAGAGCAATTGATATCAACAAACGACCGAATGAAAGTTCAATAATAATCTCATCCATACTGAGATTAATTCTGGTATATAATCTATATTGAGAAGTATAGGGTCAGTGAATGAAAGTTAATGTTTGATATTATATTCACATCCTAAAGAGTTCGCACAAGTGTTGAAAATGACTTGAGGGTGTGGGTGTGGGACAGTCTACCGATCTATGCTATCTACTATAATTGTTTACTTTGAGTATGGATTTTTTTACATGTCATTTAAAGTATACATGTTTGAATTGGAGCTCTTGCATATTTATCTTCTTGTGTTCATGATTTGTCTTTCTATATAGCAATTATGACTATGTTTGATCGTCAGACCTTTCAAAATTTTCGAAAGTTATGAATTCATCAATTAAATTTTGTCCAACTGGACCGAAATAGATAGTTAACAGTTACGATTCATCTTGTCATTTCAACATGTTATATCATCACCAACATTTATTCAATATTCGCTGTTACAATCATATTTCGTAATGAATTGTCACCTATTGTTTGACCTTCAATGGTGGTAGTCTACTGTAAACTGATTAAACGATGATCAAAATAATTTCATTTTCAAATGAGATTCCTTTTTTTAACCAAACATTTCTTCACGAGTAATCTTGCATAATATAGAAATATAATCAATATATACCGACTGCGTGTATTAGTTCTTACAATATTTTTTCAATTTAGAATCATTTTGAATTGAAATATGCATGCAATAATATCAGATAATCAATCATAAAAAATACAAGACAGTTAAAATAAGTTCGAAGAAGTTAATAAAAATTTTATTGTATAGAACAAATTACATATAGAGATGTAAACCGAGTAGCAGAGTGACCGTCACCATATAAACATGAATACTACATTTTTGACACTCAAAAATTAGTTTTCAAGCTTCTTTCAATGTAACAAGCATCTAAAAACTTTGAGGTACTATCGATCAAGACGTCGGCTTACACCTCTAATTACATGAATAATAAACTAATCATTGATTTCAATGATATTCATATTTTAATAGCAATTCAATTGATTATAGTACTCAATTCTCTTAGAAAAATAAAAGAGAATCAAACGAATATCAAACATTCTCGATTAGATACATTATTGTTTTAAAATAGAAGTAACCAACGTCTAAACAGTATGAAATAAAGAAGATGAAAATAAATTAAATATATCTAGTTAATATCATTTGCTTTGAATATCTGCAATATCTCTACTATTTATCACATAAGTATGACACATCTTACTTTGAAAATCTTCGACGGAGAAGAAGTTCAGTGATGATATCAATATTCATTGTTATATTATTTCATTTCTCATTCATAACACTTGAAGACATAGATTGAAGTGAATAATAGTTATCTAAACAGTGAAGATTCAATCCATTCATCTGTTTTAATTCATGTATACATATAGCACTTACGCTATTTGTTAATTATTGGTATTTATCTATATATGTCGTTTTTTTTATCACCATATAAAATAACCTTGATCTTCATGTTTCTCATTGTTTATCTTATTATATAAATTTATACGGGTGTTTTTCTCTTCAATAATGAGAAATACATATTTAACAGAAGACTGTTAGTGGTCATATTCAAGTCGAAACAGATGTTGATGATGTCTATAAGATAGTTATAATTAAATGAGAATCATGCGCGATACACTGTATTAAGAGCGTATCTAAATAGAAAAAAAAAACAAGTAAACGAAACAAAAATTAGAAATGATTAAGATTGTTTTTTAAAACTACGCCACATTTGATTTGGTTTATATGTTCCACCTTTTCCGAACAATTGCACCGCTTGCATTCCATTCTTTGAATAAGTTGTTTGCCAATCTTCATCTGTATTAATTGAAAATCCAAGACATTGTTCATCCGAATTACAATGTGTTACAGCATCAGCAATTAATAAAATGCAATTTGAATCTTTAGTATCAAGATTTTGAGCATGACTCTTACATAAATATTGTTCATCTTCATTGACTACATTTGAATTGCTTTCAAATATATAATTAAAATTATTTAATTTGTCAGTATGATCACTAATTATAAGGAAAATAAATAAATTAAAGAATATAAATTTCATTTAATTACCTATTTGGACATGTTGTTCGTCCATAAATAACAGGACTATCACGAGCAATATTTTGTTTTTCATAACTACTCCATTCTGAGAATGAACAATTGAAAGGTTTTTCTCCAACTTTAGTTAAATGAACAGCTACTTGACCATTTTTATCATATTGTTTATGAAACCAACCAGCTGTTGTCATTGTATATCCACCACAATTTGGATCAGAATCACAATGAGCAAGAGCATCAGGAAATAACATAATACACCATTCGGAACCACCCATATTCGATTTATTGTCAGTACATTTATATGTTGAACAATTGTGACATTGACCATCTAAGAGACGAACATAATTCAAGTACTTTCTTTCACTTTTATCTGAAAGTTTATAGTTTGCCATATAATTTGTCGTTATTGAATCATTTCTTTTGTTGTCATTTGATATTTCAACAACGGTTGTAGTTGCCCAACAACAGATAATACTCGTAAGAAAGACCAAAGCAAGTAACATATTATGCGTATACATATTGTTATATTATAAAATGAGTACTAGCCTGATTGCGTATCGACGAAGGAGAAAAAAAAGAGTTGTATATGTACTGAATGATAAGTTCTGCTGAAGATGTTGCGTATTTATACTATTGTCGAGAGCAACGAAACGGGACGTAATCGGTAGAGAAGAGAAATTGGTTAACCGCTAGTACAAACACAGAACATAAGAGAAAAAAAAAAAGAACCGACCGATGTATATGTGCCTTGTTCTCTTTGTTTTTTGTGACCTCCCGCATTTTCAGTGTGATAGCCCATATTCCCGTCGTACTCGTTCAGTACTTTTTAGTAGACGTGGCGTCCAATGTACACGTAGTGATATGTTGATTATCACGATTTGTCTCCTTTAGTTTCTTTTTTCTCTGATTTGCACCAAAGAAAAAGCATTAAAGGAAGAATATCTGTGTCTAGTAATATATCAGCACTATTTTTCTGCTTATCCAATCAACAAATAGACTGTAGACGTGGCATAATAAATTTCTCTACCAAATAATTCTATTAGAATCATGGATATGACGTGTATTTTTCCCAAGGGCACTCTATGTAAATATAGATAACAATAATTCTTCATCATATGTGAATACTCAAACTCAGCAATATATCAATAGTTTTTTTTCTATTTATCTTAATGAATATTTCAATCGAATAAATAAATGTAGTTTTATATGTTATTGTTTATTGTAATATAATATACACGATAATTGTTAATGTCCTTCATAATAAATATGAAAAACTAGATTTATTTCATATATTCTATTTGATGGAACTTGGTGTTTTCATGACATTGATATTGTTCAATATAATTGAAGTATAAAGGATGAGTCAAAAGTCTTGGTACTTCATCGAAAAACTCCATTTTCTCTCTGATGACAAATAGTCAATCGGTACCAGACGAATATCACTTTTAATTTTCACAACTATAAGCTAAGTTTATTGTGAAGATTGTTTTTACAGATGAATCCTAAATATTCAAAGTGGATGACAATCATAAAAAAAATTAAGTTCGTTGCACATCAGCATTTTCTCAATAGTAGAATTTTTCATGCTATATCTTTTGATATATTTGTTTGTTAACAGATTATATTAGAAATTGAAAAAAAAAGATAAAAAATACAGTCGTTCTCCATAGATATCATTGTCTCTTGGTTCAAAGTTGCATATCTTCGCTGTAATTTCAGCTATAGTTCTGAAAATTTAGAGTGATGCTCACTCTTTGTCATATTGACATATTGCATTGATCTTGAGATTTGTGTTTTAAATTAAAATTCTTCATTTGTCAACTTCTGTATCTTAGGCTCAAATAACTACTCGTCATTTATATAATAGATTTCTTGTTACTGCCTTTTTGACGAAATTTCCAAGTTTCATACGATGTGTAGGTGTGCTATCAAAAGCTTTATTTCGTCGTAAAAGGTAGACATGTCTGTGTTAGTCATATTTTCTTTTATAATTTATCAGTATAAACATATCATAAAAGGCAGATAAGCCTGTGTTATTCATTTTTTTTGTTTTATAATTTATCAGTATAAATATATCATAAAAGTATACAAGACATCAGTAGAGAAATTCAAAAGAACCGAGTATTTTACTGAAGAAATTCTTGAATAGTGATTTATGTCTTTGTCAATACAAACGACTGCAATGGATAGAAGGTTGATTTCGCCGAAAATCAATTGAAAGAATGCAAAAAAGATGATGATTTCGCAGTATTTACTTTAATATGTATTACTTTAGCTGAGAACGATCATCAGCATTTTACACTCGCACTTGCCATACAGTTCGAAAATTTCATACTTTAAGTCACTCACTCTATTGCATCTTAGTAAAGATAATGATCTCGTGGAAGAAAAAAAAGATTCGCATAGGTCACACATCGTTCTTGCATACAAAAGATTTTATTAGTAATTGACGAATGGCGCATTTTACTTAATTGTATCAGGTGGGTTTTTTTCAACCAACACTGAATGATATAAATTAGTCGATACTCAGGTGAAACGATGATACTATTCGAAGATACGTTTGCAAAATCTTATGTGGTAGAATACTTTCTGTCATTACATTGTCAATTTGGTCACGTAAAAATTACAAGAAAATCTCTTTTTAATTATCTCATCGAAATCGACCTCAACTCACTCTATGTTAAATTTATATAATCAATGAATAAATGCATGCCTATCATTATAAATATTGTAAACTTTTTCATATGCATCTCTTCGTTTTTCGTTGTTAGATAAGATCATATAGATTAGAAAAAGAAATTCATGCTTAGAAGAAATTTTGCTTTCTAAAGTGTGCGCAAATATTGTTTTCTAGATAACGAATTACAGCTTTTTCTTCTTACATAATATCTTTAGAAATGAGTATTGCTATCGTGTGCTGTCTTTTCTATTCGATATTAATTATAATAACTACATCATCAACAACTTCCACTAATAGAGCTCCTTTATATACAATCGAAGGACAAATCGTCTTGCCGCCTGATGAAAATAATCTTGGGGATATACGTATACTGGTTGATGACGGGCTATATGTTGGTATACCACACGTTGATGGTACTTTTACCATATCGGGTAAATTGTTTTACTTAACAAAAAGATACATTACTCTTCATATTTCCTAGGGGTGCCAAGTGGCTCATACATTGTTTCAGTTAATTCACCAATTCATATTTTCGAACCAGTACGTGTCGATATAAATAAGAAGGGAAAAATTCGTGCACGCGCAGTCAATTTTATTGAACCAGGCAAAGTTACGATAAAGAAATATCCACTGCGTTTCGAAGTACATAGCAAACCAAATTATTTTCAAAAACGCGAAGTCTATCGTGTGACTGATCTATTTTCGAATCCACTTTTTCTTCAAGCAACTTTACTAGTGGTTTCACTTCTGTTCCTACCAAAATTAATGCCGCAAGGAGAAGATTTACAAGGTGCTTTACAACAAACCAATGGCCTTTTTCAACCAAATCCAAATATGCCTGATATTACCGATTGGTTCATTCGATTGTTTGGTGCTCCCACTAGACAGCGACCAGCACGTAATTAGCCCATTGTTCATAATACTACAAGTTCTGCCGGCATCAAAAAGGCAAAACAATCCAAACGAGAAGCAAATCAATAGGAATGAGTTTCTATATGTGTGTTGTCCTTTCTTTTATATTTTTGTATTAAATTAAACCTGAAAATAGATTTCTATACGAAAAAAAGAGATAGCATGCTTCAAGCATTTCTGTAGAGTTTGTGTGTCAAAGTTATAATCAGTTAATTTTCTGTTCTAATTGGTTGTCGTGTTTTTGATTTCGATAATACCATATATTTTCTTATTAAAATGATATTGAGTGCAAATGTTAGTATAGCTGGAAAATAGACACCAGGTAAATCAGTCCAAAATATTCCCAATCTAAGACGACCACTAACAATTTCATGAATATGTACAAACATATGCAGGATATAAAAGCTAGTATTCATTGTAAATAGTGGCAAACGAAATTCAATAAGAAAAAAACCACCAATCCATAAACCACAGCCAAGCAATAAAAAAATACAACCAATATCACGAATAAAATGAATATTTAGTGGTCCAGATTCAGGAACATAAGCTGGTAGATTATAATACCAATGTTTAGGTGCAATTAACATCCAAATAGCACTAAGAATATTAATTAAACCAATTATAAAGAAAATAATAGTCCATCGATCATATTTATAGTGTGATTCTCTACGACAAGATGTATTCATTGGTGATGAAAATAAAGATTGATCACTTAACAAAGATCCACTCATGTTAGCACTCTAGAAAGAATAGAGAAATCGATTGTATCACGAAAGAAAAAAATATATTCAGTATTGAAATATGATAAAATGTCATCCTATATCCTTTATAATATCATGTTGAAAAGAACAACATAAAAATGAAAGGAAGAAAACGAAAAATATGTAGATGTTATTCTTAAGCATACAATATTTTCGCTGTATTTACATAAAGATTAAATTATATCGGTACTCTTGTTTTTGATGCTCGATTCAGTGGATGTCAAATGATTCATTCATTTTTTATTCGCATGCAATCCATATACCATCAATTCGCAAGAATAAGCGACTTCAAGAAGATATAGAAAATTGTATAAATGTACACTGCGGGTGTGGGTATTCTATTTATCTCGTATTCGAACTTACACCCACACCCTCACCTTCTTAAAAATAATATTAGTCAGTTCATTTCTATAAAATCAATGTTTTCCATTAGTAAACAACGTATAACTGGTCTCTTTCTTCTAGGTGATATAACTACACAGATTGATTCGAAAGGAGTATTATTTGAAATTGATGCTGATCCATGGATAGTCATTTTCCTGATGAATTAAAAGTTCTCTTTATGATTGGTTCTACTTCCCATCTCAGTAATATTAATCGTAATGATGAGCAAATATGGATTATTAAAATGACTTTATGTGATGATGCTGAACATGATTTAGGAAATTAAACATTAAAACGATGGGATACTTTTCTAAAAATAAACTAACATTAAAAAAACATTTTCTTCATTTCCAATGATAAATATTAATTTATTAAACTTAACAGATCTTCTAAATTAATTTGTATATTGTCGATTTTCTAAATGATTGAATAGAAAAATGTGATATTAATATTGATTGAAATTATTGTTTTGATGATAAAATAAAAGGTAAGTTAAAATTTGTTGAAAGATCTTCTTAAATGTGATTTGTTAAAAAAGAAATAAATAATTTGTTTAAACAAAATTTGATGATTGAAATAAACTATTTAGACAAAAATTATCTCATTTTTAAATGACAATTAAAAATAAATGTGAATAAATGAAAAGAATAAATCATGTTTAATGGTCGATTTTGTTAACTACATATTTTAATTGTTTTTGATTCTAATATAATATGAATTTAAATAATTAAAATATTTGTTTTTTTATTTTGTGGATTTAATTAATTTTATTAAAAAAAATAATCGTAATGATTAAACTAATTTTTGTAAGTCTAATTGAACTTTCTCAATGAAAAAATCATTGATCGAATTAATAAATAATTTTATTTAAATAAAAGAGTAAGACTGATAAAGAGAAATTCTATTTTTCTTTTTCTTTTTCTAAATAATCATCTTAGTCGATTTCATCAACATCCAAAGTAAAAACATTGATCAATAATTTTATTTTGGCAAATAAATTTAATCAGCACATTAATTATTAAATCGAAATAGAAACTATGATTTCTTCTATTTTCTAAGGTTGTAATTATGAAGAACAAATATATCTATTTTGGTTAAGATATTTTAAATTGTATCGTTTCAAGTCTCTATTATAACAGACTCATGACGTATTATTTGCCTAAACATCATCAATTGTTTGAAAATTACAATTCATCAACAAATAATATTAATTTCAATGAATATGTCAATCTGTATTAAATGGTGACGAACAATATTTTAAGAATGAGTCATTTGATAATTAAAATGATTTTCTAATAACAACAAAAATGAATAAACATTGTTGAATGAATAAAAATTTATTTCAAATAAAAAATTATTTTGATAAAGACATAGATAAACACCGTCTTCTTAACACATTCTTAGCTTCTTTTTTCACAATGACAGTTTTTTTGTCAAAGTTTTAATTCTAACAAGCAATAAATGATGTATGGCAAGTAAATTAATAGTTGGTCAACTTAATATATCAAATATACTACTTGTAATTTACTCCATTGGAAGAAAAAAATTCTTTCATTGCTCAGTTGATAATTAAAGTGAATAACAAACAAAAATATTTTTCGTTTTTTTTTAATGGACAAATAGAATAAAAATTTTCTTTCGATTGTAAAATCATTCGCCGTGTGTTTCTTATCTTTGAATCGTTTTATTTACTTTGGCCAGACAGTCATTTTCTATCAAATGCGTAGGTGAAATATATTTAAAAAACAAAAAGAAAAGAAATCATGAGGAAATTATTCGACGGAAGAAATAAACAGTCTGATATACACAAGAAGAAGTAAAACTCACACTACTCAACTTTTATTTATTTCATTGGTTTTAATTATTTAACTGGTAAGTAATTTATTAGAATAGTTCCAAAAGCAAAAGAAAATATTTTGAATATTATACATATAGCGAAAATATACTCAAAATATTAAAAACATCTCAAATAGATATAGAGTCGATCTGAGAGTGTGGGTGTGGGTGTGAGAGGATGCAATAAGGAAGAGACACTCACATTGACAAGAACACCCACACCCACACCCACACCCACACCCACACCCACACCCACACCCTCACCCACACCCACACCCACACCCACACCCACACCCACACCCACACCCTCACCCACACCCACACCCACACCCACACCCACACCCACACCCAAATTAATTATCGTTATTTTTCTAGAAATAAATAAAAATTGTGTTTCTATGACCATTGTGATATGTCTATGTGTCTTTAATAAAATGCAGATAAATGATAATTGAATATGAATTTTATTAAGAATTAAATGAGATTATTACAATTTTTATAACGAACGAATAAATTGAAGAAACAATATTTTACTTATTTTATAAAATTCTTTTCTAGATAAACATATTTGTGATGAATAAAGTTTGATAATTGAAATATTTTTTGAATTATTGTATCTAATGAATTATAAAATCTGCTTAGAATTTAATATTAAAATGTTTATTGACGATAATTTTAATTTGATTGATAATTCAAGGCGTAGCTGAGTGTGTAGGTGTAGATGAGAGATAATAGCATCGCACACACCCACACCCTCAAGATGGTGTGTGCGGCTGTATGTGAGGGTCACGGATTAG